TAGTGTAAAATCAGAAAAAAAAAATAAAGTTAGTGTTAATAAAAAAATAAATAAATAATTATATATGTGTATATATGATATATAGACATATATTATACCTATATAATATATGTCTATATAAGTGTAAAAATATGCCTGGTCGCAAATGTACAACATCGCAAAAACAGTCCAGTCCTTAAGGGGTTAAAGGACTTTGTATTGATGACTTTTAAAATATTTACCTATATAATATATGTCTATATATCATATATATATAATGTCATACTAAGTGTATTTTTATATTAATATGTACTTATATTAATATAAAAATACACTTATAATTAAATTACACACGTATATATATAATATATATAATAACTATATATATTGTATATATATATTATTATAAAATATAAATAATAAGTAATTTAAATTAAATAAAATTTTTTTAAATAATAATAAAAAAATTTTAAAAAATTATATAGCTATATGAAATTTTATTCTAACTGTATTTTAAAATTAATATATATATATATTATATATCAAAATACACTTAGAATGAATTTGTATATATATCTATGTATATAAAAATAAATAAAAATAAGAAATATACATACGTCCATATACAAAATTACATAAATAATTATATAAATATACACGTAGACTTCAAATATATAAATATGCATATATATTTAAATTCTACGTGCGTATTTATGTAATATTTTTACATAATTCAGTAATTTTATTGATTGCAATTTGAGGGACCTGCCTGCCAACCCAGGCCGAAATTCCAGAGAATTTAATTTGCTAGCACTGTATTTTACCCTGTAACGTTCTACGACACCCTAAAACCTGTACATGGGGGGTACTGTTTTACTCGGGAGACTTCGCTGAACACAAATATTAGTGATTCAAAACAGTAAAACATATCACAGCGATGATATTGTCAGTGAAAGTGACTTTTTTTGCATTTTTCACACACAAACAGCAGTTTTACTGATGATATAATTGTTGTGATACGTTTTCCAGTTTTTAAACACTAATATTTGTGTTCAGCGATGTCTCCCGAGTAAAACAGTACCCCCCATGTACAGGTTTTATAGCATTTTTGAAAGTTACAAGGTCAAATATATGGGTCAAATATTTTTACATTGAAAATGGCCAGGTTGGTTACGTTGCCTTTGAGAGCGTATGGTAGCCCAGGAATGAGAATTACCCCCATGATGGCATACCATTTGCAAAAGAAGACAACCCAAGGTATTGCAAATGGGGTATGTCCAGTCTTTTTTAGTAACCACTTGGTCACAAACACTGGCCAAAATTAGCGTTCAATTTAGTTTTTTTACTTTTTTCACACACAAACAAATATGAATGCTTACTTTGGCCAGTGTTTTCGACTAAGTGGCTACTAAAAAAGACTGGACATACCCCATATTGAATACCCTGGGTTGTCTACTTTAAAAAAAATATGTACATGTGGGGTGTTATTCAGAGATTTATGACAGATAATAGTGTTACAATGTCACTATTGATAAATTTTAAAAATGTATGTTTTGAAACCGCAATATCCTACTTGTACCTATAGCCCTATAACATGCAAAAAAAAGCAAAAAAGCACGTAAACACTAGGTATTTTTAAACTCAGGACAAAATTTGGAATCTATTTAGCAGTTTTTTTCATTCGCTTTTGTAGATGAGTAAAAGATTTTTCAAGTAAAAGTCAAAAAACAAGTATTTTTTTCAATTTTTCATCAGATTTTTTTATTTTTTTTAAATTAAAATACATGAGATTATATAAATAATGGTATGTAAAGAAAGCCCCTTTTGTCCTGAAAAAAACAATATATAATTTGTATGGGAACAGTAAATGAGAAAGCGGAAAATTACAGCCAAACACAAACACCACAAAAGTGTAAAAATATGCCTGGTCGCAAATGTACAACATCGCAAAAACAGTCCAGTCCTTAAGGGGTTAAAGGACTTTGTATTGATGACTTTTAAAATATTTACTTTTATTTATTTTTATTATACATCAATAAATGTGTTATTTTACTCAAGATCCCCGTTTAAGTCCTTTTTGGAGCCTCTAGAGATTCTTCAAATGGGTAGTGCCATCCCCACTCAAATTGGCACAGAATCTATACACCTAGAGTCGGGGTCCACAGGCTCAGGACCAGGTGAGCACCACATTTATCAACACATTATTGTGTTTTTATAAGTACTATCTACACATTGGTTCGCTCTCCCTCTTTCCCTCTTTTTGTCTTCGAGAGGCTCCTTGAAATGTGAGTGTACAATTCATTACGATATCATCACTACTATTGCATTGTCACTTTAAGTACCATCTGCACTATATTGTACTTCTTGAATTTTCCCTTAACATGTACCCTATACTCTACCATTGAATGAAATAACGTCCAGTGTTCATTTAATGTCTAGAAAATATTTTATTCATGTGAAAAGAAAGGCCAACTATCTTCAGCAAATACCATCAGAACATCTGACTTACTATGGCCATAAATTAAGCCTACCAAGCCATATATATTCCACTGCCCCAGGATTGTGCTCACTTCACAAGCTCAGTGTCTTCCACATGGGCAGCTGGAGACAAGATTTCCTGAGGAGTTATCTGAAATTCAAATAATAAAAAGAAAGGGTTAAGTATATTCTATCCAATATTATCATGCATATATGAAATCAGAATTTTGAGGTGAATTTGGGAAGAACATGCTCTGGGCAGCTACAGTCTAATATTTCTTCTGTGTCATTTCTTTGTTCAATCATGTCATATATATTTTGCATTACAATAGTCTCTTTTCTTCTAGCTCTCCCATGATCTGATAATTGCAAGTTATACAATTTAAAGTGCTACCAAAGACATGACATAAATCCCTACTGTAAGGAATCAAATGAACCTCACACACTAATATAGGATAAATATCTACTTCATGGAAAGTAAGGTAGGAAAGAATGGCAGCAGGCTTTGATTATAAGACATGTGCAATTCGTTTCAGTCTGAATTTAAATTTGGACGAATTTCAGAATTCGAACATTCGGATGCTTCTGAGTGTCCGAAGTGCCGAATTTTGGAAGTGCTGAAGTGCTTCGGATTTCTGAAAAGTGCCAAAACGGGAGAGGGATGGAAAATTAAGGGAATGATGACAGGAATCTAACCCTAACCCTAGCCCTAACCCTTACCCCACCACTAATCCTAACTTCCGCCACTAACCCTAACCTTACACCTAACCCTACCCCTAACCCTAAGAGATAGGGTTAGGGGTAGGATAAGTTAGGGTTGGGGCTCAGGGTAGGGGTAGGGGTAGGTAAGATATGGTTATCCAGACTATGTCAAAGGCAAGCAATTTCTTTCTATCAATTAGGCGTGTGCATGGAAGAAAAATGTAGTTTGTCCGAATTGCTTCTGCAAAAAAGAAAAAAAGATTTGGATGAGCCAAAATAACATAAAAATGTGGCTATTAGCATGCCACAATAAAAACAAACCTTTTTCTGGTGCTACCGACAGAACCCTCAATTACAAAGCTAACGAAACAGCATGTCCATTTCTCATTTTGTTTATTTCCTGATTAGGTCATATGCAATTTGCACAAATTGCAGATAACTCAATTCTGATGAATTACAATTTGGTTTACACCAAATGCATAAGTCTACTGTTTTTAATTCATGTGTGTATCAGGGGATTAATACAAGGCTCTCCATTTATGCCATCTATCCATTCCACATAAATTGCACTTTGGTTACAGTGAGTGGTTTATTCAAAAGCATTTGTGGCTACTTTACTATCATGTAAAGCTCAGATAGCTCATGCGTTTTGTTGTTTTTTTTACAATGCTTATACACATTAAGTACATATTGTGGCTTCCCTCTAGTTTTATACCAGTTGGTGCTGGCTTTAATCCATCCTCGATCAGGGAGCAACCTTGCCACTATTACTGTTACCATTTCTACAAAAAATGTTGATAATGGGCATTTTTTCACAGATTTAATCCCCAGCAGATATTGCTGTTGGTGTCCATGTATACTGACATGTGCTGTATATACCAGGAAAACAGTGCCATATAGGGTAATGCATGCTGGTCATGAACTTAAGAGAATTATAATATTACTAATAATCATATTTAGGTTTTTTTAAGGGATAGAATTATATGTATCCATACATATAATGAATTTGACACAAACAATGCCACAAGGACACCTAGATTGGGCTTAAAGCAAAAGTTTTGTGTTCAACCACTGAATCTTTTTTAAGCCATATGGAGACTATGGGTCAGTTATGGCAACAAGGAAAACATGAGGCTGGTCGTGCACTCCATACTTTGATAAGTACCTCCTATTGGTCCAGATGTTTCTTGTTAGTAGTTTGTTCTTGCCATGTTACTTATACATAGTTGTTTATGGCTAATAGCTAACCACATTTCATTGAGAATATACAGTATCTATTGTAGAATTGATACTGTAGTAAAAAAAGGGTCTTGTTTAGTTTCATTAGAACTTCTCTAAACACGTTACTCCAGAAACCCAGTGTGCCTCCTTAATCTCATCTTTTCATCATGTCAATTACTAAAATAAAAAATTTAAATTGATATTATTTATTACTATATATAAGTATTCATAGTTTTTTTATACAGTGTGAAAGGTTCCTTTTTAGTTTGGTATGTAATTAGACATGCATGTAAACAAATAAAACATTTATTTATATTTCTACACGTTACTTGAACATCTACAAAAGCATTGCAAAGGATTATTATTATTAGTAGTAGTAGTATTTATATAGCACCAGCTTATTCCGCAGTGCTTTACAATAGAAAATTATAAATATTGTATTGTCCTAATAAATAAAAATGGTTTTACTAATCCTTCTCTCAGTGGCATATGCAATGTGGAATCTTCGCAGGTAGAAGTGCAAAGTAAAATGTACTTTATAGTTACAAGGGTTAAGTACTGTCAGGTGCGCATTTCATCTAGAAGGGCAGGTTAAACTTGTTCGTCAGGTATGGTGTGCCAGAAACTCTGTGCATTTGAAGGATGCAGCCAGTCTGAGAACATATGCCTCACCTGCATGTTTATAGAATGCTGCAAGTAAAGGTAACGCAATAACTATATATATGTAAATATATATGTGCTGATGTGCTGAAACTATCACTGATAATCAACGCAAACTGCTCAAAGCCATACTGTGCCAAATATGCTTAGGTAGTAAGTTAAATATTAAGAAGTTGGGGTGGCATCCACTTATATTGCAGCTTTGAATTGTCATCTTTGCGTGCTTGTTTTAATCAGTTGATGATTAATCATTGCTAAATAAATGTAACTGAAAGAGCAATGTAAATGTGAATTCACTTGTGCAGGATATGCAGATTTGTAAGCAAATATTTCTAAATCTCGTACAAAACAGAAAACAGCAGATTTGCTACAAGAATGGTGGAGGAAATAAGCTATGCTGAAAGAAACAAAACAATTTTCCTTATTTGTGATCTGTAAACATTTGAAACATTTATCTTTCTGGTCGTTCTCTAGTTTTTCAAGCATTGTTAGTAAACAATTGTTGTTGTTGTTGGTTTTTTTGAATTACAATTCCAATCTTAAAAATTGTGGTATGTGATTTTATTTGTCAGTACAAATCATAGGATGATCCTGAGAAATCACTTTTGTTGTTATCCTTTTTATGTGGTTTTGTTTGTCAAGTTGGTAGTTTGATAAGGGTATTTTCGTATTCATGTATGGTCAAGTCTTTAATTTATGCAGTATAAAGTTAAGAGGCAATGTCACTAACAATAACTATTTTTTTCAACTAGTGATTTACTCTATGAGCAAAACAATGCACAGTACAAACAAATAAGATAACAAAATAATAATAACAACAACAACAATACTTATAAAAGTTAGTTCAACGCATATAATATTGCAGATAAAGGCATGATATGCCTATTTTAATATAAAATTTCAGTTTTAGAAGAATTTCTCCTTTAACTAGCAAAGTATCAAGGGTGGAGTTTAGCAGCCATTTTTGCATTTTTGCTTTTTTTTTCACAAAACATTTAGGATGCATAAACATATACAAACCTACAAAATTACAATATTTCATAATTTTGACTACATAGAGATATAAGATGAAATTAATACATCTCTTCCTCCATGTCCTCCATGTCCCCGCTGTCTCAGTTGGTGTTTTCCAGGGCTCTGTTCTTGGTTGTCTTTTATTCTCCATCTACACTGCCTCTTTGAGAAACCTTATTAATTCCTTTAGATTTTAGTACCATCTATATGCTGACAATGCCAACATTTACCTCTTCTCCCCTGAACTCTCTCATGCCCTCCTGGAATGCATCACAAGCTGCTTTTCTTCCATCTCTAACTGGATGTCTTCCCGTTTTATAAAACGTAATCTTTCTAAAACTAAACTCCTTTTCTTTCCCTCCTCAAATCAATCAATCTACCTGCAAGTCAATGGAATCCCTCAAGTCCACTGCCTTGTTGTTATTTTTAACTGGGGCCTTAAGTTTTCTCCTCACATCCAGTCTGTCCCCTAATTCCTGTAACTTCCATCTTCAAAATATTCCTTATATGCATTATTTTCTAGCTCAAGATACAACTATGGCAACTTGCACTCATCATTTCCCAACTTGACTACTGCAACTCACTACTCACTGGCCTTCCTAATATCTGCATTGTCCCTCTTCAGTTTGCAATGAATGCTGGAGCCAGTCTCAAATTCCTGACTGACCACTGCTCCCACATATTTTCCCTTTGCTAATCATTACATTGACTTCCTGTACCTTTCAGGATCCAATTCAAACTGCTAACACAAACCTACAAAGCCCTCACTAACTCCACTCTTCACTACATTTCCTTTTTACTCAATAAACACACCCCTTTTTTCCCCTTTGCTCTGCAAATGACCTTTGCCTGTTATATGCTCTGTCCTGCATTGCCATATCTTATCTGCAATACTTTTCAAGAGCTGCCCAATTTCTTTGGAAATCACTATTTCGTGCCATCAGACTCTCCCTTTGCCTTCAGACACGAAAACACACCTCTTTTGAAAAGCATGCTATATTCTTGGTTGACTTTTCTCTCCTTTCCCTGCCCTCGTCACTTCCCTTACCTCCATAGCCCAGCTCATTGTCTCTCTCGCTACTGTTCGGTCCTTCCACACACCACTTTTACTAACTTATTTCAACAGATGTATTTTATTCATCAATCCCTTCTCCCTTATGACACGCTGTTATTTCTCTTGTGCGTCTTTACCTCTTCCTCCTAAACTTGTTTTAGCAGGGCCTTTTTCACCTTTTGCAATATGTTATATTCAGTATGTAAATTACTTGTCAAATATCCCCATTTTAAAATTGTAAAGCATTGCGAATTATGTTGGTGCTATATAAATGATAATAATTATAAATATCATGAGACTTTATGAGAAAATATAGAAGTTAACTGAGAATTATAAAGGAGGATGATAAAGTAAGAATACATAACTTGGTAGAGAAAAAAGAAAACAGAGCATGGAAGGAGGAGACAAAAAGAGCATAATTGGGCTCTATAGCTCACCAAACGTAGTTCTTTAATGGATGCCATAGAAGGTCTATATTGAGTGATAACACAAGAATGGGAAAACCAAAAAAAATCACAGAAGTAAAACAGAGCAGACAGGATAATATTGATGTGTGTGGGGAGCTGTGATATGGCCTTTAATAGAACAACATAATTTTGAAATGATGTTTGTGCAGACTGGTAGAGTGTAAGGGGTACCAGCAAGATTCTATGAGACAGTTGACAGCTTGTCTGGTGAGTCCAACATGACAGACTTTGACTTCATAGTTGGCATACTGAGAACCTATTTCTAGTGAGATTAAAAGGTTGCTAATGCATGGAATGTATCTCAGACAGGGTTCACTCAACTATTCATTCCTTTTAGATTTTAGTGAAGATTTAGGTCCCCCGATGTAGGAAAATATGCTATATGAATTAATAATTCATTAGCTATTCACTGATATTCGCACATGAGTGTCATACATGTGTCATATTCTAGGTATAAAAAGAACAATTTTAAGATTCTTGGATTCTCAAAGATGCATTCTTCTTCATCATCATCTTCATATTATTATTATTATTTGTGGTGTGAATTATATATTTGTGCTGAATAATATTTCTCAGTTGTATATTGTTTCCTGAGAGGTATTGTAAAAAAAAAAAGTAGGGTAAATTACGTATCTGATACGTGCCTCAGATATCCGTATTCTAATGTTTTTTTGTTGTTGTTTTTTTTATCATGTTCTGATGATATTTACTTCAATTATTAAGCACTTAGTTGAATGAAAGAGCAATGTTTATTCTGAAATAAGGGATAGTTCTAAGTTGTTCTGAGATCTACGAGGATGTTGCATATAGGATATCAGACATATAGGTCAGTAAATGAGACTGGTGAGGAAACCTTAGAAACTGGAGTAGAATTTGATGAAGACAAAGGAGAAACCTAGTGGCGTTAAAATGAAAAATATTTTTTTTTCTTTCTTCCTCGATGGGACATATTAGTGTTAATTGGCTCCTAACCCAAATAAAGAAGTCCTTTTAAACTATGGAAATTAGCTAAACCCATATTATTATTATTATTATTATGTTATTTATATAGCGCCATCAAATTCCGCAATGCTTTACAATGGGTGGACGAACAGACATGTAGTTGTAACCAGACAAGATGGACACACAGGAACTTGTTAACTAGACAGACTCTTATTAGAAATTGAAAGCCGCATGTCAAAGTGTTTTTATGTGTGATTTGTATAAATGTATTGATGTAATAAATATCAATAAATATCAATAAAAATTATACTTTATAAAAAAAAAAAAAAAGTTAAAAGATTGATGGATTGGGGATACAGAGAAATAGCAGTGAATGACAAAACACAGTGGGAAAAAAATGAAGAGAAACTCTGCCAAAGAAATTAGTTGGCATAGAATGAAGGAGGATAATGTGAGGGATTAGTTGTAAAGAGAACCTTAGATTTGTTCTATTATGATTAAGTGTTTGGAGTCTTTTCACTTTATTTAGTTGCTACTAAGTTATTGTATTACTAAAAATATTTTAAAGTGCCTTCTATTCACTTATTACGCATTTTCAATTATCAAGGGTGCAGCTCAACTTATATATGCACTAAGATATCAGTTGTGCTGTTCATTTTCTAAATAAAAATCTTTTTGTATTGTTTATTATTTGCAAAGCTATTTTCAAATAACCTGACAGCCCCATGATTTCTTGCATCTGGCATGCCTGTGCATCTGAACATATGGCATAAGGAATAAAAGCATTTGTAGATACGTAATCAAAGTTCTGGTGCACATTTCTGTTCAAGTTGTAATGACAAGATGTAAATAGTGCTTATCATAATGCAAGAGTAATGTCGTTAATTATATTTGCGACACACCTCCCCCCAGAAAACACTCAATTAGCATTTATTTTGCTTGTTTGTGCCAAAATAAGAACTGCCTTCAATAAAAAGGTGGCCTTTCCTCTTTAAGGCGACACTGATGGTGTCCTGGAATGCACAATGCATCTATCCTGACCTGCAACAGCATAGCATTCTACAAGACATACTTGGGAGCGCTGGAAAAAGGGAACAATTGTCCCCTCGGCCACATCCATGTGAGGACTGGCAATGAGGTGGTCTCTAAAACAAGTCATTGAGGAGCCAACTCGTAAAGAGGCCGTATTAGATTTAGTGTTAACAAATGGAGATTTGGTATCAGATATTACTGTAGGTGAAAGTTTAGGATCCAGTGATCATCACTCAGTGTGGTTTAATATAAGAACAGTGACTGAGTCACACCACACAAAAACAAAAGTTTTAGACTTTAGAAAAACAGACTTTTCTAAAATTAGAATATGTGTAGAAGAGTCATTATTAGCCTGGAGCAATTTAAATGGAGTCCAAGAGAAATGGGATTATTTAAAAGTTGTACTACTGATGGCAACAGAAAATTGCATTAGGCTTGTCAGTAAAAGCAAAAAATTCAAGAAACCACTGTGGTACTCCGCAGATGTGGCCAAAATAGTTAAAAACAAAAAGTTAGCATTTAGTAATTATAAAAAAAAACAGAGTGAGGAAGACAAAACGATCTATAAGATTAGGCAGAAAGAGGCTAAGCAAGTTATAAGAGCTTCCAAATCACACACAGAAGAGAAAATAGCAGAGTCAGTAAAAAAGGGGGACAAAACTTTTTTTAGATACATAAATGAGAAAAGAAAAGTAAAACAAGGATTAGTTAGATTAAAAACAAAAGAAGGAAGGTATGTAGAAGTTTGCAAACGGTTCGCCGTGAACGGTTCGCCACGGACTCATCATTGAGTAAACTTTGACCCTGTACCTCACAGTCAGCAGACACATTCCAGCCAATCAGCAGCAGATCCTCCCTCCCAGACCCTCCCACCTCCTGGACAGCTCACTAAGAATGCAGCTTCACAATGAATGTAAAATGGATGCTGTCCAGGAGGTGGGCGGGTCTGGGAGGGAGGGTCTGCTGCTGATTGGCTGGAATGTGTCTGCTGACTGTGAGGTACAGGGTCAAAGTTTACTCAATGATGAGTCCGTGGCGAACCGTGCACGGCGAACCGTTCGCAAACCGTTCGGCGAACCGTTCGGGACATCACTACTCAGAAGATACAAAGTCTCATGGGCCCTGTATAAAAAATGCCACTGGAGGGCCCGTGATATCACCATTAGGGATTAGCCAATTCATTACTGTAAAACCAGTTGCTAGGTGTCCCTAAGCCCTAGCCACTCCTCCCTTTTACAAGTGTGTCTCTGCCTACCATCCTTACATTAATTAATAATGAGGTAGGGTAACTAATCTAAAAAAATATAATCAGCAAAAAAATATTTAATAATTAGAATTTGAAGTCTTGACTGATCTGCTTTCTTCAACCATAAATACCAAAAAAAAGAACCCTTCATACATCAATGCGATTTAATAAAATGAAATAAAAATACCCAACTCATACAACACCAATAAAAAGAATTATTTCAGAAAAAAGGCTTTTTTTGAGACCTTAAAACCATGCTAATTTATGTGGTTTCCTATGAAGCTCCTAAATTCCAAGAGGAAGTCTTTAGTAATTGGCATAGAATTACACTAGTTAGTGAAGATCATATCAGACAAAACTTTGCCACGGCACCAATTTCAATAGCTACCCTGGTTTATGAATGCAGGAGCTTTCTACAAAGAGTAAGGACTCCTGCATTTTAGAACTAAGCATGATCTAATGTGACAGAATTTAATCTCCCAAGTTCCTGCTCCCAGCTGTCTGCAAGTGCATGTATAGAACTGTGATCCCCCTAACCACAAGACTCAGTTTGGCTGAATCAATTTGTCAAAAAATTGTCTCTGGCAAATTTTGTCTATGTAAATAAACCAATAGGATGTGAAAATAGTCTGATCACTATAATACAAAATATAAACATTATGTATATATTTTGTAGTACACTGATAGGCAGATTTCATGCCACTTTGAAGATCAAGCTAGAATAAGTACCCAAAAGATGGATCAGAGGAGGAGCAGTAAAATATCTATATTATTAAATGTATAATATATAAATATAGATACTTATTACAGATCTTCCTTGTATCCATTTGTTGGTTACCTCTCGTGTGATCTGTGAATAAAATCAGCATTTAGTTCTTTTTTTTTCTGTAAGTTTTGCAGTTGTGTTTGTCAATGAATAGGTTGGTTGATATGTAATCTTTATACTAAATTAGTGTACAGGTGGGGCGTATACGCATTTCTTCATTTCGATTGTGCTAAACTCTGTAAACATTAGAGATTAGCACAGTAAAATGCATATGGTATGCAGCAATTCCTGTTCAAAGTTAACCACGAAGTTATCATGAAAACTATGTTTAGTTAGTGATAGACAAACAAAACAAATGTCACATTATATCAAGTTTGTTGCACTAAATGTTAAATTTGCCTTTATATGGAAAACAACTCTTTACTTAAAATAACATATATGCAACCTAAGTTCTATGTAATAGTGTCCCCCCACTGCTTGAGTGAAAAGTGTGATTTGCTTATGTTTAAGGAGGAAAAGGATTTCAGCAGCTTTCAGCCATATATGAATAATTCATTGGACGTTGTAGAGAAATAATAAGGTAGTGGATGTAAAAATGAGGAATGATAAAAATTGGAAATGAGCATATGGAAGGTGGGTTCCAGGAAAGCAACAATGATAGGTTGTCTAAAGAAACAGTCGAATGTCCCTTAGTTCAATAACTGTGGTTGGTGCCCAGGAAATAAAACAGGGAGATGTATGTAGCTAAATATTGATTTTATTTGCAACATTAAGTTTATATAGTATTAGCTGGAGGTAGGAGACCATGGGAGGATGTGTTCTTCAAACCAACCAAATTAAAGCAGACTGATGGCAAACCTTGGGATGCGGATTGGCAAGGTTTTGAAAATATGAATAGTTCTTGTCACTATAGCCAATTTGCTCCAAAAATGTTTGTGGTGACATCTATTTATTAATTTAATTATTTTGCCTATTTTGTGGCAAATGAGAGACAACTGAAAGAATAAATTTATATATATATATGTGTGTGTGGCGTGCAAATAGTAAATTCAGGCAAAAATCTTTTGTAAAGGCAAATAGTTATTTTAGCTTTAAAACACACTTTTTTACCTAACTGATATTCAGACAAATAGTTTTGCATGTTTCTTTCAGTCTTTTATTTTCTGAATTCAAAGTCATTTGCCTAAGAAACACGTACACAGGCTATCTTAGCAAGTGGCCCATCTCAGAATAAACACCCACGGATCCTTAAAAAGTGGCCGCTTGCCAATAACTGCCTAGGAACCAATCAAGGAAAGTGTTTCCTGCTAGCAAATAAGTAGGAAGTCCTTGCTTGCCATTTAATGGACAGATGTTCCAGGAAACCTCTTGCTAACAGGTGGGGTAACTGGCCCTTGATCGCCAATAGATGCCCATTCTCTAATGGAAAATACCCTCGACTCACCAATGCACACCCAGATACACCACCAAACAAAAACAAGTCCCCTTTTAAACAAAATGTATAAATGATTGTAAACATGAAAACAAAATAAAAAAAACATCTTTACTGTTCTCACAGCATTTATATGGAACTTACTATATTAGAAATGTTTAAAAGTTTAAACAAGCTTAAAGGACCACTATAGTGCCAGGAAAACATATTCGTTTTCCTGGCACTATAGTGCCCTGAGGGTGCCCCCACCCTCAGGGACCCCCTCCCGCCCGGCTCTGGAAAGGGGAAAAGGGGTAAAACTTACCTTTTTCCAGCGCTGGGCGGGGAGCTCTCTGCCTCCGATCCTCCTCCGTTCCTCCCCGTCGGCTGAATGCGCACGAGCGGCAAGAGCTGCGCGCGCATTCAGCCGGTCGCATAGGAAAGCATTATCAATTTTGAGAATCACGCAAGCGCCTCTAGCGGCTGTCTCTGAAACTGCTATGTTTATAAAAAAATGGGTTAACCCTAGCTGGACCAGGCACCCAGACCACTTCATTAAGCTGAAGTGGTCTGGGTGCCTAGAGTGGTCCTTTAAGCAGGTAGTAGGAGGATTTCAGTCTACCCTTCTGTCATAAAATACTTAAACTGGTTTATTCAATTAGCTGGTTTATTCACTGAAATATCTAAACTGGTTTATTCAGTTAACGAAGTCGAACTCTGATAACATTTCAAAAAAGGACCAATTTGCCAGTAACCACAAACAGGTTTCCATGTGGCTACGACAAGTCTCTTTAATGTAATCCTCTAGACATTGTTACACTGAAGTGTCACAAGTTAAGAGACAGCCCAACTGGTAATAGCCAGTCTGAAATATAAAACAATACCAGATTAACCACTTATCCATCGGAGAGGAGACAAGGACTTATTTATCGGAGAGGAGACAAGGACTTTCTCATTTTAAATTGCTACTGTGTTATCCAATTGTGTAGCAAAAGCCAGTAAAAAGCCCCTCTGCAGATTTTTCACCTAACTCCCACTATCTGTATGGTAGAGGGAGTTTATAACAACAATTAATAATAGTAATTTTGTGATTTTGCCTGAAATTACTATAAAATACCACCTCTCTGGGTGGTAGATTTTTGTGCATTTGTCATTCTCGGGTCCTATACCAGAATGCTGGGAGCCTGAGAATTCTGTCCAGTATCTTAGCTGTTCCTAAAACTTCTCTCTTCTGGACAGATGGAATCTGCTGAAACCACTAACTTGGGGGTCACAGCATGAGAGAGCTCCTATTACAACTGTGACTAATATTGCGTTCACTTTCCACATCTTTTCTAGTTCCTCTTTTAGACCCTGGTGGTTGTCCACCTTCCTGATGTTATGGTCACTGGGTATTTCTAGCAGCATATTTTTAATTAATGTATCTTTTAATGGAGATGTCACTCTTTAAACTGACTTCCAAGCACAATGTAACTATGTGTTGCTTTGTGCACTTGCACCAGAGATACTGTACTATTTCTTGCACTTTCTCTCTTTATTCATTTCATATTTATCATCATCATCTGAGAATTCCTTAAGGTGTTACTCCCTCCATAGCGTACACCTTCTGTCAGACCGGATTAGAGAGACTCTGGTTTGGGCTGTTTGAACTGCCTTTATCAACTATATGCACTAGAAATCTGCTACCCATACTTTAATAGGGGGACAGTTGGCTGCATATAGCTAGGAAAGATAAGAGATAAGCCAGTTATTTAAGTACATTATTGCAGAAATGTATTGTATCTTATTGCTATTTCAATGTTTTAGATTTTTAAAGTTAGTTTTAAAATTGTCCTGGGATCCAGAGGGCTCCAATTTGTGGAGTATAAGAAGGAAAATGTGTGGGACAGGATAAAGCAATAATGCTTGTACCCAGAATTAAAGCCCTGAATTTCTAGATTTTTAGAGGTAGCCATGTGAATCCATGCCAAAACTAGTGGAAATATATATATAAAAAAAAAAAGTAACAGCCATGCATAGTACCATACGTTATAGAGAAAGGGTTAGAAAGTAAACCAATGATCTTAACTTGATATGAGAAAGCTATATCGAGAGAGTGGATCCCAGAATGAATATTAAGGTCAATGCCCTTGTACCATAAGGTGGAGTTTATGAAGCCCTAGTTCACTCTTTCAAATTATTTCTCACATTGGTCTACCACAGGAGAACAGGGTAGATCTGGCAATGTGCTATATGAATAATATGATGGAATGATAAAATATGGTTCTTTGTTTCTCTGCTAAGGACAAAATCTGTTTGATTTGCATGACTGTAGTATTAAAATGATGATAACTGGATGACTATAACTTTAGGGAATAGTAAGTAGACAATATTCAAACCTCAGACAGACCAATAACCTCACATAGTGGTCTTCTGCCCCTTTGTCAGAGTTAATTTGAAGTGAAGGGGTAGTACTCAATCTTCTATGAATTAATTAAATTCTGTGATAAAGTATTGGGAGAGGTTGGGCAGAAGGAGTGAGTCCTGATTAGGAAGACTTGATCACCAATGGCAATTCTGTTTCATTTAAAAGAATTTCCAGGTTCTCTCCCATTTGGAAATGTGTATATATGTGAACTTTACTGCTATGGTGGTCAGAAACTGAGGGAGCAATTAAGTGTCTCTTCATGCTGCAGACATTTTTGAGGTGAGAGCCTATTCTTATTCATAAACTTTTCCTATTTAGGAATATAAATATGGCTTCTTTGGTGACAATAATGCAGGCTAATAAGTGTCAAAAACAAGGAGTGAGATCCAATATGTTATCAATAACTTAAGAAACGTAAAGCAGAAAACGTATAAAGCGTAAAAAGGACCAATCTTTAAAGGAATACTATAGTCACCCAGACTATCTCAATGAAGTGGTCTGGATGCAGTGTCCCTGTCTCCTTAACCCTGCAATGTAAAACACTGGAGCTTTTGAGAAACTGAAAGTGTTCTCCAGAGACTGTAAGTATGACAGCAAGAGAGGTGCTTCTGCTGCACTGACATATGACCTGGAAGCCCCATAGGAAAGATTTGATTAAATTTGAATGCATGGTCGCCACGCATGTGCATTAGGTAACCAATACTCCTCTATAAGGAGAATTGGTTTAGACCAGCCAGGTCCTACCCTGTGACATCTCTTGGGGAGAAGATGTCAGCAGCGCCAAGGGAGCCTTGCTTGATCAAAGTAAATTAAAAAAAAAGCATTTTTAACTCTTTGAATGGTGGTGGGGGAATTTAATACTACTAGGGACAGGAACACTATAATGTTAGGGATACAGATTTGTATTCCTAAGAATATAGTGTTCCTTTAATTAGTTGCAAGTAAACACAGAAATTAACCTCAGTGAGCTATGGAGTAGTCAAATTAGAAAGACAAGATTAAATAATACTTAGGACTTTTTGGAATAAAGTTTCCATGGGTTGCTATATTTTTGGAATAAAGTTGCTATATACATATCTAGGTGCAATATCAGATCACAGAAGGTTAAGAATCACTACATATGGTGCATAGCAAAGTCAAAACCCAAGTGCCCCCAGAGAATGTTTATTAAGGTGGATAGAGTTAAAAAGGCTAAACAAGGGAGCGGCATAAGAATATAATCTACTTTTGAAAAAAATGGCTTAAGGTATCCAATTAGCCACAGGGAATTAAATGCAATAAACCACAATAAGGATGTGAAAAAGCAGGGGAAACAGCTTTTGGAGTTGCTGCATGTCCATTCTTTGGTAATGCTGGAATAGCTCATGACAAGGACCACAGAAGAAGGGGGAAGGGAACCTCATTTACATTTGAGATGGTCTTTTCTTACATGACAATTTTATTAAGAGAAGGCCTCTTCAGGGCTAATAGAAAATTAGCACATAAAGCTTTAGGGCTAGCAGAGAGTAAATTCACCAAAGAGGAATGTCTGTCAAACTTGTTTGACAGCTGTAAATAGGATATAAAGTCTAAGCCATAGTGGACCGTCACCAAATCTACAAATATCATCTAGAAATCAGAAGAGAAGTGAGATTTAGTACTGCCTCCATTAGAAATGTTTTTTCTGTAAAGACATTTGATTTTTGTGATCACCTTCTATTCTGTAAATTGGAAGGCAGGGCCTGAAGTTGTGGGAGGGGCTATATCCCTTTAAAAGGGACTCCCCCTCCTACCTCATTCACCGTCTGGTCCAGATGCTCGTTTGAATTGCTGGTTCCCAACGTGGTTTTCAGTTTCTCCTGACAGCTGCATTTTCAAAGTTTCTGTTGCTCCTACTGCCGGTTTCCCTACTAAACAGTGAGTTGGCAGACCGGTATCATTGTACCGGTCTGCAGCCTACACATAGCCTGACCCGCCGAGGTCCACGGCTACAGTATTGTGGGGGACAGAAACCCCCTCGCCAGGGCTGATTCGGCTTGATTCCCGCCGGGGGATCAGGCCTCATGCAGACCAGCCCTCCCTCCCCCTCCCCCCCTGCTGCCGCTCACTGCACAGCAGCCGGTTCAAGTTATTCTGTAACCCAGCTCCTAACCCCCCCTCTCACTACACAACAGCCGGTTTATGTGTCACCCGGGTCCTAACCCCCCCCCTCACTCCACAGCAGCCGTAGGACCCGGCTACTAACTCCTCTCCCCCTCTCTCCAGGAGTGGGGAACCCCCCCAGGCTCATGGCAGGTAACGGTCAGGCGGCTAATACAATCAAGACCCCCACGGACCTAATTCACGGGGGTCCGCGATTTCTGCCACAATAGCCGCACCAACCCGCCCCCCACCCCAACCTACAAGTGCCCTGTCACATAAACTATTGAAAAAAAATAAAAAATAAAAAATACATTTTTAAATTAGAAGTTACTATATTTTGCAAGGCTCCTTGATACCCTTTGGGGTATCAGCAGCTTACAAATCTCTCCTCCCCCCCCCTCCCCCCTCCTCTCTTACTTACCTACAGACAGGGGTTCACTCACACGGGCAGAGCTCCCTTCACAGCCTCAGCCAGAAAGCATGTCAAAAAATTACAGCAATGCTGACGGCAATACAAGTTGTAACCACTAGATGTCGCCCTATAAATAGTAATGTTACCTGGTATATTTCAAAGTCTGTGATATGTGTTAACAATGGCAATATTAAAAAATGGTCAGATTTATATATTACGTTAGGAATAATAAAGTATTCAATTAATTCATGCACAACCGGTTACGTATAGATTTGTGGAAACAACTGTTTAAAGCATATAAGTCAGATATAAGCTGTTCTCGGGCACTAAATTGTGAGGTAATTATGTGACTAATCTACCTAATATGTGGATCTATGTGACTCAAGAATATATACCATATACTCACACCACGGTTTCAATTAAATCTTCAGAATTACTTGCGTGGTTATAGACAAATTGCAAAGTTCAAGAATATTTTCCCTTTATTTGGTGACCTGGTATACTGATTCCCCTGGCAGGGTCAGAGACCGAGACAAAGACAAGTATTATATTACTTCCTTGGTATGTACAACATATGGGCGACGTATGTCCCATTAATCAGACATATGACACTCAGTGCATATGCTCACAAATGTATGCCGAGTGCACTTTGTGCCAAGCAGATATTTGGGACACTGCCATAACGGTTTAACATGTGTTTACAGTCTCAAGAACCAAACTAAGACGGACTTGGCCTTCAGAACCTACTTGCACTCAACCTACAACCATAGGTATGTGATCCTAGGACATTCACCACAAAACGTGGGGGGGCAGGCTTCAGCTACAAGATAGCAGTACACACTTATATGTACCTTATGCCTTCCATTCTGTCATCCAGCACCGGGTTTAGGCCATCCTCCCTAACAGTAATCAAACTACTACAGGACTGCCAGGCAAACGTTGGGCACTCAGGTAAGTTCTCGGTTGCAGCAACCAGTATAAGAAACATCAACATGCCCACTTAAGTAATTCTCCTCCCAGGCACCTTCTGCCATAGGGTTAGAGGTCCCCCGAGGCCAACTTCCATCCTCGATGTAAGAGGTATTAAACCCCCACGGGCCAAATCATAGCTAGACGCCTCGCATGTTGCATAGCTAGGGCGTCATCCGTCATAACCCTCAATTAACGATAAAATCTCCACTGGTAAAACACGTACAACAGATCAACCCCACGCGCCAACCATAGTTAAATCCTACTAGCCACTTGGCATTTAATAGGGACTCACCTGCCACAAGTTTAATGAATTATTTCGCCACTTTGGCACTAGTTAAACATTTTACACTCTCCATAATGAAACTCACGATTACATACGTATATATTTCAGTATGTCCCAAGTTCATGAAGAAGGAGATGAACTATCAATGCCTAGTACACCGACCAGGACTGCCACCCCCACACGCAAAGGGGACATCGGCAGCCCGTCATCTATTAGATCATGGACCATCCCACGGATCACGGCCGAACTACGCAAACGTAGTATTCCTTATCCAGCTACGGCCCGCAAGGCAGAATTGTACAGGCTTATGCAAGCCAATCAGGACAATTCTGACGCCAGGGAAGGCACTAGTAATTCAAGCAATGCTAATCTGCATACCATGGTCGCCTCACTAGTGTCTTCCATGGGGCAGATAAATGAGAGACTGGAAAGACTGGAAGCTCGTAGCGGTCCAGTTGTGACACCAGAGCCACCTGCTACCGATATCCCAGGGCCATCACAAGCCCAACCTGGTAATCCTAATACCCCCACTATCCTTGGGTCACAAGTGATCAACCCAGCCCATATGGTACCAGCAAACCTTAGAAAAGACATCCTGGAGGGCAAGGATGTAAATCTAGTCTCTCTGCTTATTGCCTCCCAGGATATCACAGAGAACCGCGCATATACGTATGGCGATATTTCTGTGGTCCTCAAGGCCAGAGATCCTAGACTAAGCAGACTTCGTTATCGCATTCGGCATATACAGGGACGTACTGTGCTCAGTTTACCCACAGAGAAGGGAAGAGTTAGACCTGTACATGCACAAGCTGGTAGACCTGGGCAACAAATACGGTGGGTCATCATTTTACGATTACCACCGTTCTTTTTCAACTAAAGCGGCAACAGCTCTCGCCCAGTACAACGCAAGAATGGATTGGAGCCTAATGGATACAGAGCTGTTCCTCAGGCACTTTGCCGGGCTAAGGTCTCCAGCTTGTGCAATATGTGGGGCTACCACGCACGCTGCAAATCTCTGTCCTGTCTCCACAGACGATGCCCCAAACATTGCCACACCAAGCACTTCCAGGGGGGAGAAACAGGGCAGAGACAAGCTGGGTCGCCCTATCGTGTATTTGGGCAAGTCACAGATCTGTAATAATTTTAATGTTGGGGCTTGCTCCTATAGTGCTTGCCGTCTACTGCATATCTGCTCCCATTGTTTCAGGGCACATGCAAAGGCTATGTGCCCTAATAAAATGCACATTAAACCCTACCTAACTACTGTGAATGTTGATGTTCTGGCAGGGCTTCTCTCCAAGCACCCTTCTACACATCTTGTGGAGTATTTGATTGCAGGGTTTTCTAAAGGGTTTCATACTGGCCTCATTCACATACCAGGGGGTACATGGGAAGCCAACAACCTCCAGTCCGCCCTTTGTGACACAGACGCAGTAGACTACCTACTACAAATTGAACAAGACCAAGGATTTGTCTTAGGTCCATTTATTGACCCGCCGTTCTCTAATTGGAGAACAAATCCCATTGGACTAGTCACTGGGAAAACATCTAACAAACAAAGACTCATTATAGACCTGTCTGCTCCACATGCTTCGGTGATACCCAGCCTCAATTCCCTGATCCCGTCAGAGGCATTCTCTTTACAATACACCACCATAGACGACGCCATATCCACCATCATCTCAGCAGGCATAGGCGCATGGTTGAGCAAAACCGACATAGTTAACGCCTTTAAACTACTCCCCATACACCCGTCGCTGTGGCATTTGCATGGTATCAAATGGAGAGGCCAGTATTACTTCTTCACAAGGCTCACCTTTGGATCCAAGAGCAGTCCTAAAATATTTGACACTTTCGCAGAGACCTTGTGCTGGCTGCTCCTGAATACCAGCAGGTGCCATAGCGTCATTCATTACTTGGATGACTTCCTTTTCATAGAAAATAACGCTACCCCCCCTAACAGTTTACACAAAGCCATGCATTTATTTAACACCATTGGGGTTCCAGTATCTCCCACCAAGACAGAAGGTCCAGATACAATCATTCAGTTTTTGGGGATACAACTGGACTCCATAACTATGGAAGCCAGCCTCCCTAGAGATAAGATTGACAACATCACTCAGACCATTGAGCAGTACTTGTGCATAGGCTCATGCAATAGGAAAGAGCTTCAGTCACTGATTGGCTCGCTAAATTTTGCCATTCGTATTATACCCCAAGGAAGAGCATTCATTTCCAGACTCCTGTGCCTTCTTCCGACACTAACGGACGAACACAAACGTACCACTCTTGATAGGCAAGCCACAGCAGACTTACACATGTGGAACTTGTTCCTGTCAAACTGGAATGGCAGGAGCATGTTCCTCCCCCAAGTCACAGAGGATTCCCCTACCATTTGGACTGACGCAGCAGCCTCCACAGGTTTTGCAGCCATTTTTGGGGACAACTGGCTATGGGGTAGATGGCCGGAAGAAGTTAAGCAAATAGAAGGCTTTTTTAGGAATTCTGCACTCTTTGAAGTGTACCCCATAGTAGCAGCAGCAGTCACATGGGGACAGTCTTGGGCAGGTAGACCAGTTCGATGTTTTTCTGACAACTTGGCGATTTGCCACGTCATAAACAAAGGCCGGTCTACCTCTCTAACCATCATGAGTTTTATCAGACGTCTTACGTGGTTGGCGGCCTGTCATCAGTTTCATCTAGTATGTTACCATGTACCGGGTATCTATAATACAGCCGCTGACCAGCTGTCCCGCTTTCAGTTTCAGGCGTTCAGGGAGTCTCTACCAACAGCGTCACCGGTAGCCACGATCGCTCCCCAACTCCAGGATCTAATCATGGACTAGAGGAATTATTACAACACAGCAAGATACTTACAAAACTCGCTCTCGCAAAAAACACGCATAGCGCATATGATAGAGCTTACTACCTATACAAGAAATTCATGGCAGACCATAATCTCACAAATTGGTTTGACAATGTAACATTGGTGGCTTTTGCCACTTTTTGCCACATTAAGTTAAAAATGTCGCATAATACCACAAAACTATACCTCACAGGTATCCAACATCATATGTTCACAGAACATCCTAACAACCAAGGGTTTCTCACCTCCTACCCCATTAAAACCCTCCTTAGGGGTATGCTCAAATCGCAAGGACCTACACCGCAACGTAGGGAGCCTATAGACATTCAACTGTTTAAACGTTTGTCAAACCTACTAGATACCACACCGTTCGAACCCCTTACTAACACCACTCTTAAAACGGCCATATACTTGGCTTTTTACGGTTTCTTACGACCCAGAGAATTTACCATTACTAGGCAACACGAGTCCAAGCATTGCCTCCGGTATTCTAACTTGTACAAAAAACAGGACCACTACGTATTAAGCTTACCTTCAACTAAGACCAGCCAGATGGGGCACGAGGTTCTTATTCAATACTACCCCACCAACAACGCATGGTGCCCGGTGAAAGTTTTTAACAACTATCTACAGTCATCACCTACACGAACCTCACTCGCTCTCCTTTCACTGCACGGCACAGCACTCACTACCGCCAAATTTGTGATGTATATTCGCTTACTATTGACCAGACTCGGCTGAAACGCCGCAAACTATTCTGGGCATTCATTCCGGATAGGGGCAGCCTCCACAGCCTCAGGCCTAGACATCCCGGTTCACATCATAAAAACCTTGGGCCGCTGGAAGTCATCCGCTTACGCTGTTTACATACCACAGCCAACACAAGAATTAAGGCATGCATTTGTGAAAATGTCACCGTAAATATGCTAACTCCATGTCTTGTGGTTTCGTTAATAAATATCTTTGATAACATTATATGGGTATTCCTTTTTGCCCTCTTATTTACAGGCCTACCACACACGTCGGTTTCGGCACACCTCTACCGACTTTTAATTATTATGATAAGTATACTCACTAGCTATTTCATACTATACTGAAATGGCCCCGAATACAAATTGGAAGGCAGGGCCTGAAGTTGTGGGAGGGGCTATATCCCTTTAAAAGGGACTCCCCCTCCTACCTCATTCACCGTCTGGTCCAGATGCTCGTTTGACCCACCCTCCTCTCCCTCTATTCAAATACTATTTAAGGTGGGCCCTCTTATTTACAGGCCTACCACACACGTCGGTTTCGGCACACCTCTACCGACTTTTAATTATTATGATAAGTATACTCACTAGCTATTTCATACTATACTGAAATGGCCCCGAATACAACTTATATATATATATTTGTATATCTCTCTTTATTTTCCCTTATGGTGCCCCAGTGGTGGTAATTAATATAAATTTTATTTTTTAAATCACTGTACTATGATCTATCTTGTATGTGCAGTTTGTTGGTTGTGTCCACAAGATAGTTAACACATGCTTACAGTTTAATTAATGTGTGGGCACCAGCGGCATTCATACCGCAGTCACAGGGGTCACAGCTGCGACCAGGCCTGCCACTCCAGGGGGCCCGGCCACCCTGCAGACCCCTGTGACCGCGTATCCACCGCCATCATCTTCTGCAGCCCTGGCCCACGTGGCAAACCGCCGTCCATGCTGTCCACCTGATGGATGTGGATTGTAAGGGGGCCCGGTCAGTGCTGGGCGCTTCAACAGTGCGACCGGGCCATCCCCGGGGTTAACATGACAAGCTGGGAGGAAGTGACCACATGTCACTCCTCCCAGCTAACACACAGAGCGCGCGGAAGGAAGCAGAGGGAGTCAGAGTGAGAATTCTGAGAATTCTGCCTCCCATCCTCCTGAGCCACCACTGGACCCCAGGGAAAGTCACCCTCCTGCACCTTAAATGTAGGAAACAGGAGGGTGACTTAAACATTTTGTGTGTTTGTGTTTGTATGTATGTGTGTTTGTCTGTATGTATGTGTGTGTCTGTCTGTCTGTGTGTGTCTGCCTGTTTGTATGTATGTCTTTGTATGTATGTGTGTGTGTGCCTGTCTGTGTATGTATGTGTCTGTCTGTGTGTGTGTCTGCCTGTATGTCTGCCTGTATGTGTGTGTGCTTGTCTGTTTGTATGTATGTGCGTCTTGTGTGTGAGTGTCTGTCTGTATGTGTGTATGTCTGTCTGTGTGTATGTGTGCCTGTCTGTTTTTTATGTATGTGTCTTTGTATGTATGTGTCTTGTGTGTGTGTGTGTGTCTGTATGTGTGCCAGTCTGTCTGTATGTGTGCCTGTCTGTTTGTATGTATGTGTCTGTGTGCCTGTATGTGTGCCTGTCTGTTTGTATGTATCTGTGTGCCTGTCTGTGTGTCGGTCTGTATGTATGTGTCTGTGCGTGTCTGTCTGTATGTATATATGTGTGCCTGTCTGTTTGTATGGATGTATGTGTCTGTGTGTATGTGTCTATGTGTGTGTGTATGTGTCTCTATGTATGTGTGTGTGTCTGTCTAGGGAGGGGGGGGGCCCACGGATCATTTTCGCACTGGGGCCCCATGGTTTGTGTGTTCGCCACTGGTGGGCACAATAGGGTTAACCAAATGTTGTGCATGAGAACTATACATTACAAATACATTAAGATTTTCTATCCCCTGACATTGTGCAACTTTCAGAGCCCTTGAGCTGTGTAAGGGACCCCAACATTTCTGATGTCACCCCTGGAGGCAGGTACAAATAGGAGGAGCCAGTGTTCACAACTTAGTAGATTGTGCCTACAAGTTAACTATATTGTGCCCACTCTTTAAAGGGACTCTCCAGTGCCAGGAAAACAAACTGTTTTCCTGGCACTGCAGGTCCCCTCTCCCTCCCACCCCCCATCCCAAGTTTCTGAAGGGGTTAAAACCCCTTCAGTGACTTACCTGTATCCAGCGCCGATGTCCTTCTAATGCGCGAAAAATGCTTTCAATGCTTTCCTATAGGGATTTCAGTGATGCTGGAGGTCCTCACATAGCGCGAGGACATCGAGCGACGTTATAGCACACTTTTCCAGAAGTGGTCTGGGTTCCTGGAATGTCCCTTTAATTAAACTGTGAGCATGCGTTAACTATCTTAAAGGTACAATTTACTATATCCTGCTCCCAGGACTGTACAGCATGTCCGCGAAAATGGAAATGCAGTGGCAATGGACCCTCAATTTAATAAAACACTGTTATTCCTATACAGACTGTTGAACTAATATCCCATGGGATCTTCAATCCCACTGACCTCTAGTGCAGGCGTCCGACCTCTGCAAGTGGCGGCGCGTCATCTCCTCTTTAGCTGCCACCTTTCACACTTTGCACTGGAGCATTCCACAGTCCCAATTGACCAGATGGCATTCTTTCAGGACACCTAGTTGGGCATGCCCCTCACATGCCTGTATGGTGGAAGATGGTGAAGTCTGGGGGGGAGGGCGGGCTTCTCTTGTGGAATGGAAAAGGTGTGTCCCCTCCTGTTTTTTGTAAAGCCCAGAGTAGCCTCATACCTTGCTCAGATACTTTTTCATCCTAATTAGAGAGAGATCTAAATTGCATACTGGTATTCCAGACCCAGAGGATGGAAACTCTCCAGGAACACTTCTACATGCAGAGAAAGTCAAGTCACACAGATTCCATCATATTGCAGAGAGTATTGACCGATACAAAATATTGTCATGTTGTGCTTATTCCAATATAAGTTTGCAATATGATGGAATCTGTGTGCTTGGACTCACTCTGCATACAAGAAAAAAGGGTAAATATGCAAATATGCAGATAATTTCTCCAAAAGTAGGGAAATCATCAACTAAATATTGCTCTAAAAAAATGGTCTGAGGGTTTTCATATAAAAACCTTTATAGCAGCACAAAATTAAGCCAAAGTACAATATAGACTGAATATTCACCAAAGAGCTGATATTAGAGGTGACAGATAATGATGTTTGTAATTATGAAAATAGATATATTAAAAAAGTGATGCATTAGCAAAGGATATCAGTGAAAAGGTCAGTGTCTTTGTATGACTCTTTTTTTTTTTTTTTTAAGTCTATAAAGTCTATTTATATTCTAAATAAAGTCCAGAAATGACTGCAAGATAAAGAAAATTTTGTGGCAATGTGGTCTTAATGGAACACTAAATGGAAAAAAAAGTAGCAACCTTTGGACACAATTTGCTAAATGATTTAGTACTTTCAGTGTTATACCCTTAACTTTCAGTACAGTATCCCAGAGAGAGAAGCACACAGTAATGATTCACTATTAACCATTAAATTCAGAGAAACTGCAATGTTTACCATCCAGGGTTAAGACTGCCTCTAAAAGCACTTCCTACTGTTTCACAGTGTTTAACTCAGTGAAACGACACTGGTCTCTCTCTCTTTGCATGAGGACGTCCAATGTCTTGAAAAACCCTACAGGAAATCATTGATTTAATGCTTTCCTACAGGGAAGGTCTAATGCACGTGTGGTGTTTTTCACGCATGCGCAATAGGTTGCCCTCCATTGCAGACATCAGAAGAGGCAGAGAGGAAGCCAGCGCCGAGGGACCTTGGTGCTGGAAAGAGGTAAGTGGTCCAAAGGGTTTGTTTTGATATCCTAATGCTGTAGTGTTCCTTTAAGAATACAAACTGAATTTACAAACTTAAAATCTTTGCATTGATATTACTTGCTGATGCATCACTATTTAATATAGCTGTTCTCTCTGCATACAGTTTGTGCTAGTTGTCTTCAGTCCTGCGCTATCTACATGTGCTACCAGTACCGGTGTTACGTCTCTACTACCAGTCCTGTGCTACCTGTGGTACCAGTATTACAAATACCTGTACTACCAGTCCTTGTGCTACCAGTCCCTCTGTTATCAGTACCAGTGTTACCAGTACCTGTACCTACAACCTGCACTGCTTGTGCCTATAGTCTATGCGAAACCTGTACCTACAATCTATATGAAGCCTGTGACTACAGTCTGTTACGCAGACTGGGAACTAAAAGTAGTCCTGGAAATACATTTTGCACAGTCTGTTGCTCTTCATAATTCATTTTCTGCACTTTCAGAGTGTAATGGTGTTGTGGAGAGAGGCATTGAGGCTAGTTGTGTTGTGGAGAGAGGCACTGAGGCTAGTGGTGTTGTGGAAAGAGGCACTGAGGCTAGTGGTGTTGTGGAGAGAGGCACGGAGGCTAGTGGTGTTGTGGAGGGAGGCACTAAGACTAGTGGTATTGTGAAGAGAGGCACTGAGGCTAGTGGTGTTGTGGAGAGAGGCACTGAGACTAGTGGTGTTGTGGAGACCGGCTTGGAGACTATGGTGAGGCCTAATAGAAAGCAGTTGTTGTTGGGGATTCCATTATAAGAGGTGTGGAGATGGACAATGGTGGTCTTGTGAGGTGTCTTCCCGGAGCTACTGCTCACAGAGACAGGAGACGTATCTGTAATATTGTTAAGCAAGCAAAGCAGGAAGGGGAATTGGATGTACTTGTCCATCTAGGGACAAATGACTTGGCTTGCAATGAGGTTTCAGAGGTTAAGGAAGTTTTTAGTGTTTTTGCCAATGATATACGGCAGGTTGCTTCCACACTGTCATTCTCTGAAGTTCTGCCTGTGCATAACACTCAGAACGACAGGCGGATGCGTATTAGGGACTTTAATTTGTGGCTTGGTGAATGGTGTCGGGAGCAAGGATTTGGCTTTATTTCTCATGGTAGCTCTGTTTGGAATGGAGATAAGCTGTACAAAAAAGATGGTTTGCATCTTTCTCAAAAGGGAACAAATGTTCTCAGTGAGCAGTTCAGAGGTTTTGCTAGGATGTATTTAAACTAGGAGGGGGGGCAAAAGGGTGATAAAACATCAATCCAATTGTCCCCCAAAACAAGGACAGAAGGTGCCTGTAGCAAGTGTGTTAAAAAATGATAAGCTTAGAGTCATGTCTACAAATGCTCGCAGTTTAGGGAATAAGATCCATGAACTTGTGGCAATAATGGCAACTGATAGTGTAGATTTAGTCGCTGTTACTGAGACATGGTACAATGAGAAAAATGACTGGGACATAGCAATACCAGGGTACTCTTTATATAGGAAAGATAGGGAAGGCAAGAAAGGGGGAGGGGTGGCCTTGTATGTGAAGGATAGCATAAAATCTAGCCTAATAAAAGTTAGTGAGGCAAACATAGAGTCCATTTGGGCTACGTTAGAATTTGGTAATCACACAGTAACTCGTGTAGGTGTGATTTATAGGCCCCCAGGACAAATTGAAGAGTTAGATAATCTACTAGTTGAGGAAATAGCTAAAATGACAATGAAGGGGGAAGTTATCATCATGGGTGACTTTAATCTTCCTGATGTAAATTGGAAAACAAAATTAGCTACTTGTGCCAGGAGCACACATATTCTAAACTCTCTACTGGGATTGTCTCTAAAACAAGTTGTTGAGGAGCCAACTCGTAAAGAGGCCATACTAGATTTAGTGTTAACAAATGGAGATTTGGTATCAGATATTACTGTAGGTGAAAGTTTAGGGTCCAGTGATCATCAGTCAGTGTGGTTTAATATAAGAACAGTGACTGAGTCACACCACACAAAAACAAAAGTTTTAGACTTTAGAAAAACAGACTTTTCTAAAATTAGAATATGGGTAGAGGAGTCATTATCAGACTGGAGCAATTTAAATGGAGTCCAAGAGAAATGGGATTATTTAAAAGTTGCACTATTGAAGGCAACAGAAAATTGCATTAGGCTTGTCAGTAAAAGCAAAAAATTCAAGAAACCACTGTGGTACTCCGCAGATGTGGCCAAAATAGTTAAAAACAAAAAGTTAGCATTTAGGAATTATAAAAAAAACCCAGAGTGAGGAAGACAAAATGATCTATAAGATTAGGCAGAAAGAGGCTAAGCAAGTTATAAGAGCTTCCAAATCACACACAGAAGAGAAAATAGCACAGTCAGTAAAAAAGGGGGATAAAACATTTTTTAGATACATAAATGAGAAAAGAAAAGTAAAACAAGGATTAGTTAGATTAAAAACAAAAGAAGGAAGGTATGTAGAAGAGGATAAAGGTCTAGCTGACTGCCTCAATGAATATTTTTGTTCTGTATTTACAGATGAAAATGAAGGAAAGGGACCTCAGTTGAGAAAAAGGACAAATGAGTCATTTATTACACGTGAGTTAACAGAGGAAGAGGTTCTATTTCAACTGTCAAAAGTAAAGACAAATAAGTCAATGGGACCTGATGGAATACACCCAAAGCTATTAAAAGAGCTTAGTGGTGTACTAGCAAAACCATTAATAGATTTATTTATCCAATCATTGTTAACAGGAGTAGTCCCAGAAGATTGGAAGTTAGCGAATGTTGTGCCCATTTACAAGAAAGGTAATAGGGAGGAGTCGGGCAACTATAGGCCAGTAAGCCTTACTTCAGTAGTGGGGAAAGTGATGGAAACCATGTTAAAGGATAGGATTGATGAACATCTAAAAACACATGGATTTCAAGATCAGAGACAACATGGATTTACTTCAGGGAGATCATGCCAAACTAATCTTATTGATTTTTTTGATTGGGTAACTAAAATTATAGATCAGGGTGGTGCAGTAGACATTGCTTACCTAGATTTCAGTAAGGCTTTTGACACTGTTGCACATAGAAGGCTTATCAATAAACTGCAATCTTTAAGTTTGGATTCAAATATTGTTGAATGGGTAAGGCAGTGGCTGAGTGAAAGGCAACAGAGGGTTGTAGTTAATGGAATATATTCGAAGCTTGGACTTGTCACCAGTGGGGTACCTCAGGGATCTGTACTTGGACCCATTCTCTTTAATATTTTTATTAGTGATATTGCAGAAGGTCTTGATGGTAAGGTTTGTCTTTTTGCTGATGATACTAAGATATGTAACAGGGTTGATGTTCCAGGAGGGATAAGCCAAATGGCAAATGATTTAGGTAAACTAGAAAAATGGTCAGAATTGTGGCAACTGACATTTAATGTGGATAAATGCAAGATAATGCATCTTGGATGTAAAAACCCAAGGGCAGAGTACAGAATATTTGATAGAGTCCTAACCTCAACATATGAGGAAAGGGATTTAGGGGTGATTATTTCTGATGACTTAAAGGTAGGCAGACAATGTAATAGAGCAGCAGGAAATGCTAGCAGAATGCTTGGTTGTATAGGGAGAGGTATTAGCAGTAGAAAGAGGGAAGTGCTCATGCCATTGTACACTGGTGAGACCTCACTTGGAGTATTGTACACAGTACTGGAGACCGTATCTTCAGAAGGATATTGATACCTTAGAGAGGGTTCAGAGAAGGGCTACTAAACTGGTTCATGGATTGCGGGATAAAACTTACCAGGAAAGGTTAAAGGATCTTAACATGTATAGCTTGGAGGAAAGACGAGACAGGGGGGATATGATAGAAACATTTAAATATATAAAGGGAATCAACACAGTAAAGGAGGAGACTATATTTAAAAGAAGAAAAACTACCACAACAAGAGGACATAGTCTTAAATTAGAGGGACAAAGGTTTAAAAATAATATCAGGAAGTATTATTTTACTGAGAGGGTAGTGGATGCATGGAATAGCCTTCCAGCTGAAGTGGTAGAGGTTAACACAGTAAAGGAGTTTAAGCATGTGTGGGATAGGCATAAGGCTATCCTAACTATAAGATAAGACAAGGGACTAATGAAAGTATTTAGAAAATTGGGCAGACTAGATGGGCCGAATGGTTCTTATCTGCCGTCACATTCTATGTTTCTATGTTTCTAAATTATATACAAGCCCCATAAATGCGATGTGGCAGCATAGTGTGCAGATATAGAGGTGGAAAAGATAACTTAAAATTGAAAACTAAAAACTATTGCACCAACGTGAAAGAAAGTGCTCATAGGGCTTAAAAGTAAATGAAAGAGTGGATTTATTTGTGTATGTATATATATATATATATATATATATATATATATATATATATATATATACACACAGTATCTCACAAAAGTGAGTACACACATTTTTGTAAATATTTTTTTATATCTTTTCATGTGACAACGCCGAAGAAATGACACTCTGCTACAATGTAAAGTAGTAAGTGTACAGCCTGTATAATAGTGTAAATTTACTGCTCCTTCAAAATAACTCAACAATTCCAGTGACCAGTATGAGAGAGTGTGAGAGCGATAACCCCAAATTTAACACACCTGCTCCCCATTCAAACCTGAGACCTTGTAACACTAACAAGTCACATGACACCAGGGAGGGAAAATTGCTAATTGGGCCCAATTTGGACCTTTCCACTGTGTGTTCAGTTATCTTGAGGGGACAGCAAATATACACTATTATACAGGCTGTACACTTACTACTTTACATTGTAGCAGTGTTGTCACATGAAAAGATATAATAAAATATTTACAAAAATGTGAGGAGTGTACTCACTTTTGCGAGATACTGTATATATATATTTATTTAAAAACACCTCACCTTGGCAAAAAACAATGGGGGTTTAGTTACATTATATGATCATATATTGCATAAGCCTGCCACAATGTACCCCATTCTTGGCATGTCCTACTCTTGCAGCCTAATGCCTGCCCATATGAGATCAATATATATATTACTAATACACACATTAACATCCATGCAAAATAATGTATGTATTACTGTAAGATTCACATCAATTACAGCTAAAACAGCATATATAAAAATAGGAGACCACCACACAGAAGTTAATCTCTATTCGGTTTGCCTAATTTAAGCAAAACGCACGTTAATGTGTGCTGGTCTCCTATGTTATCCTATGGGGACAATATGCTACTTTAGCGATTCTCTTGATATAATAATTGAATTAGACTCCACACAATTGTATTTATCTCTCTCTTTTTAATCCTCTATTGAATGTTAGGTTGCTCTACCCTTCTAATTAGACCTAATTAAATCTTTATTTTCCAATCTTATAGTTAGACATTTGTGAGTTCCCTGCTTAGAAGAAATTCCTTTCTAATTAAACTGATTTATCACATTGTTGCCTACTTATTAAATACTTTGAGAGCATACAGATCTATTCACACTCTGACACTCCTTTCTGCTATCAGCCTATTTACCTCTATATATTCTAGGCAATGTTTATCCCCTTCTCTAATGTATTAACATTATAACCAGATATGTTTCTGTAGGCAATCTGTTATTTTGGGTGGATGAATTATTAAGGTTTTATTATTTTTTTTATTTTCAGATGTTGAATTAAAAGTTATGTTTCATTACAGTTAGAGCTGGAGATATCTCTATTTCTCCATTTTGTCTTGTACTTATTTTAGGGGTTACCCCACAGCAGCTTTCTAGCCTGTCACACTCTCCCTGCTTAAGTTCCTTATTTAAGTAAATAAACAAAGTTTATTTTATGTATATAACATTATGTGTACCTACTTTTTTATTAGATATAAAAATAATATTTCATTTACCAGATAGTCTTACTCTTAGCTTCTTTTTTTTTTTTTTTGCACTGTTAGTCAAAATACTTTGCATGTTCTCTTTGACTTTAACTGATTCTTTGAAAAACAGGTTTACCTTTTCATTTTTCTAAGTATTAATGTGTCACATTGCTTAAAGTATTTATGTTCCCTATTGGGCATCCCATTGGGAGAAATGCAAGCATTTTAACCTTGCATGTTTAGAATATCATCTTTGACGTGCTTCTTTGACATTGGTGGGTTACACCCTGCCCCCTAAACAAGGGTAATCACATCATGACTCATTGATGAATGTAGTGTTTCCCTTTTGCATATACATAAATATAATACTGCTAAACCTTTGCCATTTATATTTTTGTTTGCTTTACCATTATTGTCACAGCATAATAGGTCAGGCCATTTGGCAAGTATTTTCATGCTTTTTTCAAGCTGTGCCATGTCGCAATATATGCTCACATCCTGAAGGTTCATTAGATACTATCAGTGTAATTCACTAAAGTTCAAATGGGTCAAAACCATGCAGCTGCATACAGGTAAATTTATATTCGGACTATTCGGAATTCATCAATGTCCATAATTTGAAATTTAGGCCTCAAACAGGCCTGAATTTGGTCCAGATTTCAGACGAACCGAACAATGTTGAATGGCTGATATTCAGGCCAAACACGGCAAATACAGACATGGAGAATTGAGCTCTGGATTTAGAAACAAGCCGAACAATTTGGCAACTGGCAACACTTGCAGCCAGTAGGCAAAGACTTGAAAAAACCCTCGGCAGTATGAGGGTTAATTTTTGTGGTGGCTGGTGTGACCGAGCTCCAGTACTCCGATCCAGTACCTCAAGCAAGTCTGCTTCCTCATAGGTATTAGGGAACCTGGAGCACTTCTGACCTAGTCGCCGAGGCTTGACTTGCCTTTTCCACCCTGGACCATGCTACTGTGTTTATAGCCAGGGACACCTTTTTCATCAACAGATTATATACCTTTCCCCAAATACCAGATGGCACTTCTGCCATCTAGTATTTTTAATATACATAGCACACCTGCCACCTTTAATATACATAGCACACATATTTAAGCCCCCCAACAGCCTCATTTACATTCAATAGGGGGCATAGAGCACTATAGTACAAGGAAGGGTGGGGCCAGACAAAAGCAAGGGCTACAAACCAAATAGGAGATTGAGGAGGAAAAAGGTGGAGGAGAAAGGCACAGACAATCAATACATTCAACATACCCTGCACCAATACTGGGCACAGGGTGACCAAAACACAAGAGGAATCTGGGGACCCACATATAGTGTCTGTGTTTTGTCATCCCCAGTGATGGTGAGTGTCGTCACAGCTGGCCAATGCTTGTTTGCCAGCTGCCACATGGAAATAGTACAAAAATAGAATACAAATAATAATAGAAAACTAAATTCCTATAGTCAATAACACCCCCATATTACTATAATGTAAGCAATATACCTTCATTTGCACCACCTTTAATGTGAAAGATGGGGGCATATCTGCCAAACATTTAAAACTAATCAATTGAAAAGCAACCAGTGGGACATGTGAAATAGTGGGGGGCAACATAGTACACATCGTGCCCCCACCCATGGACATTAGGTGGTGGATTCTTTAAATTTTAAGGGGGATGGATCTAGTTAGGCAAGTGGGGGCACTAAAAGGTATAATAAAAGGGAATAGGACTTATTATCTCCTCCACTGACCCCCATCAATGCTAATATATATATATATATATATATATATATATACCTAGGCTGCAGATCTGCCTTGTTACCAACCTGCTTCATACCAACCTTACCTACGCTACAGTCCTGCCTTATTACCAACCTGCTTTATACCAACTTTACCTACGCTACAGACCTGCCTTATTACCAACTTGCCTTACCTACGCTACAGACCTGCCTTATTAGGAACCTTACCTACGCTTCAGACCTGCCTTGTTACCAACCTGCTTTATACCAACCTTACCTACGCTACAGACCTGCCTTATTACCAACCTTACCTACACTACAGACCTGCCTTGTTACCAACCTGATTTATACCAACCTTACCTACGCTACAGACCTGCCTTATTACCAACCTTACCTACGCTACAGACCTGCCTTATTACCAACCTAACCTATGCTACAGACCTGCCTTGTTACCAACCTGCTTTATACCAACCTAACCTACGCTACAGATTTGCCTTGTTACCAACTTGCCTTATACCAACCTTACCTATGCTACAGACCTGCCTTGTTACCAACCTAACCTATGCTACAGACCTGCTTTGTTACCAACCTGCTTTGTTACCAACCTGCTTTATTTTACCAGCCTGGTACAAACCTACCTAATCTGCATAACCTGACACCTGAAGGCTATATGGAGTTTCTTTCCTGATTCTACGAATAATGAGAGACTATCCAGCCATAAGTCAAGTAACTCTTCTACAGATTACAATATGACTGCATGTGATCCTAAATCTATATCTAGATTCCTTTATTACAAAGTGTAATTACCTGCATTATCAGTACTCCTCCCAAACCAGGGGGCTGATTGCCTAAATGTCTATTTTACTTGCATTTCTGAAACATTTCCATTCTGTTCTGTTTTACTTGTCTCTCTAAAAAATCTATACTTTTATCTATAGGTTTTCTTCTCTATCTAAATATCTTGTCATTAACCTGTCTGGGGCATATTGCCTAAATCTTTTTCTGGTCTCCCCTTTTACTTACCTTCCTCTTTATAGTTCTTCCTCCCACTTTGGCTTGCTAGGTATTATTTACCTCCCGCTTGTTAGGTATACTAATTGTGTATAACCATGTCTAAAGCTCCCAATAAAGAACCAAACATTAACCCTGTCAAGTCTCTTACCGGACATGCTCAAGACCGTGACAGTAGGCTAAGCATTAAAAACACAGCTTTTTCAGAGGCAATGTTTACATTGCTGGTTAAGTCCACCTCTAGTGGCTGTCACTCAGACAGCAAATGAAGACTTTCTGGATAAGATCCTGCAATCATTGCAGGACCTACAGTCAGTATAGTCACGCTCTGCATGGAGATGCTCAGCATACCTGATAGAGATGCATTGATTCAGTACATCTCTATGAGGAGATGATGATTGGCACAGTACGTCAATTTGCAGCACATTCACACTAGCCTCCTGCTTCTCAATGTGGAAATATTGGCTTGACTGAGCCAAGGAGCCAGGGCAGCACCGCAGTGGCTTAACAGTAATTAAACCATTTTTTCTTCTTTTTTTTTCATGCACATGGTGGGTTGTGTGGTGGGCCACCCAAATAGTTTGCTGAACATAAAGTGTGAGGAACACACTTTTTTGGTGTTCTTAATTAGATATAGTTTCTTTAAAATAAACTAGTAGCTTCAATGGATCTATTCCTTGCTGGAAATTCCATTAAAATTCCATTACTTATAACAATATGCCAGCTGCCATGCCCCAGTACTGATGGTAGGGTTGTATATTTTGACAGGACTATTTAGGTCTCATTTGCAATAAACAGGCATCTCAGCAACATTTAAAACATATTATTTGTGTTTTGTTTCTTGTTTGTGTTGCCCATTGTTCCTGTACAGAACTATAGTTTGTCATTATCTGCTTGAAGGATTAGTTTACTGATATTTATATAGGAAGCAAACGCATAGTGATGTTCACGTCAGGAATAACACATGTATATGCTTCTGCATGCTGAATCATCTACAGAAATAAAGTAACCATTCAAATGTGCTTACAAAAGCTTTCTCTCCTTGCTCTACACAAAAACCTTTCCTATCGCAAGTGGGATTCACGGATTTGTTACGTAATCCAACACTAATAAAGGGGTTCATTTGTGCTGTTATCACCACTAACAGCAACAGTTAAATGTGTGATCTTGTTTATGATGTCCAGGATTAATGTTTACCTTCTTGGCAGATACTGAGTGCCCTACAAAGGACTTAACCACCAGTATTGTGCCTGTGCTATCGGTTTACCATTAGTGCTCTATAGCTTAGAACAAAGCCTTTGTGACCAAGTCACAAAAAATGTAATCAAGTTAGTGTGGACTGAAGTGAGAATTTAAATTATCTTCCTGTGTCTTTAAATTAAATTAGCATGCACGGTACCGCTGAAAAAACTTTATAAATCACTTACTGCACGCCTACTTGTTATCAATCTTTTATTTTTCTGTAGCAATGGTATTAGTATTGCTTTTTTTTAAGAGAATCTGTCATTAGTCATATTATGTTTTAGCATAGAGTATCTCAATTTAATATAACTTAATGTGAAAGATATCTTATATATTCTGTCAGCAAAGGCATCATACATATTAAATACAGAGTCTTTCCTTCACTAAGCTTCTTTGAAAACAGTTGAGAAAAAGGAATATTCTATTTACCATAACAAATGACGTTTATTGTAGTAGTGTTTTTTTTTAATCAAGATAAAAGAGGTACTCTCTTAAGGAGCAAAGTGCTAAATGTTGAGAGACTTGCCTTGATAAATCCCCCCAAAAGAGTCTATAAGTGCAGTCTCTCAAGTTTTTGTCAAACCATATTCAATTGGGTGGACATTAAAGGGAAACAATAGTGCAAGGAATACACCCATTCCTTCACTAAATATAGTAAAATCTTACCTTTAATCCAGTCTGCTGCTGGCTCTGCCCCTGATCTGTCTTCTTGACTGACATCATTCCAATAGCAAAGCATTAGAATGGCTGTGTAACACCTGAAGCTGCTGCAGGCTCATGGGGGTGCCTAGCGGCAGCCACGAAGATCCCGGTCCCACGCTGCTCTCACTAAGGCTCTGCACTACCTGTGAGGTTTCCGGATTTCCATGGCAACCTAGTGCTACCTACAGGCATCCTGTGGAATTACAGGACCCTGTAGGTGGTTAAATTTTATACTTTCCTTTCTGTGATGCAAATTTTTTGTTGGATGCCTGGGTCTACCCTGCACAGGTCACACCCCTTTGTGTGTCCTGGTGCAGACTGATGATGGTGTCCAATAGTATTCTTCCATGCCTTATATAAGTTCCCCTCTTTCTGGGAATCATTGCCCTGTCATGATTCTTGTTAGCCCGAGAGTGTCCAATGCAGTCAAATAGAAGCCCCTGCTCACTTACCTCCAGGCAAGCACCACATCATGTAGAATTACTACACTTCTTCCATAACTCTAAAATGACAGGTCGTCCGGGCAGGGGCGTACCTAGAGCATTTGGCACCCGGGGTGGATCCTGGGGTTGGCACCCCCTCACCCCCCTCTACTCCCCCCTCCAAAAAAAACCTGTAACATTTTTTAAATGTTTTCCTTTTTTTTAATGTATTGAACTAATTTGGAAACTTTGCAAAACCGCTGTCAGCCCCCTTCTACTAAACCCTTGTGTGCCCCACCCCCTCCTACAAAACCACTGTCCCACCCGTCTACAAATCTTGTACTGCCCCCGTCTACAAAACCCCTGCAACCTCCATCTACAAATCCCCTTATAAAGACTCCTGTCCCAATACAAAACCCCGGCCCCCTTCTACAAAATCCCTGCAGCCCCACACACACATTTACAGGCAGACAGTCACACACACACACACAGTTACAGGCAGACAGTCACACATACAGTCAGAGACAGTCATGCACACAGTTACAGGCAGACAATCACATATACATTCACACACACACACACACGCTCACAGGAAAATAGTCACATACACACAGTAAAAGGCAGCAGCAGACAGTCACATGCACACAGTCACAGACAGTCACACATGGTTACAGGCAACATCAAACAGTCACAGGCAGACAGTCACACATACATAGTCACATGCAGACAGCCACACAGTCACACACACAGTTATAGGCAGACAGTTACACATACAGTCAGTTACAGGTAGTCACACAGAGTCACAGCCAGGCAGTCACACGCACAGTTATTGGCAGACAGTCTCACACACACACACACACACACACACACAGTCACAGGCAGAGAGTCACATACACATACACAGTCACAGTCACACACACAGTTACAGGCAACATCACACAATCACAGGCAGACACACACACACCGTTACAGGCAGACAGACACACACACACACAGAGTTACAGGCATGCAGTCACACACACACACACACAGTTACAAGCAGACAGTCACACACACACACACAGTTGCAGCCATGCAGTCACACACACACACATGCATAGTTACAGGTATACAGTCACACACACAGATACACACACACAGTTACAGGCAGACAGACAGACACACACACACACACACAGTTACAGGCATGCAGTCACACACAAACACACACACACAGTTACAGGCATGCAGTCACATACACATACAGTTACAGCCATGCACACACACACACAAACACAGTTACAGGCATGCAGACACACACACACACACAAACACACACACATACACAGTTACAGGCATGCAGACACACACAGAGAGAGACACACACACACATACACAGTTACAGGCAGACAGACACACACACAGAGTTACAGGCATGCAGTCACACACACACACACACATACACAGTTACAGGCATGCAGACACACACACAGACACACACACACACATGTTTGTGTGAATGTTTACATGGTGTGTTCAATAAAAACATGGCAACATTTCATTCTTTGTGTGTTATTAGTTTAAGCAGACTGTGATTGTCTATTGTTGTGACTTAGATGATGATCAGATCACAGTTTATGACCAATTTGTGCAGAAATCCATATCATTCCAAAGGGTTCACATACTTTTTCTTGTAACTGTACACAGTTACAGGCATGCAGACACACACACAAACAAACACAGTTACAGGCATGCAGGCACACACACAACCACAGTTACAAGCATGCAGACACACACAGGCAAACACAGTTACAGGAAGACAGTTTTACAGACACAGTCACACACACACACTATTACTTACAGACAGGAGCTGGAGGAGGAGTGGATTCACTGGAGTCCTCCTGAAACCTGTTAGGTGGAGTCAGAGAGGCAGGGATTCCTTCTTGCTGCACCGCCATGTGCAGCAGTAACAGCAGCGGGTAAGGGCAGTATTAAGCACCGCCGCCGCTGTCAATTTGGATCCGCCCCGATTCTGCTTAGCGCCGCCCCCACTTTCCTTCTGTGCGGCCAGTTCAGCTGCTCTTTGCGTGTGTGAGCTGTTCTGGCCGCACGGCACCCTAACTACCATGCGGAGGTACTGTGCTGCCATACAGCTCACACAGCCCCCACACCAGGGTCATGGCACCCCCCACCCAGTGGCACCCGGGGCAGACCGCCCCTCTGCCCCCCCTTTAGTATGCCACTGTGTCCATGTGTAAAAACAATCACTTCTGCCATATTGATACAATTTTGGTGTTCTTCTATGAAGTGTGATATATCTGATTACATTATAGCCTGCACCATATGTTCACAAACTAAGGTGTCCCATTAGTTATCTATAGGTCTCCTGCATCTGTTGCCTATTCTGGATAGACCATGGTTACACATGTCCATGGATTTTGTGGTTGACCTACCTCCCTCAAAAGAGAACATTGCTACCTTAATAACCATAATAGACGGATTTTCTAAAATGTTCCTCTCCCCAAATTGCCTTCATCCTTTAGATGAAGTTTTTGCCAGAGAAGTTATCCGACTGCATGGTAATCCTATTCAAATAGTTTCTAATTGTGGTAGTCAGCTCATATCAAGGTCTGGCGTAACTTTTGTTCTGGGATGGACATTCGGCTGGTCTTCTCTTCCACTTACCATGCACAGTCTAATGGTGCTGCCGTCCTAAACAATCCATGAAACAGTTCTTGCATTGTTTTGTCTCTCAGAGTAAAGAAAATTTGGACCAATCTGCTCCCTCAGTGGCATAGCTAGAGCTTTTGGTGCCCGGGGCTGTCCATGAGTTTGCCGCCCCTATCTCAACCCAAATACAAAATATTTTCCATCACAAAAGATTGGTGGTCCTATGCCATAAGACCGAACTTTAGCGACATGACAGTAGATGCTGGCCGCTGCAGATTCACACTGTTTTGACTGTGGATGACGTCATGCAAAGGGCAGATGTGTGGATGATGCACGTTTTAGAGTCAAAGGCCGGATACGGCCAATGGGATTCACAAGAGGGATATTTTAACTTTCATTTCTTCTACTCATTGCCCTGTCATGGTTTCACTTTGCTGGTTATCCGAGAGTGTGTTCCTGATCGTGTTTCTTTGGTACTTGACTTTGGCTTCATTCTGACATCCCTGAATTCTGGTATCCCTGATTGGCTATTCCTTGCAACTGTGTTTCGTTCTCTGTTCCTGACCTTGGCTAGTATTTCGACTATTCTCTGGTACGTTAAGTCTGGCCATCCTAAGGTCCGGTTAGACGTTATCCTTTTTACCAAATGTGATACTAATACTGCGTGTTGGATCAATTGTAACCCTGACACGGTCTAGGGGAGGGAGGGGGACTGTGAGGGTGCAGGGAGAAAGGGGGTCTGTGAAGGAGGGGGAGGGGACTGTGAGGGTGCAGGGAGAAAAGGGGTCTGTGAAGGAGGGGGAGGGGACTGTGAGGGTGCAGGGAGAGAGGGGGAAATCTGTGCAGGGAGAGAAGGGGAGGGAGAGAGTGGATCTGTGAATTTAGAGGGGTCTGTGCTGGGAGGGAGAAATTGGATCTGTGAAGGTAGGGGGGACTGTGCTGGGAGGGAGAGAGGGGATATGTGAAGGTAGGGGGGACTGTGCATGCTAGGAGAAGGGGGACTGTGCAGAGAGGGAGAGGGTCTGTGAAGAAAGGGGACTAAGCAGGGAGGGAGAGGGTCTATGAAGGGAGGGGGACTGTGTAGGGAGGAAGGTAGGGGGTCTGAGCAGGGAGAGACAGTCTGTGAAGGAAGGGGGGAATGAGCAGGGAAGGGATTGGGTCTGAGCAGGGAGAGAGAGTCTGTGAATGGAGGGGGTCTGAGCAGGGAGGAAGAGAGGGGATATGTGAAGGTAGGGGGGCTGAGCATTGAGGAAGAGGGTCTGTGAAGGGATGGGGTTGTCAGAAGGGAGGGAGGGTGTCAGAAGGGAGGGAGAGGGGCTGAGCAGGGTGGAAGAGGGTCTGTAATGGGAGGGGGCTGTCGGGAGGGGGGGGGGCTGTGCAGGGGAGAGCATATCTGGTGTATCTGTCAGGCATCTTTCCATCTTCTTTCTCCCAGCACTCACAGGACAGTAGGCACAGGAAGTGACCTCACTTCCCATTCCTCTTTCCCCGCCTCCTCCCCTCATACTGAGCACCGCACGATGGAGACCTTGCAAGTAGAGCAGACTTGCTGACGAATTTTGATGAATTTCCATGGAACCTCATGCTACCTACAGGCATCCTGTGGAATTACAGGACCCTGTAGGTGTTAAACGTTATAATTACCTTTCGGTGATATAATTTTTTTGTTGGACGCGTGGATCTGCTCTTCACCGGTCACACCCCTTTGTGTGGCCTGGTACAGAGTGATGATGGTGTCCAATGGTATTCTTCTTTGCCTTATATAATTTCCCCTCTTTCTGGGAATCATTGCCCTGTCGTGGTTCTTGTTAGCCCGAGAGTGCATTATATTGTTATTTCGTATTTCCAGTTGCTGACCTGGTTTCATATTTTTGACTATTCTGACTCTCTGTATCCCTTTAACCTTGACTTGTTTTCTTATTATTGTGTACCTCTGTATCGCTTGAGCTTGGCATTCCTTCTGACTATGTTTTTTTGGGCAGATGTTGAGCTCGGACACTAAGGTTCTGTATACGTACTCTGTCCTTCCTCCCATTTTGGCTACTATCCTTCTCCCTGTGTATAGGGGTTACCCTAAACCTGACATGCTGATCTTGTCAAGGAGACAGATCAGGAGCAGAGCCAGCGCAAGCCAAGCACAGCCCTGGCCAATCATAATCTTCTCACAGAGATGCATTGCATCAATGCATCTCAATGAGGAATGTTCAGTGTCTCCATTCAGAGGGTGGAGACACTGAATCGACATGCTGCACACTCTAGCAGCCATCTGAGGAGTGGCCAGTTGAGATATCCCTAGGCTGTAATGTAATCTCTGCCTTTTCTCTGAAAAAAACAGTGTTTACTGCAAAAAGCCTGCAGGGACCAGAACAAATACAACAAACTTCAGTTGTTCTGGAGACTATAGTGTCCCTTTAAACACTTAATAGAAGTTAGACATCCCTTTCTGCTTTTTATATAGATATATAGCATTAGGTCCCAAGCTTAAAAAACAGTATCCCATTGCTAAGGGAGACTGCAGAATTGTGGACTAAGAACTTTAAAAGTGGTTCAACTTTGTGCTCATTTGCTTACTTAGGACAGCATTCTGAGAAAATTGTGGAAGCACGATTTTTTGAGCTGCTCTTTGCAAGAAAGGTTTTCTCTTAAAGCTTGCTTGGAATATATATGTGATGCAGAGCAGTAACTATTCCTTTACAATCCTATTTGTATAAAGAAGCACTTTTTTTATTTGGTATGTTTAACGGATTGGATAGCATTGTACTAAATGCATAATATATATATGTAATGTATACGAAATTTAATTCAGGCTGTTAGAAGTATTTTTAATTTACCAGTTCAGTTTAGGCTTTTTTTAAATTTTATTAAGCTGCTTGTTTGTTTTTTTAGAACATTTAAATTTCCTATATTTCTTTTGAAATACTTATTTTCTGTGAAAAAAAAACAAAACAAAAACCACTTGATGTTTTTACTAATAAAGAGCAGTAAGATAGCTGATTATGGAAAAAGTTCAGTTTTGTAAAAAAATATATACAATGATCAGCAAGCTCAAAGTGTTTCCTGGATCTTCAAATTCCCCAGATCTCAAGTTAATTAAGCATCTGTGGAATGTGCTCGAACAACAAATCCAATCCATGGAGGCCCCATCTTTAAACTTGCAGGACTTAAAGGATCTGCTGCTTAAGTCTTGGTGCCCAGAGGCGGGCTGGGCCGGGGGGCAGGGAGGCAATTGCCCCCCAGGCCGCCCTAAATCCTTTTAAAATTGTTCGCTGCAGTGCCGGTCCTAATGCTGCAGCCGTCTGCGCACTCTGTAAAGAGCCTCAGGTGTCTGCAGCTGCTTCTCTCCTCCCCTCCCGTCTCCTGTAGCGTGGCCGAGCGTCTCTCCTGTCTGTGGTGCCCGGCCGGAGTGATAGGAAGGTGCTCCGCGCAGAGTTTCTGTTTCCTGTACCCGGCCGTACTGACAGGAAGTGCACACTGAGTGTGCACCTTCCTATCACTCCGGCCGGGCCCCGCGGACCGGAGACGAGCTCGGACACGCTACAGGGAAGGGGAGGTGAGGGGGGAGTAACAGAAAGAGGGGGCAGTAACAGAAAGAGGGGGGAATAACAGAAGGAGGGGGGAGGTGAGAAGAACACATGGGGGAATGAGAAGAACACAGGGAGGATGGAGGGGGGGATGAGAAGAGCACAGGGAGGGTGGGTGAGTGTGAGAAGAGACCGCTGGGGGGGGGTGTGGGGGGAGAGGAGAGACCACTAAAGGGCAGGGGAGAGTTCTAGGGGACAGAAGGGACAGCTCTATAGGACAGGGGCAAGACAGGGAGCTCTTTCACACTACGCACACACACACACACAATGCATCCCTATACATACACAGAAACACACAATGCATCCCTACACACACAGAAACACAACATGCTTCCCTTACACACAGAGAAACACACAATGCATCCATTACACACACACAATGCAACCCTTACACACAAAGACAATGCATCCTTTGCACACATACACAGAAACACACAATGCAAACCCTTACACACATTCAAACACACACACTGCTTTTCTTACATACACACAGAAACACAATGCATCTCTTACACACACTCAATGCACACACATACAGACACACACCTTGCATCCCTTATGCATATAAACACAGATTCACACAATGCATCCCTTATACACAACCAGAAACACAAAATACACACTGCTTCCACTACAAACAAACACACTGCATCACCTACACAAACTGCTATCCCTATACACTACATACCATAAGCACACATATTAGATCATCTACAATAACACATAACACATCCCCTACACACTCCACACCCTGTGAACGAACTCATGGGTGGGTGGAACGTATAAGTGGACTTATGAGTGGGCCTTGTGGGCATACTCACCGTCAGGCCCTGGGGCTCAGACCTTGAGCTGTGTAAGGGGCCCCCAAAAACTGGAGCTGCTTCCAATTCTCCCAGAACATTGAATATTGTGACCACAGTTGCAAACAGCCTCTAGAGATCCTGTTCTACACCAGACCAGTGGAGCCAAACTGCAGCCCATCATCATCCTCATCTGGTTGTAAGTAGGCAATCTAGTATATTATTAGTGACACTAATCTATAATTTACCTCACATTAAAGGGACACTATAGTCCCCAGAACCACTTCAGCTTAATGAAGTGGTTCTGGTGTCTATAGCTGGTCCCTGCAGGCTTTTTAATGTAAACACACACTGTGTGCAGCACTGGCGTTAGTTTATATGGCAGATCATATGGGTGGGGCATATGATCTGCCATATGCCGCCCCCCCATGTTGTCAGAGCGCAGGCTGAGAATCTCTGAGCCTGTGCTCCGACTCACTAACTGAGCGCCAGAACCACGAGGGAGAGGATATAATCTGACTTCACCTACTGCTGGTGCGCACCAGTGGACCACCAGCGAATCGTTTAAATTGAATATGCTGGTGTCCCCAACTTGTTAGCTGTGTTGGCCGCCAGGCACCTCTGTTGTCATGGCACCCTGCGTGACCGCACAGCTTGCACACCCCAATGGCTCGCCCTGCTGACACACACTGATGTTACTTTTTAGAAATCCCTCAATATTAATACAGACAGAGTAAACAACAATAAACTATGGAAACAGAGCAAAAGTTGGTCCAAACTCTTGTAAATTAGACTTTTGATTTGGTAAATTCATATATACAATATACGCCTACAGAAAAATTGTCAATGTAAATCTGTAGGTAAATGTTTTGCTTTCTTAAATGGAATCTATCTGGAGAATATTCATTCTCCTCTTAGAATGTTTGTTTTTTGTTTTACTTATTTATTTTATTTTTGGCACTGGTGTGGCTCTTTAATGTCTGCTTTATAGCTTCCTCTCAAAGTGCCTTTACTGATCTTAATTGTTTAAACAGCTATCTCAAAACCATCAAATAAACATGTGATAAAACACAATACAAATCACACAAAATTTGCAAATGATTCCCCTTAATATTTATAAAAGATAAAATACCAGTTAGTAATCAGTTAACTCACAATTTTAATAAAGTTAAAGGGAGCAATATAAAGTACAAGTAAAGAGCCCGTGGCTTGACTTGAAAAACCTAAAGCCGAGCTTCAAGAAGGGGAATACCACTTAAATAAGTACAAATTTAGAAAAAACAAATCCCTTAAATTCAAATCCCCTGTGTTCTGACGGAGCTTTAATCCAGGATTCTCACAATTTGACTTTTTTTGAAAAAAAATATATTAAGGGGTTAACATTAATTTAAATTAACAGAAAAAAATAATGGTTCATGATTGTTGTATTTTATCTTTTAGGTAAATATTCCTGTGGAAGATCAAGTGCAGTGATGATATCATGGCAAAGTATACTTTATTCTGTTGTGACTGGGAAGGTGGCAATTTATCCAATACAAAAACATTAAAAAGCAATCCAAAGAAAAAAAAAACAGTAAATGTTTCAACTATGTATTTTATTACAATGTGTAGGCAAATTGAGTTATTGAATTCAGAGCAGGATTAACCATAAACCGACGTAAGGTGGCTGCCTAGTGGGAGGGCCTGGAATTGTGAATTGGCTTGGTCCCACTTACCCATAGACATGTGAAGAATGAAGATGGGGCCCCACACTGCTAACCTGCCTAAGGTCCAATCAGCTCTTAAACTATTTATAGACCATTTATAGAATTCAGTAGATCCTTTACAGTCTAATAGAATTAGAATACAGTGATTGCTTTTAGGAACTGGTCACAATAATTGAAATCCAAACATTTCCTAAACAAAATATCATAAAATAACTTAACTGGTTGAGCATATCACAGACCAATTGCCATAACATGTTTAAATCACCACAAAGCAGAGCATCAGCTAGTGTTTTTTGTACATAGGCTTTCTATCATAGTCTCTACAGAATAGAAACACAAATCATTGTTATCCCAAGATGATCATGATTATTGTGTAAGAAAATGCATGCACTCACACAGTAGAGAGGTATTAACTATATCTTACTAGTAATTGTGTCCTGGGCTACATATGCAAGTGATTTGTACTGAGAAAATGTTTCCGTGCTCAGAGTTCTCTTATATTTTAAGCAACCCACATAGGAACAGCTATTATGGTTTTATCCAATCTTTTAGTTTCTGTTTTAGCTTATTTGGCTAATTCCAAAGTCTACTTAAGTTAAAAGGATGATCCAGATATTGACCATGTCAATCAACAGTCTCAATTTTGGCAGGACTAGGGAGCTGTCCCCAAAAAGAGTAGCACAAGAGCATAATTAGATGCACTTGAGTTTTGGATTTTAGAACCTTGCATAGTACACTGGTACAGAACTCTCTGTAAGTCCTGCCCTCAGTAGGCTGGCCTGCTTTATTGGTGGCCAGCAGGCTGAACTGCCGGTAATTTGGATGGACCTGCCACCTTGGGTGAATACCATTAGGTCACTAGCTCATCCCTTTACCCCCTTCTCACCTGTATCCCACTCCAAAGATGCAGGGTATGCATAGACCCCTTGCTTAAAGTACCTAGTGAGATATACATTATACCTCACTGAAATCATTTATCTCGGTGTCTAGTCTTTATCACATCTAAAACTCGCATTGTGTTTTGATTTGTAGCATCTGCGTTTGAAAATCTGCAACATGTTTTCCTGTAGCAGAATGGAAACTAAGGCCCAAAAAATGTTTGTTATCAATTGTATACGTTCCCTATTGTATGTTTGAAAACTGATCATAGAAGAACTATGATGGTGACTTAGCTGCAAACTGTTTTTACCAGTTTAACTGGCTTTTGCAATAACTCTTACATATACTCAACATTGACATTTGAGAAAATTGTATGTTAAACTCCAGTTTCAAAATTTAGCCTTGAGTATATTAACGTGGCTAAACATCACATGGAGAGCTATGTCAGATATTCGAATGAGTCATGTTTGATGCAAAATGCTTATCTCTATATGTACTTTATCTAAAAGTTTGCAAAGAATACAACTATCACTATGAATAGCAAATAATTGTATCAATACATTTTTTTTTCACAGGTAGACCTTGATGCATTATTTGCACCTCATTGTGCTATTTATTTCCTTTATATATTATTTTCACTGGAAGGAGACCATGGTGTCATTGCAATGACCTGCTCTTGCATATTTCTTTGCTTGCTTTTGATAATTTGCAGATCAAATCAAACCCAAACACATTTTCATTTCGGCAGCCATTTCCCATCTCATCCGAATGTGCTAAAGTTTTAAGGACTAATGATGAGTGTGCAATAAAAAACATATTTCACTATATTTTAAGATTGTGTACAGGACCGGACTGGGGATTCCAAAGCAGCCCTGGAAAAAAAATGAGAGATATGTGTATAGCAACTGCCCCCCATACACACACTGCCCCCCATACACACACACTGCCCCCCATACACAGATTCCTTATAAAGGCTTCTCCCATGCAAGGGAGGGATTTACAATAATTGGGAGAGTAGCCAATAGTACAGTAGTTACCTCCCATACATCTCCTCCCTTCAGTGTGACACATAATCCACTTATCTCTGTAATAGTTTTACCCGGTTTCTGGATGTACCCTAAAACTGTGGGGTACAATTATCTAAGTGGCACCCTCTGGTAGCCCTGATCTGGGTGACTAACATATTCAAAATTCACCCAGTTTGGGCCAGGGGTTCGGGAGTTATGGGGGAAAACCAATTTGAGGTGGTAGCCGAAAAGGGCTCCATGTGTTTTGGCCCTACGGTCGGTCTCCATTTGGGAGATAAAACATATATAAATCTTTGCCATCCACTAATAAAACGGTGTTCGTATGAATCCCCTTGTTCGTTACGTTGACTTCACCTAACGAGGGGCTGGTTGGCCCCTCCGTTCGGGAGTTACAGAGCTCTGGAGGACTCAGCAGTGTTCGGGTAATCGAGTGTTCGATTTGAGTTCCAGACACTCGAGGACCAAACACCGCTGAGGTTTTGTGCGTAAGATGGCCGCCGCCACGTGTTCGTATGCCACCCAGCTACAGCAATAAAGTACCGACTGATTTGCGGTTACAAAAGTGTGAAAGCCTAATAAGGTACACACTTCTCTCTGGGGTGGTCTATTGGTTCGGTAGTTTTCATTCGTATGAGATACAGATGAAAACTACCGAACAAACATACGAATAATACATACAATGTTAATCATACAGGGAACTAAAACAAACAAATTGCCTTTTTAACCTAACCCTTGAGGACAGTCCAGTGCCATCCGCTACAGATATGTTGAAAAAACATTCAGTTTTATGAATATACACCCCTCAGACATGCTTAGTCTGCTATAGTTAGAGTTCTAACATCATCTATTGGCTTTTGCATTCGTCAGTCAGTTCCTGTACATCCAGAAAAATTAACCTGTCTTTTGTTCAGCCTACTGAGGCTGTCATTGCTTACCAGCATCAGGGAGTGCAGTTAGATTTGATTGACTTCTCAATCTATGTATCTATAGGATTATGGTGTTGAACAAGGAATACATAATACAAAATCTGCTAAACTGCATCATAATCACCCTAATTTGGTATCTTTAAATATAGAAATATCACATACGGGCACCAATTCAGGGAATTATCTACTAAACAGTTAAAGGATCAAAATTTAAAAAGTCCTTTTCTTATTTTCAGTTATTTAGTATATAAATCCCTTATTTGTTATCCTTATTTGGGATTGCAATATTGAAGGACACCAAATAAGGGAGCTATCTACTAAACACATACACAGAGATTCACACACAATCACACACATAATCACAGATTTCAACAAACACAATCACAGACCCACACACATACAATCACAGACACACAATCACATATACATTACATACATACATACACACATTTAATAATTAAGAGGTCCCCCCAATCTCCCTACCTTGCTCTAGAAGGGCTGGAGTGAGTCCCTGGTGGTCAGTGGTTGCTTCTGGGATCTCTGTGCTCTTCCTGCACAGGTCCCTCGCACACCCTGTAATGACGCAGAGGTGCGATGACATCATATGCCGGCTGCCGGCTCACTGCAGGGTGAAGACCGTCAGACACAGTGAGATGCACACAGTCCCACACACATAGTCGATCACACACAGTCACAGACAGTCTCACACACACACATACACACAATCACAGGCAGACAGTCACACACACACACACACTGTCAAAGACAGTCACAATCACAGTTACACACAGCACACTCTCTCACTTACAGTCAGCTTGGGCTGAAGGAGGAGTGGATTCAGTCCCTGGTGTGTGGTAGTTGGGGAAGCAGGGACTCTTTCCTGCTTCCCCTCTGTGTGCAGAATTAAGAGGCTACCTTTAGCTCAGCCCCGACATCCATCTTGGCCCTGCCCCATGGCCGTTCTTGCCCTGCCACCAACTCTCCGTGCAGGTCTCGTACTCCTGCTCCCAGCCCCTGCGTGTGTGAGCTGTGTTGGCTGCAAGGCGCCACTGGTGCTATGGCAACCCATACAGCCGCACAGCTCACAGAACCCCAAGCCTGGCCAGTCATGGTGTCACCCCCCTACCCCATGGCTCCCGGGGTGGACCACCCCCCCTGCTCCCTCCTTAGTACGCCACTGAGTCCCGGGACATGTTCCTCATTTCAAGACAGCCATCCCAGTACCTAGGTGGCTAGAAATATTTATTTACTTTATTTCTGTGTCAGAGTGTCATTGTGTGTATCTGTGTGTGTATATCACTGTATGTTTCCATGCTTGTATGTGTCATTGTGCATGTGCCTTTGAGTGCAGACCACCCAACTGACCTGACTGAACCCACAAGGTAGGAGTGCATCATTAAATTCTAAGGTGCTCAGGAAGCACTTCAGTAGCAGATCATTAGTGTAGAGGACACATTTGTGTTCCACTCTTCTTGAATGCCAGTGGCTTGTCTAAGTGCTGTGCTTCACAAGGGAACATGAAAAAGACACACACTGGGCCTAAACTATGGTGGCAGCCGCCACGACTATGTACCAATAACCATATTCCATCATATCCTTAAATTTAAATTCTTTCTCATCTACTTTTTCCTTTATTTGTTTTCAACACCTCAATGCTTCCCCACACACAATCTGTCTTATCTAACCCTAGATTCTCTCTTGTAGCCTGGGCCCCATACAGCATTTCAACAGCTACTCCCAGCACCAAACCCTGCAGGAACAGCCTTAAGCAGAGGTAGCATTTCTGGATGATCATTGGTGGCTGTCATCCTTGCTGCCCTGTTGTGTATTTGTACCCCACCTCATCTATACTGTAATCTCGTTTGAGCAGGGTCCTCATCTACCTATTGTTCCTGTGTCACTGTGTAATTGTCTCATGTGTTGTAAATTTTCTCCCCTTTCATAATATTGTAAAGCGCTGCAGAATTAGTTGGCACTATATAAATACCAATAATAATAATAATAATAACCAATGAGAGGGGAAGGACAAGTAGCCGGTCTATTCATTAACCATGCCTCTTCATGCTGTCACACAATCAGCAAGCGGAATGAGCAGGCAGTGCACATACCTGTATTGTTGGGTATCTTTCCATGGAGTTTGACACCAGAGGAGAGAGAAGAAGGAAATGGCTCCAGTATTCAACACCATTGGACAGATTAATCAGACACCCCAAAACCATGAAATGCCCAGCTGCCCTTTATAGCTACTCCTGACATCTATCCATCAGGGAAAAAGGATATTGCAGACTGTAAAAATTACACAGACACATAAGGCACAGTTTTTTCTCAACACATATATATCTCTTACAGGTGTATCTTACAGGTGTAAATTTGCAAATTAACTCTTCCCCAAGAAAAAATATCATCAGCCTACAGTTTTCCCCCATCAAAACATTTATTTACATTTATCTGGTGGGGCTCTATCCAAAGAGTCCCTATGGACAAGCTTCAACTGGCTGGGAACTTTGTGATTGTATCTGTGACACAAATACTGCAGTCTATGGCCGTTTACTGGTCACGGGTCATTTTGGAAACTACCCCGTACTTTGGTTTAAAAAAAAAAAATGTGTTTAAAACCATTGCTAATATAATCTGCAAAAATGCAATATGAAGTTTGAAACACAATGTATAACGGTAGGATGAGTTTTTGAGTTTCTATGCCCAAGAATGACTTCACAAGGTCTAATGTGAGATATGCAGGTGACACATAACAGACATTTTTCCATTTGCACTCTCAGGAGTTTTATCATGTTTAGTCTCACCACAATCATATTGGTATCTAGCTCTCAGAGAAACTTCAACATCCGTACCAGAACCAACAACGTACTAATGTAACCCACAAGGTCAAAACTGCTGTTCATGGCTGGTTTCTGGTCTCGTGCTTTTAAGCCACAGCTTTGCTTTGGTTTTAAAAAAGTTGTGTTTAAAACACCATTGATTGCTAGGGTATTTGTTGAAATGCTGCATAAATTCTGAAACATGATGCCTGTCTATGCTAATTTGCATGTCAAGCTGGGAACGCAGGGATAGCTGTGGAAACAAGATTTCTCGAGTTTTTGTGTCAAAGGAGGTGTTTTCAAGATTCATCTTGGGATAACTTTGTTTCAAATGTTGGCGACTCTGCATACCTGAAGTTAAGTGGGAAGAGTTAAAGGGACACTATAGTCACCAGAACAAATACAGCTTGATGTAGTTGTTCTGGTGAGTATAGTCAGTCCCTGCAGGTTTTAAAGGACCACTCTAGGCACCCAGACTACTTCAGCTTAATGAAGTGGTCTGGGTGCCAGGTCTAGCTAGGGTTAACCCATTTTTTTTTTAAACATAGCAGTTTCAGAGAAACTGCTATGTTTATGAATGGGTTAAGCTTTCCCCCAAAGCCTCTAGCGGCTGTCTCATTGACAGCCACTAGAGGCGCTTGCGTGATCCTCACTGTGAAAATCACAGTGAGAGCACGCAAGCGTCCATAGGAAAGCATTGTAAATGCTTTCCTATGTGACCGGCTGAATGCGCGCGCAGATCTTGCCGCGCATGCGCATTCAGCCGAATGGGCGGAGAGGAGGAGGAGAGGAGGAGGAGAGCTCCCCGCCGAGCGCTGGAAAAAGGTAAGTTTTTACCCCTTTCCCCCTTCCAGAGCCGGGCAGGAGGGGGACCCTGACGGTGGGGGCACCCTCAGGGCAATATAGTGCCAGGAAAACGAGTATGTTTTCCTGGCACTATAGTGGTCCTTTAACCCCTTAAGGACCAAACTTCTGAAATAAAAAGGAATCATGACATGTCACACATGTCATGTGTCCTTAAGGGGTTAAATGTAAACACTGGCAGCTGGAAATAAGATTGCATTTCATATTTTTTAAGGGGGGCAAGTAGGGGTCACTGACCTTTCATGTGTATTTTTAACACTATAGCGTCAGAAATACATGTTTGTGTTCCTGACCCTATAGTGTTCCTTGAAATTCTAGTGGTGATCTTGAAACTTAGTAAGTGTAGTAATCCACATGAAACTTCAGAACTAAAATATTTTGATATTTTATGGCAGACGAGGGCAATATAAAGGAAAAAGCTGGCCAGAAAATAAGTCCCCAACTATTACATAACTACAGCTAACAGCTGGTAAGGCTACATTGGAGCGTCAGTTCTGCAGCAGCTGAAGATCTACCTTTTTATTACCCCTGTTATAGGACAGTCTACATGGCCATACAAAAATGTGGCTCTTTAACACTTCAAACTATAATGCTCTTTGTAGTTCTGATAGGGAAGTGTGGTGAGGGTCAAAACAAGATATATATTTGACACTATATTTGTAGCACTTACAAATATATTCGCATGTATATTTTTATTTTTGATTTAAAGTTATTTATTTATGTTTTTTTTTTACTTCACTTAGATCCAGCCTTGGCATGGGTAAAAATAAACATTTCTCTTTTTATCCCAAAAGTACACAGGAATTTCTCTCATTGCTCTCCTGCCTGCTAGTGTTTCATATTTGAGATTCTAGATATCCACTGCTTGGAAAAAAAAATGAAGTGTATGATTGAAAATGATCACATTGGTTTACTGTAATGTTATTTATATTTATAGTTCCTTGACTTTTGTTCTTTTTACATATATTTTTATAGATCTTATGAGCACATGGTTCCATCAACTAAATCAAGCCTGGATGACTTTGCCCTTGGCTTGGGCTGCACAATGTCAGCGGTAAGTATCGTATTTTCCGACGTATAAGACGACTGGGCGTATAAGACGACCCCCAACTTTTCCAGTTAAAATATAAAGTTTGGGATATACTCGCCGTATAAGACTAGCCTCTTCCAATGCACACCAAATAAAAATTAGCCATGATGTACAGTGAGCAGACAGAGCTACACAGCAAGACATTAAATAATGATAATCTGAAATAGCATTTAAAACGCAGGTATGTGCCAGGCTGTTTGGGCATATAATCCATGCCTGCTGGTCTAGCACACAGGAGGCTAATTGCAATATATTCTTTTTACTCCCCCCCTCCATTGTTTTTACCCCTCTCCATTCTTTTTAATCCCCCCCTCCATTCTTTTTACTGCCCTCCTCCATTCTTTTTACTTCTCCCCCCCCCCAATCCTCCCTTCATTCTTCTCACCTCCCCTTCCCTGTGCAGAGTGGGTGGCAGAGCTCCTCTTCGTCCTGTCAGTGTGTCAGTGTGCACTTCCTTTCAGTCCGGCCGGGAACAGGTAACTGAATCTCCTGTACCGCGCGGTACCCGGATGGACGGACAGGACGAAGAGGAGCTCAGCCACCCACTCTGCACAGGGAAGGGGAGGTGAGAAGAGAGGCAGTGCGGCAGCCATTAGAGGGGCCAGCGATGGGGGCGCAGGGCACCCCCGGCAGCCATATAGACCCTATACCCAGCGTATAAGACGACCCCTGATTTTGGAGAAGATTTTCCAGAGTTAAAAAGTCATCTTATACGCCAGAAAATACAGTACATACTGGCAACATCCTTGTAACGACAATACCCTACATTTCATGCGTTATACCTACAGGTAATTTTATGAAAATAATCTGTAGGTATAAAGCATGACTGATTTCTAAACATTTGTTGTAGTTTAAAGACACATTACTATTAACATTATTGATGAGCTCAGGTATGAATTCGGACACTTTAAGAATACTAAGCTTCTACAAAGAGATTAGAATGGAAAAGAGGGGCAGAGGGATTTGGGCTCCAAAAAGACACTGTGCCGCCTAAATAGGGACAGTTGGGATGTCAGCATTCGTATATTAACTGAGTATGTATGACTATATTTTCATGAAGACCTGCTTGTGTGCTTACCAAAAGACCTGAGTTATAATCTAAGAAAAGCTAATCTACTTTCATAAATCTTCCCTCTCCATGGTCCATTTTTTTGGACAGTTCGTTTTAACATGCACACATTCTGACCCTGGTTGGTGAGAGAGTTTGAATAGTAACCCCTGTTAAGGAATATTCCAAGGCATAGGCGGGAGGGAGGAGCTAGGCTTCCCCTTGCAGATACACTCCAAGTACTGCCTGCAAGGGTTAAAAATCATTATGTCTGTCTCCAGACATAATTTTTGCTCAGGGTTAACATTCAGCAGCCCAGAACAGAATCTATATTTTATTGTATGTTTAGTGTTTCAAGTTGAACATACACATAGAAAATCCTATTACCCTGATAACTTCTAAAAGCAGAAGTGGTCATGGGGTTGGATTAACCCTTTCAAGGGACACTCCATTGTCCAGATACAAGCTCAATAAAAATCACTGTTTAGAAGATATACTCAAAATGAAAACATGTATGTATTTAATTGTGCATTTTTTTTCTTTGGGGTCATATCCAAAAACAGGTTGCAAAACCTGCAGTTCTCTTGGCTGCAGCATTTGCAAGTCCTCCCATCCTAACCCGGCCCCAGCTTTCTGTAGCTGTCCAATCAAAGATTTCCTAATGCAGCTCACTTACAAATCTTTGCAAGCCGTGTGCTCTAGGCAATTGCTGCCTCTTGAGTTTAGCTCCACTGAACTAACCGAACCAGGAAGTAACTGGACTTGTTGTCTGCTTGAAGGCCAGGGGGATGTAACCAGATTGATTTGTAAAGGTGATAATTTCTATTGAAATGTGCATTTTAAAAAAAATAAAATTGTACACACTCTTCACACATTAAGTTTTTCAACAAGCTAAAGTGCTTTAGGGGACTGGAGTGTCCTTTTAAGTGCATATGATAACTTTTTGCTTCACTATTATGCTGTTGTTTTCTCCCTGTTCAAATCTCTTTTCTCTAGTTTTGCTTAAAAAAAATAATATATATATATATATATATATATATATATGTATATATATATATGCTTTGCTGCTTTCTGCACCATAACCTGCCTCCTTTGCTACGCTTCCACTTTTCACAGGCCACGTAGCAGAACGGACTATACCTAAAGGAAAATTGTTATTCTGTAACTTCCCAGCCTGGCCTGAACAATACACAGGTATTCCATCTGGAGATATTAACAAGAAACCATCTAGGTTTTAATGAGCACATGTTTAGTGCATTAGAAACAATGCTACTCATTCCTAATTTTTAAGGGTTCAATATATTTTTCATATAAACAATGTGCTATGCTGCCTTCCACAAGATCCTAAATGCTTCTGGTTCTGGATTAACTATCTCTGCTAAGTTTCATTGTCCAAAGTAATGGCTAATTTGTATTTTTTTTTTTTTTCATTTATCTGGTTTTTTTTTTAAGTTTTTTAACGTTTTTAAACAAAACGCAAAAGATAAACTTAAAATAATAGTTAAACAGACACTTGCTGACATGAAAGCTATTTAAATTGTATTAGTTGATTGAGGAGACAAATTACGAGATACTATTTCACATAGAGAGTCCATGAAATGGATCTTGTCTGATTTCCATGAGCAAATACAGGGCAGAAATAATAATGTGATATGTAATGTTCTTGCAGGCCAGAGGGATGCTTCCTGTAAATAGCATTATTTGCATGTAAAGAAGGGTAAGAGATAACTTAAAGGGACACTATTGTCTCCAGACAACTTTAGCTTAAAGGGACACTCCAGGCACCCAGACAACTTCTGCCCATTGGAGTGGTCTGGGTGCCAACTCCCACTACTCTTAACCCTGCAAGTGTAATTATTGCAGTTTTTTATAAACTGCAATAATTACCTTGCAGGGTTAACTCTAGTAGACAGCCACTAGAGGGCACTTCCTGTGCTAGAGCATCGCTGGACGTCCTCACGCTGTGTGAGGACTTCCAGCGTCGCTCATTTCCCCATAGGAAAGCATTGAAATGCATTTTCAATGCTTTTCTATGGGGAGGACTAATTCGCTTTAGGTCTCCCCGGCCGGTTGGCAGGATCAGAGGGAGGAGCGGCACGGAGAAAGAAACAGCGACGTGGGACATCGTCGCTGTCTCAGGTAAGTTACTGAAGGGGTTTTCACCCCTTCAGCAACTGGGGATTGGGGGGTGGGGTGGAAGGGAGAGGGGGCCTGCAGTGCCTTTAATGAAGCAGTTTGGGTGTACAGATCATGCACCTGCAGTCGCACTGCTGAATTCTCTGCCACTTAGGAGTTAAATCACTTTTGTTTCTGTTCATGTAGCCCTTGCCACACCTCCTTGGCTAGGAATGACACAGTCAACATGAAAAAAAATTGTTTAATTTTTAATCAGAAGTTACCTTACTTTAGAAGTTGCTATGTCCTGCTGTGTAAATTTAACTTTAATGACATACAGAAGGCTCCAGGTAGATCTATCAGGCTATTAACAGTGCAGGAAATAAGATATAAGAAGATCTAAATCAAACAGACTGTACAGTACAAGAAGTTTCAATATTAGAGCTTACTTTGCAAGAAGAGTTTAGGAAGGGTGTGTAAGGTGTGGCTACATAAACAGAAACAATTTATTTAACTCCTAAATGAAGAGAATTGAGTTGCAAGACTGAAGGGTCATGATCAATACACCAAAACTGCTTCATTAAACTACAGTTGTTTTGGTGACCTTAATGTCCCTTTAGCTCCAGGAATAGAGATAATCAAATAGTTTTTTTTTCCAAAATGAGGGTAATTTATTACATGACCACCAAATGTGATACATTGATCCTGTTTGGAGGAAGGCAAGTTGAAGTCAAGGTGGAGTTCTTATGAGACAATTTAGAGGGAACCATATCCCAGTTGTAAATGGTTTTCCTGTGCAAGTTGATATGGGATGGGACATACAGCAAAAAATCTACTTTGAGTCCCTTTTCTTTTTTCTTTAGGTACCATGAATCAACAGATTTTCTTCACTTTCTTCGATATGATCTTGCATATGTCCAATACGTTAAAATACTGTCTTCTAGCCCTAGCAATAGCTTTGTTCCTGATTGCACTTTTGATTTTAGCCTGGAAGCTGCATCAGTATTATTCTTACAAAACATCTATTACCACAAAAGGTAAGTCACTTGATATTGTCAAAAATGTACTCACTGGTCCTTTTACATGAATTGAGCATTTTTTTATCTTTTACAAAAAGGATCAATGTTTTTGATCAAGCTATAACGAATAATAAAATCCTTATTAGACATTGAGCACAGTTACAGACAGATAGATAGATAGATAGATAGATAGATAGATAGATAGATCTGTATTATGTTGTCCAATGAGCTTGGGGATTCCCTGGCCCACTTTATATTTATTAGAATACTGTTGGTTGTAAGGAAGCAGGAGCACGGTGGTTGTCTTGTGTTCAGGCACCGAGACAGGGTGTACAAAAAGGAAGGGAAAGGGATGATATTAAATTAGGAACCCTACTCTAGAGAAAGACACAATTTTTATAGATGAAAAGCCACAGCATTGTACAATTCATCTATGCCAAATATTTTGTGGAACTCTCCTATTTTATTGCAAAGGGCACCAATCAAGCATTCCTTCTTGAGTTGGATGTTTAATTTTTTTAATTCCCACTTTGTTCTAAATGAGCAGGGTAGTTAACTATTCGGAAGGCACACTTTAGTGAATAACCATCTAGATTCTTTACTAGCTAATAAATATTCACATGAATTCACATGAGGATTTAATATTTTGGATCAATTTAGCTAAATGTTTAAAATAGGTGAACTGGAATTTATTTCACGATTCAACTATCATAGACTGTCCCATGATGTTAACCCTCTATAATTTTGGACAGGTTAAATACTCCTTAAAATACCCACTATAATACCCTGGATATATGAAGAACTTGGTCAGAATTGAACTTGGTCAGAACTTTCCAGAAATGTTATTACTGCTCTTGATATCAGTTTTAAAGTTATGCTTACAAATAGTAAAAATCTTATTTTATTTCAAATAATTATTGAGGTCATGGGTAGTTAAAACAGTTTAATTTTAAATGCCTTTAAAATTGCTATTTTTTAATATGTTCAATTGTGTAACTTCACAGAAAAATACTTGAAAGAGGGATACAATGAAACAAAAAAAAGTTCTAGTGTCTTGGTGAAAACACTTGCTCCAACTTTTATAGAGCAAGTACGAAAAGAGCAAGATTCGAAGGTGAGCACAATTTTTGCCACTATATGGTAATGTAAATAGGTACTGTACAATACGCTATAATAGTTTAATATTTTCACTTATGTTGCTATTCTGAACTTCTTGGAAAATTAGTGTCATGAAGATCCGTATTTAGTTTGATATCAATGTTTATATATAAAAGTACAAGACATACTTGCCCCAGTCTGCAGATGATTGATGGGAGTTAGCTTTCCAGACAGCAGATGATTGTGGTATGCAGAATGCATACAGACACACTCACACTTGATCCATGGAAAAGCTGACCAATGCAGACACGCTCTTCCTGGAATTCCATTGGCTGACAAAATATCTAGAGCCCAACAAGAGGTATGGCACTAGCTGGAGGAACTGAGCCAACCCCTGTGAACATGGTTTGACAGACCTGAGTGCATTATTATATTTTCTACCCAAGTCTCTAACTGAATTGACTGCTACTTATCCCTATTCACAGCTGTATTCTGAACCATTATATCAAACAAGAGATACATTTACCAATGTGGAAGGGCAGATCCAGAATACTATCTCGGGAGGGACACTGTAAGATTCTTTTTTTGCAGTAGAGTAAATTGAAAACAAAAAAATATGCACTCAACAATGCATAATACTGTATGCTTTATTACTGTTGACCTCTGTCATGTAATATATGTTGAATATTAAATATATATTAAGGGTTCCAAAGTATTAAAGTGTGTTTGTAGAGTATCCCTGTGTATGTGATTGTAGGGGTGTCAGTGTATGTGAGTGCAGACGTGTGCATGGCTGACATCCTATCGCTCCAAAATGTTAAACCTGCAGGGCACAATAACTTTCAGGGCGCAATAATCACTGCGGTTTATTGTAGTGGTTATGGTGAAAGGAGGATATGGGCCCCTTATTTATTTTATTTTTTTTATAAACTTTCCGAACTTCGTCTGCTACCTGCCAGCAGCTCTCTGACTTGCCTCCCTGCACACTCAAATGTATCACCTGGTGCTTCAAATGGGTAAGCTGCCCTCACTGTGAATGCTGTAATGCATCGCTCCCAATAATTGGAAGAGAAAAATCAGTATGCAGTGGGTGGGCCATGAGCGGACATCACCAGTAAATCTGCCGCATCACTAACACCAATAATGGATGACCCACCCAGGAAAGGGGTACAATGATGAACCTGTCTGAAAAAGTTGTAAAGGCCCAACTGACAGGCTGCCTGTCTGGTCCTCCACCTTCAGAACTATGTGTGGAGTACCGCTGAAGCACTCCTTGTATGGTCTTAATGCCAAATGAACAGTGGGTGCATATCTAATAATGCGCTCACACTATGCTGCTGTCCAGAGACTGTTTCATGGTGTCCACCGATGCAGTGCACCAGAGAATTGAAATGGGATGGTGGGACAGAACACCAAAATCAGGACTGTTGGAAGTGGGACTGTTGGGAGGCTAATTATGGCACAGTTCACATTCTGCACTGCCAGACAATGTTGTGTGTGGGGAGTTTTGAGGATACTGCAGGAGGATGCAACCAGTCAGCTGTTGGTCAGCTTGTCAACTTGGAGGGGAGCACTGCCTCCAGCATGCCCCCTCTCTCTTCATGCAGAGTGTTTGGGAACCCAGGCAGGAGTATAAGCTGGCTCTTGAGAGAGATCTCTGATCTTCCCACTGACCATACTGCCCCTCACATGCCTGCCACTCTGAGGACAATAATGTAAAGTCTTGAGGGCCCTGAATCCTCGTGGCCTTGTGGAAAACCCGTCCAATTAGGTGAAGTAAATTATTTAGTACTATTTAAATGGAAGATTCCCTGATTGTCCATTAAGAATGTAGGTGTAGTGCCTGGAAAAGCAGTACAGTGTCTTGCAAAGGACAAACCAGATTTTCTACGGAACATGCCTCAGGGTGTTGTCTTATTTTTAATTAGCCAATAATATGAAGAATGTAGAAAAACATGATTTCAAAACATCTAGTAAACCTCCTCCATTGCATTTTGTTCGAATGTGTTCAAAATATAAAGCAATGCATTGTGCTGGAGGGAATAGACAAATCTTGGGTTTAAGTATAAATCTTTATGAAAAATGTGAAAAAATAACATATTAAAAAGAATGGCAGCTGTATAAGTATAAAATAAACTGAACAGGGAGGACAGTGGTAAATAAAGCATTATATTAATCCTCCACCTGCTCAAAAAAAGCAGAGACTTCACTTAAAAAAAACATTTGGTAGTGCTATTTAAGCCAAATAAAGATTTAGAAAACTGTCAGGTAATGGTACTTATTCTAATTGTGAGGAGTGAATAATAAAAAGATGGATGTTTCTAATAACCATATAAGGATTGGGGTCACACAGAGCCCTCTTCTATTACTGAATAGTCATTAGCCAGACACAAGTACCTCTATCAATTAAGCGTGCTGAAAATGTTAACAATGATTTGGCTACAGGTCTAGCACATCTTAAATACAAGATCAATGTCATCAGAACTGACTTTCATTATGTGGAGATAATAAATATATTACCTCTGTGTCACCTCCTTGCTCAGTCTAGTTTGCACTTCCCCTAATTCCAAGGGAGAGGTATGTACCCTCCCAACATCCAACAATGTGGTTCCTAATTCTATCCCTTTTATGACCTATTATACCTTCATATTAGTTCCACTCATTATCTATACAATTAATTTTGTCCTTAGAAATGCTGCCTTCCTTTACACCTGCTACTTTCAAATACTATAGTATGGATATAGGTACTATATTTTTATATATAGGGGGATTTATACAGAACAGTTGTGCACATTTAAAAATGAAGGGGTTAATGACGTGTGTGTGTGTGTGTGTGTGTGTGTGTGTGTGTATATATATATATATGTATGTATATATATATATATATGTGTGTGTGTATGTAGACCATCTAGACTATTTTTTTTTAATATTTGTAGTTTATTACATTTTTTTCAAAAAATCAGAGATACTGAAAGCAAAACAAGGAGGTGTACAGGGGGTAAAAGCATATGATGAGATCAGGGCTGCCCCCGAGTCTGCCCATGGGGCCCATTCTGAGTCTGCCCACAAGGATGCCCTGTCTGTGTGGTGTGTAAAATGGATACAGAGTGCACATTTGTATAATGGATGTAGTTTTGTGTGTTTTAGATAAAGTGTGTGTTTGTGTAGTGAATGCAGAGGTTGTTTGTGTTGTAGTTTTATTTTGTGTATGGTGAATGCAGTGTGTTTGTGTTGTGGTTTTAGTGTGTGTATGGTGAATGTAGTGTGTTTGTGTTGTGGTTTTAGTGTGTGTATGGTGAATGCAGTGTGTTTGTGTTGTGGTCTTAGTGTGTGTATGGTGAATGCAGTTTGTGTGTTGTAGTTTTAGTGTGTGTGTGTATAGTGTATGCAGTGTGTGTTTGTGTTGTAGTTTTAGTACAAATATGGTAAATGCAATGTGTGTTGTGGTTTCAGTGTGTATATGGTGAATGCAGTGTGTGTTGTAGTTTTAGTGTGTGTATGCTGAATGCAGTGTGTATGTTGTAGTTTTAGTGTGTGTATAGTGTATGCAGTGTGTGTTTGTGTTGTGGTTTTAGTGTGTGTATGGTGAACGCAGTGTGTTTGTGTTGTGGTTTTAGTGTGTATATGGTGAATGCAGTGTGTTTGTGTTGTGGTTTTAGTATGTATGGTGAATGCAGTGTGTGTTGTAGTTTTAGTGTGTGTATAGTGTATGCAGTGTGTGTTTGTGCTGTGGTTTTAGTGTGTAAATGTGTAAAATAGGGCTGCATGGGGGGGGAGAGATTGCATCCCTGGTGGTCTGGTGGAGGGAACCAGCCGCTGCACAACGTAGACGGGGGCCAGCCAGCACCATCTTAACTCTCTAGCAGCTCCTGTGCCTGTAACTCTCGCGAGCTGTGCCTGTGTGCCGCGCAGAACGTTGCCATGGTAACTCGTGACAACGCTCTGCTGGCTGCGGAGCTCATGAGAGTTACAGGCACAGGAGCTGCTGGAGAGTTAAAATGGTGCTGGCTGGCCCCCGTCTACGTTGTGCAGCGGCTGGTTCCCTCCACCAGACCACAAGGGATGCAATCTCTCCCCCCCATGCAGCCCTATTTTACACATTTACACACTAAAACCACAGCACAAACACACACTGCATACACTATACACACACTAAAACTACAACACACACTGCATTCACCATACATACTAAAACCACAACACAAACACACTGCATTCACCATATACACACTAAAACCACAACATAAACACACTGCGTTCACCATACACACACTAAAACCACAACACAAACACACACTGCATACACTATACACACACTAAAACTACAACATACACACTGCATTCCGCATACTGGCTGACCCCCGTCTACATTGTACAGGTAGCCCGAGGTGAACATATAGATATCGATAATGAACAGTTGTCATGCCCTGATGGCGGCCCTGGATGAGATCAATCCATGACTTTTAGGTAGTATTGACAACAATACAACAATATATTCAGTCAGTAATCAACAAGTATACATTCGACGTACTGAGAGAACCTCGTTGTTCTGAAGCCTTTGTGGAGACCGAGGTGATAGAATCTACTTGGTTGAATTCTTTGTTGGTTAATGTGGATCAATAATCCTTAATTGTTGACTCCTATGACTGTTTGTTTCTGTTGTGGTTGGTGTCACGAATGCACCCTACTTTAAGAATGTGACATAATTGTGGTGGTGACAGGGTTAAAGTTCACTATTTGTCTGCACTAGACCGGAAATAATCCAAAATCCCCCTTAACCACCCACACTTAAACAGAATAATATAACTATTACTATTTTAACGCTGCCACCACCAAGACAATTTATAAATGGAGTGCCTTGGTCCCCCAGGTACATCAATAATAAAAACCCACCAAATATTACTTAGCACAATATCTATGTAATTGCAAAACACTAATTAGTCTCTTCATGCAGAACTTAATAAATGAATGTTTATTGTGAACAAAAAATAGTCAGAGTGCATCCAAAAATATATGATAAACAAATTATTTACACCAACAACAGATAAAACCAAAAAGGCTAAAATAACAGAAGTCCTAATTATTCACTTGGATTTTCAAAGTAAAACTTCTGCACAGGGGGTCTCTGGCAAGGAAGGATGATGGTGACTCACTCAAAATTAGATCAAGTAAGTACACCCACACCCCTCCATATCATTGGATATATACCCTGTGGATTATCAAGTCTTGCCCAGGGTTGGAGTTAAGGCATACCTATAGAAATAATAAGTGACCACCTCCTTTGTCCCAGACCAACATCAATCCAAATGGAAACATTTGGTTCTATCGTCTCTTATGTATCTGCCAAAGAAATCATAATTGCATCTGTGAATTTGTTATTATTTTCCTATTCCATAGACACGTTGCACGCCCCACCCGCATTTCAATAGAATGGACATCACAATTCCTGTCGCACTGTTTAAGTTGTGCAACTCATGTTTAGGTTTAATTAAAAGATTGGGCTTGTCTCATTCCAAATATAATACAAATGAGACTTATTTATTAGGTAAGTATTAATGTTACTCTTGGAGATGATACTGGAACACAAGGATCTTAATGAAACTAATACCATTACCATATCAAAGGATTAAACTATCAATTGAGAGTTTCAGGCCATATGGTCAAAGTCAGTTAGTTTACATTGAAACTAGACAAACAGGTGGCTCAAGTGTAAAAAGTCTCACCTTGCAGGGTCTTTGATAGATCAAAAGGACAATCCTTTTCACACCTTGCAGAAGCCCCTTTGATCAATGGAGCAATTTCTCTCTGCCATTTGTCCTATACCCAGGGGTCAAATTATTCATGCACTACACAAGTTATATTAAATAGCAATATTCCGTAGTGTAATAATAAATTCTGCACCCTTGCCGTGACAGTTGGAAATGCAGTAGATTGGATCACTAGATTGTCATAGGTGGGGGAGGAGACTCGGGGGTGGGAGGGGAGAGAGAGAGACACAGATTTATAGTCATGGTCTTTAAGACTTTTTAGTTTTATTTTGTTGTATGAGGTGGAAGCTGTATACAATTTAGCCATGTGACAGGCAGTAGGCATGCCACATTAGATGTGTCTGGTTTCGTATTGTGGCGGTATACCCTCTTGAGGGTGGGTTACTACCGCCTGTGGTCACCCCTTCCTTGTTGTGCCCAGCCCTAGAGTGATTATAGCTGCTAGCCAGTGATTATAGTCGCTTGCAGAAGGGCAATTGTTGCATCACTTAAACACTAGTCGAGACCTAGTAAAGGGTGAAGAAGAACTGTTTATTGCAAGCAAGATACACAGTATTTATGCACCCCTAACAGGGGGTCTCCAATTATAGCAATACAAAACATAGACTTGCCCTGGCGTCGCTGAATCTGGGATATAATGGTATCTCCCAGACACAGGAAGCAAAACACACAGGCACTCCAAAATTACACACCATACAGTAAGGCACCCCCACATGCAATACATCCCCAAATAGCTCCTGGTCCTAGCTATGATCCTTGCAAATTGGGGAGTTATCGGGTGTACAGAGCCCGAGAAATCGTCGTACAAAGTCTGGGCTTGAGGCTCTGTACATATCCAAACATAGCTCCACAGAATCACTTGGTTTTGGCTGGTGATTCAAATTTCCTGTATAAACAACGTGGCGGCCAATCAGGAAAAAGGGTGCAAACCAATTTGCACCAATTGGTGCTCAGGGATGGGGGGTGTTTCACCAGCCAATCGGTAGAAATGGTGTGAAACCAGTTTGAATGGTAGCCCTTCTCATATTGACTGGCATGGACTTCCAGGCGGTGTTAGATTCCTTGGGGCTCGGGTCTCTCTCCGGTAGATATCTCCACATGGGTAGTACCGAAGAGAGCGCTCTTGTGCGGTTAGCTTGTCACACGTATATTAGCCTATTCTGCCCATTGGATGTGGCTATTGGAATCATGTTAGGTCGGGCTGACTAAAAGTATAATCACCAAATTCATAACGGTGGTGGGGTCAACTTGGGATTAGTGATGACTTCTTGGCATTAATATTCTGATGTCAAGGTTATGCGTGTGTGGTCATCTCAAATTGCTGACATAGGGGAGTACCCTGTGACAGCCTCCCCTGAGACAACACTAGCTGCTGCTCTATGACTGTGGGTAAAATTTATTTTCAATATATACTGGCATATCCGAGATGTTGTGTCGCCTGCTATATGGGACGTGAGTGCACAAACATTCTATCTTCCTACAAACCGGGGGGAACACCACAATGTCACCCCTTGATCCAATAGGTTTCCAATTTAATGCTAGAAGATTTATGGTTGCTAGTATAATTAGAATTGCGATTTCTTTTTTTTTTGGACTCTGTGCACCATATGGCTGGAAACAATAGTAATAAGCCTATGGAGGATGTAAGTGGAAGGTCAGTTATTTGTAGAGCATTGTTTGTACAATTATCCACAGGGGATGTATGTCTCCACCCTTGTCTGTCGCCCTTTTGTGAACCCCTATTGGTCATTATGGATTATTCAGGTCAATATTTTAGCTAGGCTATAGGCTATAAGTTTAGCGTATAATTTGGTGTCACAATTTAATAAGGAAATCGGTCTGAAGTTGGGGCAGTGATTTAGAGGTTTACCTGGTTTAGGTAGAGTGGAGATGTGTTCCTGCAGCATTTTATCAGGCATGTTACCGTGGTAGTAACATTTAATGAATAGGTCTGTCAAGTGGGGTGTGAGAACATCCTTGAACATTTGGTAGTACAGGTTCATGAACCCATCTGGGCCAGGTGATTTGTGTTTTGGCAATTGCTGGATAGTCTGTGCTATTTCAGGGAGTGTAAACGGTTGGGATAGGGATTCTGTTTCTTCGGTCATTAAAGGACCACTATAGGCACCCAGACCACTTCAGCTTAATGAAGTGGTCTGGGTGCCAGGTCCAGCTAGGTTTAACCCTTTTTGCAGTAAACATAGCAGTTTCAGTGAAACTGCTATGTTTACCTATGGGTTAATCCAGCCTCTAGTGGCTGTCTCATTGATTTTCACAGTGAGAAGACGCCAGCGTCCCTCAGGGCACTATAGTGCCAGGAAAACTAGTATGTTTTCCTGGCTCTATAGTGGTCCTTTAAGTTTGGTAGATTTCTTTCGTCCAGAAATGAGTTCATTTCATTTTGGGTAGGCATGTGTGTGTCTCTGTTTTTGCTAAGATTATATAACTCCCAATAGTAATTTGCAAATCCATTCACAATATCTTAAGGGTTCTATATTTTGTGATTATTTTTGGAGTGTAGAAAGGCTATTTTTGATCAAGAGGTTCAGACTTGAAGTTGTGAGGCTAGAATCTTACCAGCCCTGAGTTTGACTTTAGTCAGGAAATATGTAGTTTAGGCTAGTTCCATGTCTCTCAGGCAAGTTTGAGTGCTTTAGTTCAGTGAGTCGAGTAATTAGTTCAGTGTATTCTTTCATGCGCTGTTTTTTATTATAGCTAGAATGTTGGATGAACAGGCCCCTAATGACTGGCTTGTGAGCTTGCCATAATGTTTCTGTCTATGTCTCCTGTCTTATTGAGGGTGAAGTATGTATCAATTTCTGGCTTCATTTCTGTTACTAAAGTGTGGCCATAGAGAAGTGAGTCATTAAGGCTCCACGTGCCTCTCCCTGTATTCTGGTACTGTTCTGTCAGTGTGAGCGTGATGGGTGCATGGTCGGACCACGAGAATAGACCTATGTGGATTGAGCACATTTTTGTTGCTTGTGTGGTAGGAACAATGAAACGGTCTATCCTGGAATAAGTATTATGGACCAAGGAGTGATTAGTGTAGTCATTTTCAGAAGGTGCATAATTCTCCAAATGTATAAGTATCTGTGTTGGAGAAGTATGCCTTGTAGGACCTTGGTAGACTATAGTCTCTTTGTTGTTGTGGTTTGTTTAGCTGTGGATGAAGACATTGTGTCTAGATCTATGTCTAAAAGAAAATTGAAGATTATATTAGCTTTAGTGTACTATGACAGGAGGCGAATATTTGCATATCTTTCTTTACTAAAAACTCCAGCAGCATAGAAACATAACAACCAATCAGAGAAAAGTTATGATGCCCATAAAAGGCCCTGTCTATGACATCACTTCCTCTTTCTTTGAAAGGAAACAACAAAATCAACTACAAACTTAAACATAATAAACGTCAACAGTTCAATAACATCATGAATATCCAACTTCAGACATTCTGTGCTGTAGAGGTATAGAAGGTGGATCTTCATTCACACTGCAAGAAAAAGAGAAAGGTGAAAGGTCTCTGGTGTGATAATTTGTCCGCATGCAACTCACTGTAAGAGTCTGACATAACCAAGGATGTTGAGAAATTACTGTATTGTATATATTAATTCTATACTTATGTATTTAATAAATCTATATATCTACAACATAGTCCAAGATACATGACCAATTCTTTATCCTATACAACCTATTCAATATACACGTCTAAGTCTTAAACATACAAACCAGATGTAGTTCATGTCTTCCTGAACATTAGAGGCGTATTCTGGTCACTCGAATAAGATCTAGGGGGATCCTATAGGGTGGGAAATATTCGCCTCCTGTCATTACTAAAATTAAGGTTATTAGTACACTAAAGCTAATATAATCTTCAATTTTACCACATGACAGGAGGCTTCATATTTGCATTTTTAAAGCTTCGAATTGATTAATGTGAAGGAAGCGTGAGCTGTTTGTCTAAAGTAAAACGCTCTGAATGTACTCTCTCGCGTCCAATACGAGCAGCGCATAATGTCGGCTAGGGAGGCGCCGGCCAATAGTGCTTGTGAGGCCGCCGCCCCTCTGACCGAGTGTGCTCCGAAGCAAGGATCAACGCCCGCTAGCGAGAGTAGCCAGCGGATCCATCTAGCCGGTGTTGTCGTGGACACCGGTCCGTGAGGTCTTACGTAAGAAATCAGTAGTTGGCCCGTCGAATAAGATCGAAGGGGGTTAGTGATTTCAGTATAGCTCATTAATGTTCTGACCATGCATAGTTTGGGGTCTGACCCAAAGTATGGGTATGACACTGAAGCTGAATCTGACTTCGTTCGTCTCAATATGGAAAAGGTAACTCCTTCCGGTCTGAGAGAGAAACCATCCACATTGAACGCTCTAATATCTGCCACCCGTCGAAACGAGACAAGGCATAACAAGAGGGCCAGTTTGGCTGAAAGTTGTTTCAGTGACAGGTAGGGGGTTGTCCGGCCATTCCCTAAGGAATTCCAGTACCACGTCCACCTGCCAGAGTTGTGAATACTTGGGTGCTGGGGGTCTCGTTAATTTGGCACCCCGAAGTAGTCAACAAACCAGTGGGTCTTGACCTACTGGTCTGCCTTGTATCGGGACGTGTGCTGCCGATATGGCGGATCTGATCACATTGAGGGATCTATATGATGTTCCCAACGAGAACAGATGTGATAGATAGTTAAGGATGAGTGGGACAGGGGCAGTAACGTGATCGAAATCCCTTTCAACACACCAATCACTCCAGGCCGACCAGGCGGAAATGTAGCATTTCCTGGTGCCGGGAGCCCAAGAGTCCCATAGGAGGTCTTTAGATGATTGCGATAGGCCGTGGACTGACCAGGAACCCCTGAAATCATCCAGGCCACTAGCTCCAGCTGACCTTCTAGGACGAGGGTGTGTGCTTCCCCTCGAGGTCCCGTCAGGAGTAGCTGGAAGGTAGGAAGCAGAAGGGGGTTTTCGTGAGACATCTCCAGGAGATCTGGGAACCATGGTTGGCTCTGCCAGAGGGGTGTTATGAGCAGGAGCGATACCTTGTGGGTACATGTGTATCAAAGTACCCGTGGAATCATGGAGAACGGTGGGAAAGCGTATGCCCCTTAAGTGGGCCAGTTCTGTAGAAGTGCGTCACCTGCTTCACCTTTCGGATCCGGAAGCCAACTGTAATTCCTCAGAAGTTGATGGTTGGTCCTGGAGGCGAATAGATCTATTGTCAATGGGTCTTTCCACCATCGCAATTCTTGGAATATCTCTGTGTTGAGTTTACAATCGCTGTTGTCTCGCCAGTGGCGTGAGAACCAGTCCGCCGTCAGGTTGGAGATTCCCGGTAGATATTCCGCCTGTAGCGTGATGTTCCGTGTTAGGCAGAATTTGTAAATGTCTTTCGTGGCTTCTGTCAGGGCTTGAGACTTGGCTCCGCCTAGGCGGTTGATGTACTGCACTGCCGACACGTTGTCCATGCGGAGCAGGATGCAGCAGTTTGACTTGTCCTTGGCCAGATGGCAAAGGACCCCGCGATCAGTTCCAGGCAGTTGATGTGTAGGTTGGTCTCCTCCCCCTGCCTTGGACCTCCTGTGGAGGCGTTTGTACAGTGGGCGCCCCATCCCCACAGGCTGGCGTCTGACTCCACAATGAAGTCTGGAGAAGAGCCAAAAATTGCCTTGCCATTCCAGGCTTGAATGTGTAGTAACCACCATCGAAGTTCCGTTCTCACTTCCGTCGACAGAGGGATCCAGTGGTCGTACGAGTGTCCAGTGTGTAGATATTCCGCCTTCAGTCGTTGCATGGCCCTGTAGTGTAACGGGCCTGGGAATATCGCTTGTATGGAAGAGGAGAGGAGTCCCACAATCTGGGCTAACATCCTGAGCGGTATGGTATCCATCTTCAGCACCCATCTGATTTCTTTCCGTATCGAGGCTATCTTCGCCAGGGGTAGTCGTAGCACGCAGTCCTTCGAGTCGATGTCGAAGCCGAGAAATAGGACCGACTGGGAGGGAGAGAGAGATGATTTTTGTCTGTTCACCATGAAACCCAAAGATTCCAGCAAGTGAACGACAAATTTCGTCTGCAATCGCAGCCTGGTAGCGGATTCGCAAAAGATTAGCAAATCGTCCAGGTATACGAAACATTGTATGCCTAAGGTTCGGATGTGAGCCATCACTGGTCTCAGCAGCTTCGTATAGCACCACGGAGCCGAACTGAGGCTGAATGGCAGGTATGTGAACTGGCATATTTGTCCTCTCCATCGGAAGCTCAATTGTACGTCCACTGGTACTGACAAGTACGCGTCTTTGAGGTCCAGATGCGTAAACCAGTCGTTCTTGATGAGAAGGTATTGCAGGAGATGGATCCCTTCCATCTTGAAGTGTCTGTATATTACGTATGAATTAAATTGTCGGAGATTGATAACTGGCCTGTAGTTGCCTGTATTCTTCTTGACCAGGAAGATGCTGCTTAAGAATCCTCCCCCTTCTGGTGTGTACTGTACTGCGCCTTTTATGAAGAGTGTGTGGATTTTGCTTTTGGTCCGATTTCCTTAGCACCTAGGTCCAGGAGTTTACTATCTATGCGGATCAACGCCGACTTGCGTCTTTCGGTGCATAATGCGGAGTTGACGTTGCCCAGAAGGCATACTGCTCGTTGGGCCCATTCACGTATGATGTTCGGGTCGAGTAGGGAGCCCTGGCTGAGTGCTAAATCCGCAAAATAGAGTATCTTAGCGATGGGGCCAAGTAAATCCAGCACTTTGTCCTGTGCTGCCTTCATGCCTTTTTCTACGCCCTTTCGAGGGTCTCGTCCTGAGCGTGACATGAAGACCACTACTGTGTTGTCAAATTCGGGCGTGAGGGCCACTTTATCGGGAATTAGTGGTCTGGGGCATTCGGCCCTGAGGCATGCCCGCACCTCTTTTTCTAGAGGCTTGCGCAGCCAGTAGTGTATGAAACGTGTCAGGTGGTCTGGTAGGGTATATTCGGGGGACCATGGATGCCGGATGGTACGTGGATCGAAGAGCATGCACGAAATGAAAACTTTCGAAACCATGGTTATTGGAGAAATAAACAAAGTTAAAGAATTAAATACATTTCAACTCAACATGTCCTTACAAGAGAAAAATGTACTAAAAAAGATGCAAAAAAAATGAAAATCTGATTATAAAACCGGCTGACAAAGGGAGAGGAGTAGTGGTCTTCTCAAAAATCAAATATACACAAGAATCTGAAAGAATACTCTCAGACAGTAGCACTTTTCAAAAGTTAAGCTCCAATCCCACAAACAGAGTTAAAGAACAATTTGAGAAATACATACAAAAGGGCTGGATAAGGGAATACTAACAGAGAAGGAAGGAAGATACTGGTCTATTACACATTCAAGATCCCAATGTTTTATTATCTTCCCAAAGTACACAAAAATGCGTTAATCCACCAGGTGGACCAATTATATCAGGGATCGATTCTATTTCCTCCAGAGTCTCCAAATATACTGACACTCTATTACAACCTATAGTACTGAGAAATCCGGCCCATCTCAAAGACCCTATACATATATTACAAATCCTGGAGACGACTCAATGGGAAGAGAATAACCATTTAGTCACCAGTGATGTTACATCTTTGTATAGTATTATCCCACATGAAGTTGGCCTCACAGCTGTGAAACATTTTCTAATTAAAACAAATTTTAACAGATGGATTTTAAATTAGAAAGCATCCACCTCATTTTAACCAATCATTTTTTTTTGGCTTCAGGATGCTTTTTACCTCCAGATCCATGGTACAACGATGGGCACCAAATTCGCATTGAGTTATGCCAACTTGTTTATGGCATATTGGGAAGAAAATTTCATATTTTCTGAACAACCCTGGGTGTTGAATTTGGTGTCCTATCGCCATTACATATTTTTGATTTGGAACGGCTCTAATTACCTTTTGGATATGCTCTTGTCTTTTTTAAACGATAACAAATGGGGTATTATCCTTACTAAAACACATAGCCAAACAGACATTATTTTTTTAGATCTTCATATTTTTATACAAGATGAACATATAAAAAACAGAATTTTTTTTAAACCAGTGGATGCCAACGGACATATTGAAAAGACTAGTTGTCATCACAAACCTGGCTCAATAATGCACCCAAAGGCCAATTTTTAAGAATAAGATATAATTGTTCGAATAAACAAGATTACATAAGTCAAGCAAAGAAAATAAAAGACCAATTTCAGGGAAAAGGTTATGAAGAAACCAAATTAACAGCAGCAATGGAAGATGTGAGAAACATCCCAAGAGAACAACTATAGGACTACAAACAAAGAAATAATAGGAGAATGAATACAAATGAGGCATCTTTTATATGCACTTTCAATGGTAATAATAATAATAAAGCAAACAGGGCTATTCAAAAAATAGCATATTTTACAAGGAGATCCAGTTCTTAAATATATTTTACCTAAACAACCAAAAAATATTATAGACTAACTGCTAACCTCAAGAGAGGTTTAGTCCATAATGGTGATGGCCCACAAATATGTTTTCCATCTATTGTATGTATTTTTGAATAATAAGAGATTATGTGCAGGCCAGTCACTTGTGCGTAGGTAGAGGGTAAATGTGTATGGGCATAAACTTTCACCACTGATAAACCACCCAACCACTTATTTCCAAAAATAAACAACCACAGGCTTGTTTTTGGAGTAAATAGGCCACAGTTTTATTAAACTATACATATATAAATCTTTAAACTTCAACTTTATAACATAAAACAGTCTATTTACATAACTTACTTAGTAAATAAATATCCATCACTGAGTACCACCTTACCAACCAAAACACATAACTTAGGGCAGCTGCCCTCCCCCCTCATTCCAACCAGCACAAGGCCTTTTCTTGGGCCTTCCATGCTCATAATGCTAACCACTAGCCGATTATTGGCTCAGTGGGCACGTCTATTATCCATAACTGTACCTGAGGTTAGGGGAGGGACAGCCTACCCATCCACTTTCCACAGACTGCTAGTCCAACCCATGGTTGACAAGGGCCATATACCACCACATGACCCGCTGGTTTACCCCCTAAATCAGTGGGGCCACCCCTACAACAAAGCCATAGCCTCCTCCAATTCATCCTGCAAGGCTAAATTAAAAATCCATTCCTACCTCCATAAGGTGGACCCTATTTCACCTAAAGTATAACGCTGTGTTCTGCTCAAAGATGCAGTGACGCACTGTGACCCCCCCCCCATTCCTTTCACAAACTTAGAAATCCACCTATTCAGTTTGATCCTGCTCTGTTCAAGAGCCCTGGGGGTCCCTTGCCAAATCAAATAAATATTTTCCTACCTCCTATCTCCTCTAAAGTATAACGCTGTGTTCTCCTCAAAGATACGGTGACTCACTAAGAGCCCCCCCATTCCTTTCACAAACTTAGAAATCTGCCTATTCAGTTTGATCCTTCTCTGTTCAAGAGCCCTGGGGTCCCTTGCCCCTCTCCAACAGTTCCAGGATAACATCTCAAACCACACAATACATGCCCTCAGCCAAATCCTTTTAGATAATTTCCCCCAGATCCCACACCGGAATAGTGCCAAGATCGTTTTCCCACAAAAGGATCAATATTACATCAGGAATGCCGAGTAGGTGAGCCAACCGGACCATTTCAGGGAACAGGTGCTCCCACCGCATCCCCCAGGAACGAACAAACAAACCTCTGCCAGCGCTGGCGAGAGACCCAGTTGTAGTCCCCTAGGACAAATTTTAGCTTGCTGTTAAGCCCAGTAAATGTAGGAATAGCAAATGATCCATACTTGCCTTCCGGCACCTATTGTCAGGGTCCCGCGGGCGGCTGCGAGGGGAGGTTGCAGTCCGCTCGCGGCACTCACCCTCCAGCCGTCCGCGGTCCCCCTTCAGCCGTGTGCTCGGCGGACGGCACCCCCTCTCCCACGGGTGCCGTCCGCCTCTTCCTCTGTGTCTCCCAGCGGCAGCATGCATGACGCTGCACGCTGGGAGACCGCCCACTTTAACCAACGCCGGGGTCAGTCACCTGACCCGGCGTTAAAGACACAGTGTCTCAATCACAGTGGGAGGTTTAGATATCTCCCACGTGTGATTGTTAATTCTGATTGGAAATTATCCAATCAGAATTAACCTTTGGATTTATATACTTACCTTTCCTGTTCCTCTTCGCCCTGTTGTGGTCTTTGCTTGTTAGTATTGATTCCCGCAAGTGCCCATTCAAGAAAGTCTGTCTTGGACTTGCGCAGCAAAAAATGCACTGCTCCCACTTCTCTAGAAACATCCCCAAATAACAATCCACTGCGGACCGTCTTGGAGGGGCTCACAAGCTTGCCCACCCGCATGGTCACGAAAAAGGCGAAAGAGAATGCTACCCAAAAAAGAGCCACTCCGAACGGGGAAGCACACACCTGAAGATGGCCCTGAAACCCTCCGGTTCGTCGGCGTCAGTAAAAAGATGGTGCTCGGCATTGGACACCTCAGACGCCTGCCAGTATGACGACCATTGAAACTCTCCAAGAAGTAGGACCAGAGCGGCAGGTCCTCACGCAAGGGGCTAGTAATCTGCACATAATAATGAGGGTGCTCCACCCCAGCAGTCACCGCTGCCAAGCGACGAGTAAACACACTTCCCACATAACTACAAAATAAAAACTATAAATTGACACTATATATATATATATATATATATATATATATGTGTGTATATGTATATATATATATATATATATATATATTAAAACATAGTCAGCATTAGAGCATATCAATAAAGTTTAATACGCATAAGTTAACATTTATAATATTAATAGGAAATTTTATTAACATAGTGTATCTAAACATTTTTAGAGGTCCATAAGGGCGATGCCAGTGGACTAGATTTTATGGGGATCGAAAGCATTCAAATTCATTGAAGAGGAGATATTGATAGCTTCCTCAGCAAATCAGAGATGAGGTGGATTTTTACCACTGATACTCTATTACCACACGGCTTAAATGCCGATTTTGAAATAAAGTCATTTATATGAAATATTTTTTTATCAATTTATGCTTTTATTAATTATGCCTGATGATTTTTTATATTTTATTTTTACACAAGTTTTATTAATTTATTGATTTTATAATATCAATTAGGATGCTTTTGTATTGTCTTTTTTAACCTTTATTCAAATGCTCGAATGCTGACTATGTTTTAATACATACATATATATATATATATATATATATATATATATATATATATTGTTTCAATTGATTGTTTTTATATTGTAGTTATTATGTGTCTATAAATTGTAGTACCATACATAATGAACTCCAAAAAAATGTTGCTGGAGTGCCTTAAAAGTAAGGATGCTAGTTTTTAGGATGTTATATTTATAATGGACTCCAAAAAATTGTGCTAGTTTGCCCCAGGAGCAAGAGTTTCGAACAAGAAGTTTATAGCTCCGAAATCGATATCCGTGTAATGATGTCATTGCGTAATAACTTCAGGGCGTTGTTACGCGAAGGAATGGAAGTGCCCAGATGCAGCCCAATGACGTAAGCACAACCACGGACCAAAACTACGAACGGATGTTGAGGAAAGGCGCCAAATCTAAAGGTTTAATAGAGAAGATTATGAGGAGGATGATAGCAACCCACTTTAGAGAAAGGCGTTAGCTGAAATGCGTTGAGTGGACAGTGGACTTTTATGTTACATGTGAGGTTGTTTTTATCTTTATTATTATCCAATAAATATTTGTTTTCCTCACCTATTTCCTGCATCCTGGAGTATTTATGGTGTAAGATCATCTGTACGGAGATTGGCAAAAGGAGTATCTTGACCCACTACAACTATCCACTGTATCCTCTATTTTATGCTACTTGTCTGAGCCAGCTTCGTTAAGTGGCTCAGAACCATGTAAGTTGGACCAGCAAAGTATATGTAGGTTTTAACTGCGTTAACTCTATTACCCTATGGTCTTTTTATATTTGCATTTTTAGATTCCACATCCAACGATTATTTGTAGTATTTATGCGATATTGTGTGCTCTCACTTTTGTATTTTTATAAGATTTTGAATATACCTGTCACAAAATCTTTTAGGCCTTAAGAGTTGACGTCTTCTGATATTCCATGGAGATGGACATTGTTCCTTCTGTCCCTATCCTCGTGGTCTGCAATTTTTACAAATATAGAGTTCAGTTTGGCATCCATTTCTCATATGTGGCAGCAGGGATCATTTCTTCTGCTTTGTTCTCCAGTTGTGCTGTGCATTCATCCAGGGCCTGTATGTCTGATCTGACATTTTTAGCCAGGTTTTGCTTAATTTTTGTTGTTGATCTTTGTACAATGGTGTTGAGCAGCTTCACAATCCACATTATGCCCAAAATTACCAAGATCCGCTTGGAAAATTGATGTATTTCTTAAACTCTCTTTGGGAGCTGAGCACTCACATGTCCATCTCTGTGAGTGGTCAGGCCACACCCCCCCTTTCTCCCATCTAGCCTAGTTTTTAACTCCTTCATCCAAGGGTACCAACAGGGGAGGCAGAAGAGCAGGATTAACTATTAGTTGACCCTGGGTAGCCACCAAGAGCCTAGGGTTTAGACAGGGACCCTGGAACCATAAATTTGCTTGGCTTTATTCACCATTGTGATGTGAAGAATGGGTAGGCTCATTCAGTAACCTGCTGGGTAAATAGAGCCAAGCAAATTCATGGTTCTAGAGCCTAATAGTAAATCCTGCTCTGCTAAGAAACTTCTACCTCCCCCATACACTGTACTTTTGGTACCGTTGGATGGAGGAGTTAAAAGCTAGGCTAAATGGTGTATATGTAATCTGCCGAGTAAATAGAGCCAAGCAAATTCATGGTTCTAGGGCCCCTGTCTAAACCCTAGGCTCTTGTTGGCTACTCAAAGCCGCCTAATAGTTAATCCTGCTCTGCTAGGAACCTTCTGTCTCCCCCATACACTGTACTTTTGGTACCGTTGGATGGAGGAGTTAAAAGCTAGGCTAGATGGTGTATATATATATATATATATATATATATATAAAAATATATATATATATATATATATATATATATATTAACCTTCATCAATAAGCTGCTATCACAATGATGTTTGGAGTGTCCTTTTAAGAGGTAGTAGTTTGTGGAAAGAGAAAATAGAGACAGTTTTGATAGCAGAGAAATTGGGGAATATAATTTCTCAATTTCAAGTAATTTCTGTAAAAGCTATGGAATTATAATTAGAGTTAGAATTGTGAAAAGGCTCACAAGTAAGTAATGTTTATGATTATTAAACTAAACTACATACAACTAATGGTGTTGATTTATTACAGATTCAACTAATGCAGAAAGAAATGGAGAGACTTGAAGTGCATCTTACTCCCACTACACCTAGCACAGAAGGTCCAGATGATGTGATCAGTGAATCTGATTCTCTTCAAGGATCCAGAGGGCAGCTACGGTTCTCAATTTGTTATGATAAGAAGAAGACAACATTATTCATCAGAGTTTTTGAAGCCATAGAGTTGCCAGAGAATGGCAGAGATCCATTTGTGAAGATTAAGGTGTTATGCAAAGTAGACGAGACAAAATCTTTAATGCATTCTGTTCTTTATGAATTGGAAACCAGGGTGGTGAAGAGAAACAGAAATCCTGTGTTTGAAGAAGAATTTTTTTGTTCTTTGAAGGAATATCAACTGTCAAATATAAGTGTCAAATTTGAGGTATGTGTTGAATTTATACTTAAAGTCAATGCATCTATAACCATAATGTGTTCGATTTTGACTTGCTTTTATTATGTGAAAACTCTATGTCTGTCTGTAAACCAAAACTAGCAGCGGTTTATTGGTGTTGTTGTAGAACCACAGCTGGGAGGAAGGGACATAAGATCAGCAATCTCAGATCTGTAACATTTCATTAAATGTGATTGTTCTTCAAAATGTGTCCACCAGAGTATCTAAAGTATTTTCCTGCCCCCTCACACTGTAAAAATTGGGGGTCTCACATTCCACAATCCCCAACCTTTTTTTTTGTTACGTACTGAAATTCGTATACATAAATACAGTGCCTTGCAAAAGTATTCACCCCCTTGACTTTTTACCTATTTTGTTACATTACAGCCTTAAGTTCAATGTTTTATTAATCTGAATTTTATGTGATGGATCAGAACACAATAGTCTAAGTTGGTGAAGTGAAATGAGAAAAATATATGCATAAAACTATTTTTTAGAAATAGAAAACAGAAAATTGGCATGTGCGTATGTATTCACCCCCTTTGTTATGAAGCCCATAAAAAGATCTGGTGCAACCAATTACCTTCAGAAGTCACATAATTAGTGAAATGATGTCCACCTGTGTGCAATCTAGGTGTCAAATGATCTGTCATTATATATACACGCCTTTTTTGAAAGGCCCCAGAGGCTGCAACACCTAAGCAAGAGGCAACACTAGCCAAACAGTGCCATGAAGACCAAGGAACTCTCCAAACAAGTAAGGGACAATGTTGTTGAGAAGTACAAGTCAGGGTTAGATTATAAAAAAATATCCAAATCTTTGATCCCCAGGAGCACCATCAAATCTATCATAACCAAATGGAAAGAACATGGCACAACAGCAAACCTGCCAAGAGACGGGCAAGGAGGGCATTAATCAGAGAGGCAGCACAGAGACATTTGTAACCCTGGATGAGCTGCAGAGTTCCACAGCAGAGACTGGAGTATCTGTACATAGGATGACAATAAGCCATACGCTCCATAGAGTTGGGCTTTATGGCAGAGTGGCCAGAAGAAAGCCATTACTTTCAGCAAAAAACAAAATGCCACATTTTGAGTTTGTGAAAAGGCATGTGGGAGACTCCCAAAATGTATGGAGGAAGATGGTCTGGACTGATGAGACTAAAATTTAACATCAAAGAAAACGCTATGTCTGGCGCAAACCCAACAGATCACATCACCCAAAGAACACCATCCCCCACAGTGAAACATGGTGGTGGCAGCCAGGATTGGGAAACTGGTCAGAGTTGAGGAAAAGATGGATGGTGCTAAACAGGGCCGCCATCAGGGGGTGACAACCATGACGGTTGTCACGGGCCCGGCGGTCCTGGGGGGCCCGGACTGCACAGGTAATCCTCTGCATGCCCGGGCCCCCAGCCCTTCAATCTGCATATATATATAGCGAGTACCGCTATGTATATATGCCTCTGCGGACCCAGGATATACTTACCTTCCCCTCCAGCACTCTCGCGAGCCACAGCAGTAAAGCGTTGCCGCGGGTTGTCATGACAACGCTCCGCGGCACGCAATGCATGCTGGGCTCGCGTCCTGGCTGCAGGAGGGAGTCTGCTGGGCTCCTCCTTGCTGGCCCAACACGCAGAGCCACCGGACCACCAGGGAATCCATTGTCCCCCCTCCCTGACTACAGGTAAGAGGCAGGGAGGGGGGAATACATCTTTTTTTTTTTTTAAATTACAAACAATTCTACATAAAAAAAAAACCAAAATGCCTCCCAGCAGCATTTGTCACACATCCACCACACACATACATCAAACAGACAAACTGCATCCACTACACAACCATACACATCATCCACTACACAATCATACACATCATCCACTACACAACCACACACATTATCCACTACACAACCATACACATCATCCACTACACAACCATACACATCATCCACTACACAACCACACACATCATCCACTACACAACCACACACATCATCCACTACACAACCACACACATCATCCACTACACAACCACACAAATAATCCACTACACAACCATACACATCATCCACTGCACAACCACACACATTATCCACTACACAACCATACACATCATCCACTACACAACCACACACATTATCCACTACACAACCATACACATCATCCACTACACAACCATACACATCATCCACTACACAACCACACACATTATCCACTACACAACCATACACATCATCCACTACACAACCATACACATCATCCACTTCACAACCACACAAATAATCCACTACACAACCATACACATCACCCACTACACAACCATACACATCATCCACTACACAACCATACACATCATCCACTACACAACCATACACATCATCCACTACACAACCATACACATCATCCTCTACACAACCACACACATCATCCACTACACAACCACACACATCATCCTCTACACAACCATACACATCATCCACTACACAACCACAAACATCATCCACTACACAACCATACACATCATCCACTACACAACCACACACATCATCCACTACACAACCATACACATCATCCTCTACATGACCATACACATCATCCACTACATGACCATACACATCATCCACTACACAACCACACACATCATCCACCACATAAACACACCATAAACCAGATAAACACATAAACTGCATCCACTACACACATCATCCACTACACACACAGCATCCACTACAAACACACACTCTGCATTCACTATACACACACTACATACACTACACATACACTCTGCAGTCACTATATACACACTACTTCCACTACACAAACACACACACTGCATTTACTATACACACAAACACTATATCCACTACACAAACACACACTCTGCATTTACTATACACACACACTATATCCACTACACAGACACACTGTATTAACTATACACACACTACATCCACTACACAAACACACACTCTGCATTAACTATACACACACTACATCCACTACACAAACACACACTCTGCATTAACTATACACACACACACTACATCCACTACACAAATACACAATCTGCATTCACTATTCACATACTACATCCAGTACACAAACACACACTCTGCATTAACTATACACACACACACTACACCCTCTACACAAACACACACACTGCATTCACTATACACACTATACATCCACTATACACAAAATACATCCACTATACACACACACTCTGTCCACTACACAAAGTGGGGGCATGTCATGTGGGCAAGCTTGGGGCAGGTCATGTGGATTGACTTGGGGGGTGGCCCCGGGGGGCCCAGATGGTGGGCTGTGTCAGGGGCCCCAAAATTTCTGGTGGCAGCCCTGGTGCTAAATACAGGGATATTCTTGATTTGAGGCTAGGACGGAGGTTCACCTTCCAGCAGGACAATGACCCCAAACACACTGCTAAAGCAACACTTGAGTGATTTAATGGGAAACATGTACATGTGTTGGAATGGCCCAGTCACAGCCCAAACCTCAATCCAATAGAAAATCTGTGGTCAGACTTAAATTGCTGTTGACAAGCGCAAACCATCTAACTTGAAGGAGCTGGAGCAGTTTTGCAATGAGGAATGGGCAAAAATCCCAGTGGTAAGATGTGGCAAGCTCATAGAGACTTATCCAAAGCGACTTGGTGCTGTGATTGCCACAAAAGGTGGCTCTACAGAGTATTGACTTTAGGGAGGTGAATAATTATGCACATTGACTTTTTCTGTTATTTTGTTCTATTTGTTGTTTGCTTCACAATAATAATAATTAAAAAAAAATCTTCAAAGTTGTGGGCATGTTCTGTAAATTAAATTATGCAAATTCTCAAACAATCCATGTTAATTCCAGGTTGTGAGGCAACAAAACACAAAAAATTCCAAGGGGGTGAATACTTTTGCAAGGCACTGTACATACATTCATGTACACACATAAATGAGCACATCTACACAGAAACACACATTAATATACGTACACAAACAGACACATTTACACACACAGACTCACACATACACACACACACACACAGACATTGATGTACACACATGGAATCATATATGAAGACACACACATAATATATGCACACACAGACATATTCATATACACACATAGTCTCATATACACACAGACAGACTGACACATACACACAGACATTCATACAGACACTTACACCCATACACACACTAATGTTTTTTTTTTTAAATACAGTTTTGTTTTTGTTTTTTTAACACTGACTTCCACCTAGCCTCTCTGTTCTTACCTGGGCAGGTAGACCCTTAGTGGAACCTCACTCCTGGTGTTCAGTATGTCGCTGCAAGGATCTCTCTCACTAGCAGCAGTACAGGGTGCACGAAGTAGCTGAGAAATTAGTGTAGACTTACAGTGGTTCCCAACCCAGTACTGGTACAGGATTTATGGATTACTCAGTTGTGTCTAAGGTATTTTTTAGGAAAAAAAACCACTTTAGACACAACAGGTAATCCATAGATCCTGGACCGGCAGGGGGCACTTGAGCCCTGGGTTGGGAACCCCTGGCGAAGAGAGTTCCCAGCAGCTCCCTTGGCACTCGCTCTGCAGAAAACCACAGCACAGCCTCAAAGCGGGCACCCACACGAGCCAGGTGAAATTAGGAAGGTGCTTGTTCAGTCAGGAGGGGGTATGCTATGCACCTCCCTGCCGCCTATCACTCCACATGTACTGGCCCCTACTTTAGTACTCCACTATTGTCCACTATACATTATCTTTGTATTTTCTGTCTTCATTTTACGTCAGATAACATTTTAATGTTAGCTTATATTTTTGCAATGTATATTTGTAATAACGTGTATATAAGGTACAATGTAAAGAATTTTAAGCAATCAGGCATACATGAAATACATGAAACATGAAAGAGCTGTGACAGACATAAAAATTCTTGTAACAGCTAATAATTAAGACCTTTCTCAGCGCAGTCAACAAGTTACATCAGTTCTAATGTCCACGGTCCTTACTGGAACCTGTTTTTTATATACAGTCATTTCAAAATGTAAGGATAGATGTATTTATATTAATTTTTATCATAAAAATGTTTATGAGATCATAAGAGAATTGAAGATTATGCTAGTGTTAGTGTACTTATAATCTTTATTTAGTAATGACAGGAGACGAGTATTTTGCATTAAATTTTCTTTACTAACTCCACATAGCAGTAAAGAAAAGTGAAAACAATAACCAATCAAAATGCAATAGGAAGTAAGGTATTCACAGTAATGAGGCTCCTCCCCCTCTTTCGGAAGCAACATCATAAATGGATAAAAGTTCTAAATTCAAACGTCCTGTAACACGCACCAACGGGTGACTCTCCAATTAACGAAACCTCATGGAATGAAGGCTGATCCAGAAGTGTCCATCCTGAGAACGAACTGTAACATCACGAATTTACACTGAAAAGAGAACGTGAAATAGGTTAGGCACCGGTCTTTAAACTGGTTGAAGTAATGGTAATAACCCAACACTAAATTGCAGTAGATGTCTCTCTATAGACTAACAATGGCTGACTACGAGCAACAAGTAAAATGTATAAGCGAACATAATCAGAACATATCTTTAAACCTAGGAGAAGCAAGTGATCTAGATATAAAGATGAACCAAACTGAAAGGTAAATATACTTATGTGAATCCTCTCTACCCTAGGGTGGTAAAAAAGGGTGGGAAAATACTCGACTCCTGTCATTACCAAAATTAAGATTATAAATACACTAACGCTAGCATAATCTTAAATTTTACCACATGACAGGAGGCTTCCTATTTTGCATTTTTAACGCTGATGCAGAAGAGACATGGCCACACCCGAACTCGGACTGAAGTAGAATGTTCGAAAGGTAGATTCTCGTGACCAGTCTGCGGAACGGAGGATATCCGAGAGTGAAGCACCCACCGAGAAGGCTGAAGAAGCCGCCGCCCAGTGAACAGAGTGGGCCCCGAAATCTTTGTCTACTCCCGCCAGTGATAGAATCCATCTTATCCATCTGGCGAGTGTGGTAGCCAAGACGGGAACGTGTGGTCTAACGTAAGACACCAACAGTTGTCCCGAAGTAGAGACCCGAAGCGGGGATGTGATCTCCACATACCAACGCAGTGTAAAAACAACGTATAGTTGTGGATCGGTAGTGAAGAAAGGGTAGAAGACCGACGTAGAGTCTGATTTCGTACGACGCGATACTCGAAAGGTAACTCCCTCCGGAGAAACCGAAAAAGCGTCAATGTCAAACGCCCGTACGTCAGAAACCATATGAAACAAAATGAGGCATAGCAGTAGGGTCAGTTTAGCTGAGAGCTATCGGAGAGAGAGTCTGTCGTTATTCGGCCAATCTCTCAAAAACTGTAGGACAACTTCTACGTTCCATAAACTTGAGTATTTGGGTCCCGATGGTCTCTGCAATCGAATGCCCCTCAGGAGGCGGCATACCAGCAGATCTTTCCCTATGGATATCCCTAAAATCGATACGTGAGCCGCTGAAATTGTGGAGCGCACAATGTTGAGCGACCGGTAGGAGCGACCTGTGGAAAAGAAGTAAGACAGAAAGTTCAGGATGGCAGTTATAGGTGCAGTAAACGGATTGAGGTTCCGTTCACTGAACCAAGAGGACCAGGATTTCCAAGCTGATAGGTAACATCGTCTCCAGTTGCTGCTGTCCCGCCAGTCACGTGAAAACCAGTCTGCTGTCAGATTCGCCTCTCCCGGGAGATATTCTGCTTTGAGGGAGATGTTGCGGGGTAGGCAAAAGTCGAAGATCTCCTTCAATATCTCTGATAGGAGCCGGGATCGAGCTCCGCCCAGGCGGTTGATGTAGCGGACCACGGAGACATTGTCCATCCGGAGGAGAATGCGGCAGTTCGATCTGTCCCTCGCTAGACTGCGAATAGCGAATGATCCCGCCAGGAGTTCTAGAAGGTTTATGTGCAGGTCGATGTCTCAAGAAGTCCATGCACCTTCTGTCGATCTGCCTTCGATCGTCGCTCCCCAGCCCCAGTGGCTGGAGTCCGACTCCAGAACTACGTCGGGCGTGTTACCAAAGATGGCCCGGCTGTTCCAAGCCTCCATGCTATCCAGCCACCATCTGAGTTCCTCTTTGACCTCTTCCATTACCGGGATCGTTTGATCGTAGGAAGGGTTCTGGCGAAGGATGGAGGTTTAGGTGTTGCATCGCCCTGTAGTGGAGGGGTCCTGGGAAGATGGCCTGGATGGATGCGGATAGTAGGCCTACTATCCGAGCCAGGCTGCGGAGTGGAATAGCATGGCAGCGAATGACCCTGCGTAGTTACTTCCTGATGGCTGCAAATTTTTATGTCAGTAGCCGTAGTGTGCTGGACTTGGAGTCTATCTCGAACCCCAAGAATTGTACTGTCTGAGCCGTAGATATCGCCGACTTCAGGTAGGTCACCATGAAGTCTAGTGACGTCAGGAAATCCGTGGTATATCGTGTGTGTTGAATCAGTCTGGACCTGTCAGAGCAAAACAGGTCGTCCAGGTAGATAATGCACCGAATTCCTCGTACTAGTTAATGTGCAACTACTGGCTTCAGCAGCTTGGTGAAACACCACGGGGCCGAGCTGAGGCCGAAGGGGAGGCATTTTAATTGCCAGGGTAGACCTTGCCACCGGAATCTGAGAAATTGGTGGCAGGTGAGGTGGACGGGTACTGACAAATATGCGTCCTTGAGGTCCAGTCTTGTGAACCATCTCCGTCTTGGAGGAAGTCACTTAGAAGATGGATGCCTTCCATCTTGAAGTGCCTGTACATGGTGTTGAGCCTCCTTAGGTTTATGACGGGCCTGAAGTCTCTGGTTTTCTTTTTTACCAGAAATATTGTGACGAGACCAATCTCGCCACTGTGCATTGGAGGAGCCTGGTTGCCCGCCTGCTGCCTTTAGACTATGGCCCCATGTTGAAATGCTTGATTTTCCCCTGCAAAGACACGAAAGCCGGGTCATTTGGTGCTTGCCCTGTTTGAGCGGTGATACCCCAGATATCTATGCCATGGAGCCCATTCATATAATGAAATACTATGGGAAAGACTTTGGTTCCATGGCAATTGAACTGTATGTGTGTGATCTGAGCGAAATTCAGTAATAATGTGCGCTCAGATCTTCTGAGCTATCTGGGGATATGTTGAATGTACCTGTTTTATGCAATGGCTGCACAGTTATATATTTTATTGTCTTTTGCTACCATGTGTTCAATCGAGTTTTGCCTCTGTCCTTGGAGATAATTGGATTACTTCCTAATTATCTCCAGGACAGAACACTCTGTGGAACTGGTTTTGGGCAGAAAAGCCATGGTTCATTTGGTCACAAAGGACTACGATCCATCTTTTGAACCACTGGACCAATTTGTATGATTTTGACGTATGTTTGTATTTGGAGTATGCTGATTCTGAAAATGTAATTTTATGTGAATTTGATGCATACTTTTAAAATTATGAATAATGTGGAAAAACTGTATTTCTCTGCCTGTGATAATTACATTACCCATTGTGTAAGGTAATTGTATCAGAGGCAGAGGGGAGGATTTTGTGTGGGAGTGTCTGAGTGTATTGTACATGTTTATTGGTTGTTTTCCAAAACCCTGTGGGTGGTACTAATGTGTAAGAACAATAAACCCACAGTTCTGTCTGTTCCTGCTTGACCCTCAAAACAGAGCCTTGTCTCGTTCTTGGGGGGATTTATTGTATGCTGTTTCAGTTCGACTGCTAGGAGTGTAAACCTATTCATATGATTTTTCCTATTCGGCTGTTTACGGCATTCAAATGGTTTCCTGTTCGGTGGATTGGTGTCTTTGGTAGCTGCCTGTATATCTGGAAGGAGAATATCTCCTAAACGGCTTTTAACCCCTTTTATGCCTGGGGGTGCCATTACAATTGGTGGCTGCGGCGGGATCATTCCCACAGCCCAGAAGGACAGCTACAAGGAAACACCATTCCCTGGATTTACAAATTGAGGGCAACGAATCTCTGAGTACAGCGACCCTGACAGCAGCAGGATGGAACCAGCAGTTTTATACGATGATGGTGTCATGGACGATCAAGATGCAGTCTTCAAAGGCATCTGGTACCAGGCACAGCGAGGAGCAGCGACAGCAGACACGAGTGGCACTGCGGTTGCCCCTCCTGGGAGAGCAACTCCTGGAGGAGTGGATAAAGGAACTGGAGCACTGGGTATGGCAGGAGCTGTGGCCGGAAGATGCCTACCAGGCACTCTGGTAGTATGCAGCGCAGTATATACCCTGGACAGCCGAGCATGACAAGCCAGAGGGAGAGGAGTTTGATGGCCCTGGTTTGTTATGGGAGTCTTTTTCGAGCCTGATTTTGGGAGCTCTACACAAACCCGGTTCCATGACATTTTTGAGTAGAGGGAGAGTATGTACGACTTGGATGACCCTCACGAGGTGGAGCAAGACCTGTCCCACCTAGCGACCCGAGAGATGGAGCTGGAACAGGACAACATCTGTTCCACTCCATTGAAAAGGCACGACAGAAAAGCAGAGCGGCAGATCCAGTTCCAGAACCCTTCAGCTGGGAAGATATTGTAGAGATTTACTGGGAGGAACCCAAGGCGGCAGGTGGACATGGGACCGAGGTCTCTCCACCGGCCCTACAGGGATGCTGGGCGGTCAGCCCAGATCCCCAGCGGCAGATTGATTTGCAGGGAATAGAGAGCCATGTCTCCTTTCCCCAGCGGCAGTGTGAAGTGCAGGGAGTGGAGAGCATCGTCTCCCCTCCCCAGCGGCAGTGTACCTTGCAGGGAGAGGAGAGCAGCGTCCTCCCTCCCCAGCGGCAGGGTGAGCTACAGGGATGCTGGGTGGTTGGCTTAGATCCCCAGCGGCAGTGTGATTTGCAGGGAACAGAGAGAAGTGTCTCCTTTCCCCAGCGGCAGTGTGAAATGCAGGGAGTGGAAAGCAGTATCTCCCCTCCCCAGCGGCTGAAAGTGTGTAAGGGAGTGGAGCTTGTTACCCCCTCTCCCCAGCAGCAGCTTAGCCCACCAAGGGGAGACACTAAGTTCCCCACCAGTGCAGATGGGACCATGGTCTCTGCACCCAAGCTACAGGGAGTACGGACAGTCAGTCCTGCTCCCCAGCGGCAGAGTCTTCTACTGGGAGGGGAGAACCTCACCCCCCTCCCGAGTGGCAGCCTAGCCCACCAAGGGGAGATGATAAGCCCCACACCGGTGCAGATGGGAGAGTAGTCTCTGTGCCCAAACCACAGGGGGTAGGGATGGTCGGTCCTGTCCCCCAGCAACAGGGCTGTTTAGCCAAAGGGGAGACAGACGGTCTCCCCCCACAGCAGCATGGTGCTTTGTCCAAAGGGGAGACGATCAGTCTCCCCCTCCAGCAGCACAGCTATGTATCCAAAGGAGAGAAAGTTGGTCTCCCCCTCCAGCAACCAGGCTCCCACCAGGCTACTTTGTCTTATATTGTGTGCCAATTCTCATACCATGCTGGCATTGAACTGGTCAGCTCTTGTGAAGGCATTATCCGCCAAATACATGATGCGGGAAAGTGGGCCGATGGGGTCCAGTAGCTTGTCCTGAACTCCATGGAATCCTTTCTCCACACCATTCTGGGGGTTGTGACCACCTTGAGGCATGAAGGTGGTCATGACCTGGTCAAACTCCGGTGTCTGAGCCACCTGGCCGGGTAGTGAAGGGCGAGGGTATTTGGAGCGTTGGCGGTTGCGAACCGTCTTGTCCAGTGGTTAGCTGAGCCACAGGTGCATAAATTTAGAGAGATGTTCAGGGGTGTCCAGTCCCCTGAGCATGGGTGTCGAATATTTTTAGGGTCGGAAAGACGTTGGCCCGTGGGGTCCAGGATGGTTTCTTTTCTTCTTGGGCTGGTACTAGATCGTCCGTCAGTTGGATGTCATCCAGGAAAGTGCCCAGTAAGAAGCCAGTACGGAATCCGGTATCTGAGCCCCGGTCCTCTTCCTGTGAGTCAGAATCCACGCCTTGTCACTTGTCAAGCACGGTCATGGAGCGCGTATGTTCTTCCTACCATCTGAGGAGTAGTGGTGTCGGGGGGCAGGTGTAGGTGGGACCGGTTTGTGGCGTTTGGCTGGTGCGTTGCCTTTGCCATTGTTGTCGTTCCCTTTTTCGCCCTTCCAGTGGCGTCTGCTAGGCCGGGTGTCAGATTGTGCATGCTATTCTGAGGCCTCAGAATCGTAGTCATGGTGTTGGGCTTTTGTGGCTTTCTTATTTTGATCGGCTGATGCCGTCATTACCTTGGAGAGTGCTTTCTCCATTGAGGCGGTGATAGTCTCATTAATTATAGTCTGGAAGTCTGCAAGGTTCTGGGATGCTTCCATAATGTTTGGAGGGAATGAGTTAAATTGTGCAGTAGTACCAGCAGTACTAAACACCCCAGCAGGGTGTATTATGTAATTCCAGTGTATGTGGTATCAGCAATACCAGTTACCCCAGCAGGGTATATTGGGATTTGTTACTGGGCCTCACCCAGGTATATATAGGTGTGTCAGGTATAGCATGGCATGTAATTCATCGCCGGAACCCACTTCCGGGTTCACGGCGCTCAGCCCCGCCCCTTTTTTCTGACGCGGTCCCTCCACGATACTTAGGAGGACCGCGCCAGATTCAAAGGGCTGGATTATTCGCACAGGTGCTGCATGAAGATCAGCTGCTCTACTTTTGATCCTACCTGCTCCACTTCTATACCTCGGCTTGTAAACGGATTTCTACCTTCTCCACTTCTCGACCTTGGCTGGTAAACGTATTTCTACCTTCTCCACTTCCCGACCTCGGCTTGTAAAAGGATTTCTACCTTCTCCACTCCTGGACCTCGGCTTGTAACTCTGAATTCTACCTTCTCCACTCCCAGACCTCGGCTTGTTAAAACGGACTTCCCCACTCTCCACTCCTAGTTCTCAGCTTGTTGAAACGGACTTCTAATTTCTCCTTCATTGGGTGAATTAACCCTTCCAGTGCCAGAACTGCCTTTAAGTTAAGTAATACTTTTACCAACCAAGTCAATTCCTATTATTTTTATTACACAATATCTAAAACTCACTAAAGTGTCACTTTGTCTAATTATTCCTCTTATTCATAAGGGATTGCTACGAAGCCTAATTTTACCTTCATGGGTATTTAAAGGTACAGTGACCATTGTTTCATACCAATATAAAAGGAGGTGAAACTTTTTGTTGTTGCAACCAGGAAATTCTGCAGTTGAGTTCCAATTAAAGAAATATTACAAAATAAATATTACAAGGTGGCACAAAATCACACCTGAAAGCAGCAATAATATAGGGGCCTCACCCCAAATGCACAGGGTTAGTAAACCCTATAGTGCAGGCTACAGACTAGTCTACTGACCTGGTGACCCCTGCCTGAACGTTAGGAGGATGTGTCCGGGTAACTGATCGATCGGGAGCCGGAATAACGGAGATCGTGGAGCTCCTAAGATGGCGGCCGCAGATCTCGCGAGACACGAGATCCAAGATGGCCGCTGGAGAGACAGGAAAAAAGTTCTCGTTGTGCTGGCTAGTGTGAGTGTGGCTGTGAAGCCACGAGGGAAAGGACGGGTGGAGGAGGGTGAGCGTTAAAAAGTGAGAAAAACGATCCGTCGGTGAAATTATAGACCGACGGATCGATCAGGTACCGTCCTGGGTAATGTTATAAAAAATAGAAAAGTTTGAGAAGAATAGTAAAGCCCCGAAGAGAAGGGGCAGATAGGGAAACAGGGAAGAGAGTCCATGAGGAAAGATAGTACTAATATGGGAAAGAATCCCTAAGTGAAGTGCAAAAAGAAAAATAAGAGCAATAAACAAATATAAAAGAAAAATCTCTGACCTGTCTGCCGATGGAGCAGTAAAGAAAGAGGGAGAGGAGCCTCATCACTGTGAATACCATACTTCCTATTGCATTTTGATTGGTTATTGTTTTCACTTTTCTTTACTGCTATGTGGAGTTTAATGCAAAATAGGAAGCTTCCTGTCATGTGGTAAAATTAGCCATTACAAGTAGCGAAACAAATTAAAATTATCACAAAGATGATAAAAAGGGAAAAAAAGACAGTGTTGATTATATATGATTGTGGTTAGTTCATCTATTACATTTGAAATATGGTAAGTGCATTATTTTATTATTTTTTTTAAAAGAGTGAAAATGCAATTCTCTATTTCACTGTTTAAGAGAGACTATCAGTATCAGACAATTTATGTTAATATTTTTGCATTTATATAATAGGTAAAGAATTTTGACAAGTATTCCAGACACACTCTTATAGGAGAAGTAAGAATGACCCTCAAAGACTTGAAGCCTTTAGAAACTATGGAATTCTGTGAAAAACTGCAAGAAAAAACAAAGGTACGAAGTAAAAGCAATATAGAGTGGTCTTCTGTTCCTTCAAGTCCCAGTGTAAAAGAACAATGACTCTGTTTACCATTGTTTAAACTTGGAACCTTCAGCAAAAAAGCAAACATTAAATATCAGATTACATGAATGTGTTTTTATCACATCTAGGACTTATTTCCATGCATATTTCAATCATTTACCAACCCTTCAGTAAAATTTAAAAGAATATTCCAGGTATATTCTGGGCACCAACACTGTGATTGCATTATACACTTTTATTCACACTTTTAGTGTCCACATTGCACTATTGTGCTCTCATTGCACTTAAGTACATGGTCAATGTGATCATGTTCTGCACCTTCATGCACGTTTTGATTGTTTGTTCACGTTTTGCACTTTATATGCATTATGTATTTTTGTAAATGATTTATGTGTTCACTTTTTTATACTGCTCCTTTTATGTGCTTACATTGTTTGCACTTACCATATGTGCACTTTTTTCCACTTTATGTATGTGGTTTCTGTGCTTATAGTTTACACTTTCTGAAATGGCTTTGAGCTTACATTAAGCAATTTTGTAACATGATTAAGATGCACTATTAGAGGTATTTATCTGCACTGTAATATTAACTGAATGGCAGTCGGTACACATAATTTTTACTTAGATTGGGGGTTATGAGTGCTGTGTTGGATTTTTATATGGTGGCACTATTATAATGTTGATGTATTTGAGACATGAAATTGGTAGCAATATAGAAAGATTGTATTCTTAAATATTAGGGAATTGTGGTATGAAGTATTAACTGTAAAGCTTACACTGGAAGTACATTTTTTAAAATTGCATTTGAAATTACTGCTGCATATCTGTTCAGAGGTAGTGATGTACCGAACGGTTCGCTGGCGAATAGTTCCTGGCGAACATAGCGTGTTTGCGTTCGCCACGGCGAGCGAACATATGCGCGGTTCGATCTGCCCCCTATTCGTCATCATTGAGTAAACTTTGACCCTGTACCTCACAGTCAGCAGACACATTCCAGCAAATTAGCAGCACACCCTCCCTAGCAGACCCTCCCACCTACTGGACAGCATCCATTTTAGATTCATTCTCAAGCTGCATGCTTAGTGAGAGGAGGAAAAGTGTAGCTGCTGTTGATTTGATAGGGAAATGGATAGTTAGGTTAGTGTATATAGTGTCCACTACAGTCCTGAAGGACTCATCTGATCTCTGCTGTAAGAACAGCACCCCAAAAAGCCCTTTTTAGGGCTAGAACATCAGTCTGCTTTTTTTTTTTCTGTGTAATGTAATTGCAGTTGCCTGCCTGCCAGCTTCTGTGTCAGGCTCACAGTGGATACTGTGCCCAGTGCCACCACTCACTCACTGGTGTCACAATAGCTTGCATTTAAAAAAAATATATATTTTTTCACTATAATAGATTGAATAGCAGTTAGTTGTCTGCCAGCTTCTGTGTCAGGCTCACAGTGGATACTGTGCCCACTTGCCCAGTGCCACCACTCACTCACTGGTGTCACAATAGCTTGCATTTAAAAAAAAAATGTATTTCATTGTAATAGATTGAATAGCAGTTGTCTGCAAGCGTCTGTGTGTCAGGCTCGCAGCGTATACTGTGCCCACTTGCCCAGTGCCACCACTCACTCACTGGTGTCACAATAGCGTGCATTTAAAAACCCAAAAACTTTTTTCACTGTTATAGATTGAATAGCAGTTAGTTGTCTCCAAGCGTCTGTGTGTCAGGCTACAGTGTACTCTGCCCACCTTTGCCAGTTCACTCACTCTTATCTGGTGTCACAATAGCGTGCATTTAAAAACCCAAAAACTTTTTTCACTGTTATAGATTGAATAGCAGTTAGTTGTCTCCAAGCGTCTGTGTGTCAGGCCTACAACGTGTACTCTGCCAACCTTTGCCAGTTCAAAGTACCACTCTTATCTGGTGTCACAATAGCGTGCATTTAAAAACCCCAAAACTTTTTTCACTGTTATAGATTGCATAGCAGTTAGTTGTCTCCAAGCGTCTGTGTGTCAGGCCTACAACGTGTACTCTGCCAATTCACAGTGCCACTCATATCTGGTGTCACAATAGCTTGCATTTAAAAACAAAAAACTTTTTTCACTGTTATAGATTGAATAGCAGTTAGTTGTCTTCAAGCGGGTGTGTCAGGCCTACAACGTGTTCTCTGCCAACCTTTGCCAGTTCACAGTGCCACTCATATCTGGTGTCACAATAGCTTGCATTTAAAAACAAAAAAACTTTTTTCACTGTTATAGATTGAATAGCAATTAGTTGTCTTCAAGCGGGTGTGTCAGGCCTACAGCGTGTACTCTGCCAGTTTACAGTGCCACTCATATCTGGTGTCACAATAGCTTGCATTTAAAAACAAAAAACTTTTTTCACTGTTATAGATTGAATAGCAGTTAGTTGTCTTCAAGCGGGTGTGTCAGGCCTACAACGTGTACTCTGCCAACCTTTACCAGTTCAAAGTGCCACTCTTATCTGGTATCACAATAGCGTGCATTTAAAAACCCAAAAACTTTTTTCACTGTTATAGATTGAATAGCAGTTAGTTGTCTCCAAGCATCTGTGTGTCAGGCCTACAACGTGTATTTTGTATTAGCAGTTTTGCTAGTAAATGTGTAGACTGTGGAAAAAAAACCTGTAGCGGACTACGGGTAACCCAACCGGTTACCTCCGCTAATACCCTCCTTCAGCCACTCTGGAACCCTTTAAAAAAGCAGGCATCCCTTTCCCCCAGTAACTGGATGAGACACAGCTCTGTGAGTAAAACTGAAAAATTAACTGCTGTTTATTTTGTCACACATGGTTTTTCAGGCACAGACCACTACATGGGGTTCTCTAAAACAATCCACCAGAGGTTTCAATCCCAAGAATCCGATGGAGGAGGGACAAAGCAGCTAGGTTAAACTGGGCTAGCAAGCAATATATTTCACTTAACTATACTGTACAGTCTATAGAGCTGCTGCCTCCCCCCCTCCCCTTCGTTGACCCACAGCTGCATATACAGACACACACACTGTGACATCTATACACATATAAAACTGTCACAAAAATGGTGCTGCAAGCTTGTGGCCTGCGCCAAACAAATCAGGCCATCCATTACATATCTCTCCCCATAGAAATAGACAGACCTGTGACCAGACCCACAAAGGGCTTGCAACAAGTCGGTTGGACCCCCTTGAATCCACAGGTCAAGTCCTTGGGGTCCAAGTGGTGGGGAAGGGGGGAACATGGCACTCAGGGACGGCGTTCTGTCATGAAACCTATTTAAAATGGGATTTTCTTTCAGTTGTCAATCAATTTATTGATAAAGGAGAGCAGAAGAGACCACCCACAGACAGTCCTTTTGCTCTTCACCCAAAGCAAACACTATGGTTGCTTTGGTAACTCCCTAACTAACATGGCTAGTGTTGCCTAGAGAGTACAGGAATGGATTGACAAATGTCACTCTGTTCAGACACTGGCATGCTGGCAATGAAGTAATTAGAAGTGTCCCAAGCAGAGCAAATAAGTGAAGACTGCAGGAGGAATGGAAGTAGGTGTTACAGAAGTATTAATAAATATTAATTTAAAGCGACACTGTCATGCTGAACTTACCTTTCCCGATCACTTTTTCTTCTCTTCCTCTCTCTGGAACTGTTCTTCATTTCTTCCTATTTAATCTAGTTTTCTTTAAAACATAAGACAAAGTAGGTAGGAAGACAATGTAATAGAGCAGCTGGAAATGCTAGCAGAATGCTTGGTTGTATAGGGAGAGTTATTAGCAGTAGAAAGAGAGAAGTGCTCATGCCATTGTACAGAACACTGATGAGACCTCACTTGGAGTATTGTACGCAGTACTGGAGACAGTATCTCCAGAAGGATATTGATACAGTAGAGAGAGTTCAGAGAAGGGCTACTAAACTGGTTCATGGATTGCAGGATAAAACTTACCAGGAAAGGCTAAAGGAACTTAACATGTATAGCTTGGAGGAAAGACGAGACAGGGGAGATTTGATAGAAAATTAAATACATAAAGGGAATCAACACAATAAAGGAGGAATAAATGTAAAAAAATATTCTGTGATATAAGGCGCTTAAAAAGATAAAGGTGCTCTTTAGTGCAGCAGCTTCCACACAAAAATAGGAACTCTCTACTCCTATTACAATGTGATATATAAAAAACACTATTTGTTCAAACAGGTGTCAAATTAGTGCAAGTGTGTAGTGCTAGAAATAAGTTACTCACTCCCCAAATTATGGTGGAGATGTAGAAATAATACAAATCACTGTAAAGAAAAAAGGGAAGAATATATAGTGCAACACTGTTGGATTTAAAAGTGTAAATATATATTCCAGTTGGAAGCATTCACGTGGTCTAGAGCCTATTATGGACTGGCTCTAATCACTTGCGCCGTTGTGCACTTCTGGTGGCACACACCCTATGGATCCATATGGAAGGTACTTCTCAAAGGCATGTGAACAGAGAAAAGGAAAAACAGGGAAACTCGCCCTTAATCAAATATATTACAATACAAATATATAGGTTGCTTCTCACCTTAAAAAGAGCCTGTCACTTGGCTCTAAGTGTACAGGTATATGAGTACAATAATAGGGTGACTCTGCCCTTCTTGTAGCAGGTTAAATGATCCACCAGTTGATGTATTAAAAGAATTATATTCATTCTATCAAAAATGATATAATTTTTGATAGAATTTTTGTTCACATGCCTTTGAGACGTACCTTCCATATGGATCCATAGGGTGTGTGCCACCAGAAGTGCACAACGGCGCAAGTGATTAGAGCCAGTCCATAATAGGCTCTAGACCACTTGAGTGCTTCCAATTGGAATATATATATTTCCACTTTTAAAACCAACAGTGTTGCACTATATATTCTTCCCTTTTTTTCTTTACAGTGATTTGTATTAATTCTACATCTCCACCATAATTTGGGGAGTAAGTAACTTATTTCTAGCGCTACACACTTGAACTAATTTGACACCTGTTTGTACAAATAGTGTTTTTTATATATCACAGTAAAGGAGGAGACTATATTTAAAAGAAGGAAAACTACCACAACAAGAGGATATAGTCTTAAATTAGAGGGGCAAAGGTTTAAAAACTGCATTTTGTCCAGTTCGAAATTGCATTTAAATTAAACAAATTCCAATACGATTCTTGTAGTGCCTGCATGGGCACACTATGTCCCCCTGTTAATTATTTAAATAGGTGCCCCACCATGGGCACTTTGTGGAGTGGAGGGTTTTTTTTTTTTCTCCATCAGTTAGCAGCCACAGGCTCATTGTTTAGTAGACATACCACATACTCATGGCATAGCGAGTAGGGGCAGCAGGGAGATCTGAAACTCCCTTATTTACTAATACTAAGTAATCTTTACTTTGTATTAGTAAAGTTGTCTGAAAGACTTTGGTCTTTCAGCCTTAGACTAAATAACTCCTTGATACCGTGGGAATTAGGGGGTTATCTACTAAACGACTGCAAGATGTAACCATGGCACAAATCAAGTTTGAATTTCATTTATTCGAATTAAATTTCGAACTGGACAAAATGCACAAATTTAGTCCTAACATGAATGGACAAACTGTACGCATTCTGTTAGGACGAAGTTCGGTAGTTTCACTGGTGAACAGCCATTTAAATATTGAATGAAGTAACTAGAGATCATGGAGGAGAGTGGGAAAATGTATTTGACCACAGGAAATGGAGTGAACTTAAGCTCCTCCTTGGGTCAAAGATAGTCAACTGTAGGAAAAATAGATAACTCAAAGTAATCCCTACTTTATCTTCTGTTTTAAAGAAAACTAGATTAGATAGGTTGAAATGAAGAACAGATCCTGAGAGAAGAAGAGAAGAGGAAGCAGTTGGGGAAAGGAAAGTTTGTCATGACAGTTCCGCTTTAAGTCTACAAACGATCATATATATAACTCAAATAAATAAATATATATATATATATATTTGTGTACGGGATTATGGAAGGGGGCGTACACTTAAAGAGAGTTATTTATCAAAATTACAGAGTCGGTTGAGGTGTGCCGAAACGGACGAGAGGTTAGGCCTGTAAAAAGAGGGCCCACCCGGATATATTGATATGAAAAGAGGGTGTGGTGGGAGGGGAATTTCCGGAATCGACGAAGGCAGGTAAGCCAGGGGTTTGCTGGGTTTATATAGGCCTTAAATCCCTCCCACAACTTCAGGCATACGCCTTCTATTTGTGTACGGGATTATGGAAGGGGGCGTACACTTAAAGAGAGTGTAATTTTGATAAATAAGAGTCGGTTGAGGTGTGCCGAAACCGACGAGAGGTTAGGCCTGTAAAAAGAGGGCCAAGAAGTATGTAAACATGTTTATTTATTACAACAACAACATTATTTAGACATATTATAGAAAGCCAGTCTGATTTCTTTCTCTGGGTTTGGAATGTACTGGTTGTATGCTGAAGATTTCCCGCGACCCATTTTCTTTATGATATGTGTTGGTACCTGACTACTTGAGGCTGCCGTGGCAGCCCAATACTAGGGCCCGGTAACTCATCAACGTTTTGGGAGTTTAGTAAACGGAAGAGTTCGGCTTTCCTGGCTGTAGCCAGAAAGGGAATGTTTCTTCTATTCAGTTCAGCTGTGATTTTTGGAACAGTCCAGGATCTGTAGCTGGATGTCGTACTGGACTGTCTTGGCTGAGTGCCAGGCCTGGAGGGAGTGCTGGCAAGTGATAGCTCATCGTCTCGTACTGAAGCGTTAGACATGCTATGGGCGTGAAAGGAGACGTTTATGTTAGAAAAACAAAAATTATTATTTTTTTTATTTTATTTTTTTATGTGTGCGTGAGTGTGAGTGTGTGTGTGCTGGCTGACTAGCTAGTGCCGCTCCGTGGCGAAGCAATTACACTAGGTTGGTGACTGTTGAGGCCCTTCTAGGTGCCAAGCGGCTTGAGAGGCTCTATCTATGAGTTGGCGCGAGGGGATTTCGTGGCCACCGAGCGTTGTGGCAGGGTGTTGGCCTCTCGGTGAGTAGTAATCATAAGATAGAATGGGGGTGACAGGTGAGGCCCTCTCTACATCACGTGCGAGGCGGCTAACTATGATTTGGCCCGAGGGGCGTAGTACCTCCGAATTGAGGTTGGGTGTTGGCCTCGCGGGACCACTAATTTAAGGCAAGGGAGCCGGGATGAGATTATCGCTATTGGGCTCCTAAGACCTTAACAGCCAGCCACCTCAACTGTGAGGGACGATACATGCGGGAATGAAAACAAAATAAACCAATGAAAATAAATGTAAAATTGCTTGCTATTCTTACCTGTATGTGAACTTGAAACACGTACTTGAGACGCCCTAAAGAGTTACTTGTGAAGTTGTTTGGCAGGGCGGTTTTACCCAAGCTGAAGCCCCTATTTGCGAAAGATGGAAGAAGGAGTAAGGGAGTGAAAAGAAACGAGAAATCGGTAGCATATTATTATTTCATCATTTTAACAGCGAATAAAATTGAGGTTTTGGTTGTGTGAATGAATAATGCACTGTTGCTGTTTAAACGTGGTCAGCTCAATAATAGACAGTTGCTGGGAACAGAGTCACTGAAGGGGTTTAACTATCTGTTCATTGCAGAACCAGTGCTGAACGGATGCAGATGGAGACAGACAAAGGGGGCACGAACTTGAGTTATCGCTGAATTTATGCGAACGAAAGTTGTTTGAATGAGACTTACAGTTGAATGCGAAAGAGTGAATGGACTTACAGTTTATGAAGGAAACTGCCGAATGGATTCCGTTCGTGTAAAATACTCACGGAACTTGGCGTGCGAGTTCCTGAGAGTGATTTTTTCAAACGTCGCGGGAAAATGACGTCAGAGGTCTGCGTGGAGCAGAAATGAAGGCTGAATTTCCGGAATCGACGAAGACAGGTAAGCCAAGAGTTTTCTGGGTTTATATAGGTCTTAAATCCCTCCCACAACTTCAGGCATACGCCTTCTATATATATATATATATATACACACATATATACACACACTGTAACAGATCCATACTTTAAATAAGCAAACATTTGTATACTTGTTCTGTAGCATTTCCTAAATCTCCTTTTTTTTATGCATGTTTATTATAGGATGTTATTGGAGAAGTACTCATTTCCCTCAAATGCCTTCCCACATCACAGAAAATAGAAGTTGGGATATTGAAGTTCAAAACTGCTTCACAAAGCACCATCCAAGACAGAGGTTTGTTCTTTCTGCAAAGACAAACTAGCTTAACACTCATCTTCAATATAGTTAGCACATCTGTAACTCTATTGTCACTTCATGTATTCCAAGCATATATTTTCATGATCTGTTAATTAGATTTACATAACTCATTACAAACAAATTAATGCTGCACTGTTAATCAGCATGGTACATTTAGACTAAATCATCAGGTTTTGAAAATACCAACATTTTGAGAACTCAATACAGAGTTACCTAGTTGTAAATTATAGGTATCAATTGTATAAATATGAAAATTCTATTTTAATATCTTATTTTTTTTCGATTCTAGATGTGTATGCCAGAATAGACGTCTTCAGCAACCAACATAAGCAAAAGCACCAGAAATCTAGTCTTCGTGCCAAATCAAAAGTTACTGTATTCAACGAGACTTTTCTATTTAGTCTTCCAGATCCAGTGAAAACACAATGCTTGGTTCTTATCTCACTTTATGAAACATTGACCAGTGGGAGGAAGCTTATTGGACAGACATCTCTGGGAAACCAGAAGGCCAAATCAGATGATGGTCATTGGGACCTTATGATGCAATCGTTACGGCAACCAGTAGCTTTGTGGCATCCACTATACATTTAAGAAAGTAGTTCTATATTTATAGATCAATCACAAGGCAATAAAAACACTGAAACTCTATAACTATAGGGCTAAGTTTTTTTGTTTTTGATTTTTTAAGGGGCTATGTAAAACAGTGTTTATAGTGTGAATATAGAATGTTCTAATCTATTCCTCTGGAGACTTGGAAATAAATGTATAAAACGGGATAAGCCAGCAGGTTACAATCACAATATATTTTCTGTGTAACTAGAACTACCATAATGCTTTTCCAACTCTGGCTTGGAGTAAGACAAATAAAGTTATTATCAGACATCATGGGACATTATTGTATGGCGCTAAGGACAAAATAACTACTTCAAAGAAGAAACATTAATTTTGAAACAGTGCTCCCTGGTGATATCAAAGTATAATGACAACACTTTTAAAACTGTTCTTCTATTAACCAATGTTTACTCTACATTTTATCAGAACATTCACAGGACAATTTGTTTGTGTTATATTCACACTTGTATTGTTGTCAGGTCTTCTTTAACCCCTTAAGGACCAAACTTCTGGAATAAAAGGGAATCATGACATGTCACACGTCATGTGTCCTTAAGGGGTTAATCCACTCTGTACTGTGAAGGGTCTATCCCACTATTGTGTGTTTTAGTATTGACATAAATATGTAAATTTACTTTATTTTAAATGGCAAGCTGTTAGCATTAAAATATTTATGTCTGAAAACTCTAAATAAGTGCCGGGATTTATGTGTTGTAAGCAGGTAAGAAAGTTAATTGTTACAATATATGCAAAATACAAATTTAGAGTATGACCAGAAATGTAAACACAAATTTAATCAGTGAGCTATGTGGCGCTCCTTTGTGATTCTGCACTAATGCAAGTTCAACCCCTTAATTTCAACCCTCCGTATTCTGGGCTGGTAGAAGTCTACAGGACACCTCTGATTGGTTTTGACAAACAAGATTAATTTTGAAAAAATAAAGTTTTAATTAAACTCCCCATTCATCAAGTTTCTCTGCTTAGTGCAAAGTGGCTCTACAATGTGTCACTCAAAAGTTTTTTAGAAGTCTGTAAGTTACCCATTATAATACTGGTGAAAGAGTGCAATACAAAGGTAAGGGGAAAAGGGGGCATGTTGATGACTATTTGAAGATAGATGTATTCTGAAAATAATAGCTAGCAATAATTTTTTAACACAGATATTATACTGGGAAAGTATTTATTGTATCTGAATGTAAGCCTCACACACAGAGCACATTCTGCTTATTTTGAGAATCTGCATTCAGAAACATCTGAGATGATAAATTGAGCATTTTTATTGTTCTAAAACTGTCATGTTTGGTTTTATTATTGCCATTTGTCCATTGGTGATCATGAAGGATTATGAAATGAAGGTTGTGCACAATATCTAATATTTTTAGAAATATACAGAAAAAGGAGGACTGCACTTTACCTAAAATAGGGATACCCTCTGTCAATAAATATGTGAACAACTGAGCTGCATACCACAGCCACCTTCAAAAAATATTGAACTTTTTTTTTATAATGATAACAACCAATCAATAAAGATTAAAAATATCATTTATTGATCCTTGCATATATAAAAGGCTATTCTTTATAGCAATGTTTGCAATTCCTGTTAATATTGTTTTAAAAAAAATACATTTAAAACTGAAAAAAACCTGGAAAAAAAAATTTAGAAATCAATTTAAGAAAAAATACTGAGACTTGCACTTCCTTGTAATGCAATCCACAACATCTGGAGTATTGAAATAAAATGAATGAAGTTGTATGATGACACAGTGATACTAAGAAGGTAACCACATTGTCTATTTATTCCTCTGCCTTTTCAAAAATACAAAAGTCATTTATACTATCAGTATAGTCAGCAAAATCAAAAAAACACTGGGCAAATAGTTCAACATGGTTTACAACAGGAATGTATAATACGGTAACATAGTAATATTGGCTGTTTCTGCGGCTGATCCAAAAGTAGTCAAAAAGCACAGTTTGAAGCTATTACGAATAACAGAGAAACAATCTGAATTTATATCAGACGTCTCCTTGGATCAACATACTATTAGCGCAACATTAAGTTTTATACCCTGAAAAATGCTGTCTAAAAAAAAAAGATTTCAATCACTCAGTCATTTCTACAGAATTTCATAAAATTATCTCTTTGCAATGAAATCCTTCATTTCTCACAGTAAAGAATATTTTCCTCTGTTGTAGGCAAATTGCCTTCCTTCAAGTCTCGAAGAATGACCTCTTTGCTCTTTCATTGTCCCTCACTCCTCCTCATAATTAAATTGTGCAGATTCCCTAATTTTGATCTACTATTTTAATTCCCCACAGTTTAAGCATAGAATATAGTCTCCCCGAGCAGGGATGTGTCTATCGCGAGGCAAACAAGGCATCTGCCTTGGGTGGCACTTTGAAGAGGGCGGCAAAAAAAAAGCCGCACCCAAATTCCCAGGCAGATACCTTGTTTGCCTCTTGTGCTGGGGGGCTCAAGAGCTGGCTGGCCACTTTTGAGCCCCCTCTGAGGCTGGCAGCGGGCAGCGAGGGAGCATACTTACCTGAGCTCTTCCTGCTCAGCTCCCGCTTAATGAAACTGGGAGCCGGAATATGACGTCAGACTGGCTCCCGACTTCACTAAGCACCACCTACTCTGTCCGCCCCCTGCCCGCCCGACCAGCAGCCCTACTGGACTGCAGGTAAGCAATCCACTCCAGCTCTCCCATGGAGGCATGTTTTTCTCTCACTTTCTTCTCTTTTCTTTCCCCCCTTCCTTTTAATAAAGTTGGTTACATTAAACCACACAAACTAAAAAAATAAAATTAAAAAAAAACGCAAGAGACTATGTCTATATAATAGTCTGCTTTAAAAATTACTTATGGATATGGACATTAAAACTTGTTGATCTATTAAGCAATTCCTCTTGAGTGGATACAAGAAATTCCTTTTGTATGTTATGAATGCTTGTCAGTCTTCAGTAGAACTTATGAAGTACACATTTTAAGTTCTTTTTAACTCTTCTGCAGGGCTTAAGAATTTAAACTTCTCAGATGTATAAGCAGTATTTGTTTGTTCTGTTTCGCAGTCATTTAAATTATTTAAACAGTTTTAATATTTTCTACTACTTTTTTTCATAGGAAAGAAACAGAAAAATCAGTTACATGATATGAGGTTTGATACTTATCAGTGTGTTGACTGAAGTTTCTCTTGTGAAATAGTATGCTGGCGTGTTGAGCGTAATAGGCGTGCTGGGCGCGTGTTGACCACTAGCCATCGCAATTTATGCGGTACATCAAATTTTCCCCTATTTCTGCCTCTTTCTATAGCTCGCCCGTGGTGCTTGCCTTTGGTCTGAATGTCCTTCAGTTGCCTCTAACTATAGCCCCAGACTCTCTATGGCGTTCCCCTGGCTTTCCCAATGCTAATTCTGATGTATAGGATACTTCTTGGAAGCTTCTTTCCATGGCTCCTCCCATGCTTTGCCGCTCTATGCGAGCAAAGTCACACATGCTTATGTCATCCTGCCATCTCCTTGATAATACTTGTATTTTGAAATACAGAACGGTTTGAATGCAAACTGAGTTAAATCTCTGAGAGTTTGGCACTTTCCTTTTCACCTGTTTATTTCGACAATACTTAAAATAATCTCAGATTAAAATACATCTTCAGGTTTCTAAAACTGGTGTACCACAAATGATAAAAAAAAACAACAAAAAAAACCAGTACATTTATGCCAATTACATTAACATGTAGAGTTAAATACATAGAGACCACCCTACAAAAAAAAAAAGAGGTAAATCAAGATTAAATTCAAATCAGTTATCTTTTAAGATGTGTCATCTTTCACATTATTTAAATGCCACATTTGTTTTAATGTACATGGTATTTCCTGCCTGATACATAAAAACAAGACGTTTTTTGTAAATGTTTTGACTTTCTATGCATGACTTCAGTTGTACAATTAATTAGAACAGGGGGAAAGGAAAATATCTGCCATGACACAGGCTCTGCTATCTTATTAGCATGGATGCTACAGGTGTTAGTAACCTGTTTAATTAAATATTCACTCCCACTCCCAGTACAAAATTGGTATCTGCAGCTCCTCAGTCTTACATCATGAAAACATAATTCAAAGGTAAATGGAAATGTAGTGAAGGCTAGCAATGTAAACGTGATAAATATTTGTTGCTGGATTACTCCTCAAATAGGGTTATACACTAAAGTGGAGAACTAACAGAAAATTCAAAGGAAATTTCACACTAAGTTTTCTTAGTCAGCTATGCATTGCATTTGACTACTCAGGCTCTAAATCTGAAAATCCCTCAAACATTTCTTTAATTTCTCACTCTTAACTCAACCTTAGAAACAAATTATAATGTGAAAGAATAAGACACTTGAAAAAACACAAATCTTTATAAAAGTGCTTTAAAAACACCCATTTGCAATCCCATTCTAGAGCCTAAATTGGACACACTTTAACAGTGAGAAGCCAGTTCACTCAAAAATCACAAATATTGACAAATCAATAGATTTCTAACTTACTCATAAACGAGCCATGTACAAACTCTTTACAATGGGCTCAATAAAGATTATTTTTCTCATTATTCACAAAAAAATCTGCTTACCTGAACACCCTGTACCTTGACAAATTTTTGGTATACTATATGGTAATGCAACAATAACTAATTGACACACTTTTCTGATTATAATGTGATGTCAAACAACAGTTATAAAATTATATAAAATTATATAAAATTTTCAAATTATTTGGCTGCCAATAACGTTGCTGAGGTCAGAAAGTCTTACCATAGTAACCCGTTCAATGCGATACTCATATATAAATGATTGCCAGGGTCTGCACCCCTTTGCAACCATTGCAAATAAAATTTGTTTGCAAAGACTGTACTGATAGCAAGGCCACCAATACTTTTCAAGCACACGGGCCATCAGGGAGATATAGACTACCACTCTGGACCAACAGGGAAAGAATATCAGAGCTCCTCTCACTGCAAAAAGGTATGCAGATAGGCGGGTCTAATAAAAAATTAGCAATATGTCGGGAGGCTGAACAGGTAAAATGCAGCCTCCCCACATGCAATCTACACCCCACATATTCACCATGTCACATTGTTCCCTCCCCCACACACACACTCACATCACCCTCCTCTCCCGCACAAACACTAGTCACACTGTCACATCACCCCTCACACACAGTCAACATGTCACAGACAGTCACTATGTCACAGTCAACTCACACAACCCATCACACTTACTCACCCAAACACTGCACAGCATGCAGAGCTTAACTAATACACTGGACAAGGCACATCTTTGCAATAATCATGCTGTCTAATCAGCATCTTGATATGCCACACTTGTGAGGTGGATGGATTATCTCGGGAAAGGAGAAGTGCTCACTAACACAGATTTAGACAGATTTGTGAACACTATTTGAGAGAAATAGGCCTTTTGTGTACATAGAAAAAGTGTTAGATCTTTGAGTTCAGCTCATGAAAAATGGGGGTAAAAACAAAAGTGTTGCGTTTATAATTTTGTTCAGTGTATATATAAGAAACCCTAAGGCATATCACTGGGCCGCAGAATGGCCGGATTTAACAAATGAAAAGAAAAGTACAAGACAGGCTGAGGTCAGGAATACAGAGTATGCGTAAACGGAAGGCAAGCCAAAGGTCAAGGAATAAAGAAGTCAGAATAGTCAGGAAACAAGCTAAGGTCCAAGGAATACAGAAATCAGAATAGTCAATAAACAAGCCAAGATCAAAATACACATGAATCAATTCCAGAAACACGCTCTCGGATAACCACAATGGAAACCACGATAGGGCACTGAGAAATGGACAAAAAAGGTTTAAATAGACTAAGGTGTTCTTTGATTGGTTGTAGAGGAGCATGTGACAGTGGGGCGTGCATGTGTGACGTCACATGCATGTTCCCAGTGGTTATTTAATAAGGGGTTAACAAAGAACCTTAAAAGGTTCTGACTTGCAGTGGCTGGCGTCTCTAATGTTTTCAGACACTGCCTCTGTGTTAGGGTAGGGGCACCTGTCAGCTCCTAGACCGTGCTCGGAGTGAGGACAGTGGGTGCCACAGGAAGATGTAAGTAATTGGCGGCATTCCCATTGCCACGTGGGAATGCCGCCACAACGAGATGCGCGCGGCAGGTCCCAGACCACTCTCTAAGAGGAGTGGGTCCGGCAGGTGCTGTGTCAAAGACTAACTCATCAAATACATTCATCCCACACACTCCCTCCGCACACACAGTTACAATGTCACAATCACACCCCATACTAATTGCTCACACACAGTTACCATGTCAATCACTCCTCCCACTTACCCCACAAAACATAGTGCTCTCTATAAATGAAACCGTGCAGGGAAAGAAATGTATATTACTAACGTTTTCTGCACGCTTTCGTTTATAGAGAGCACTATGTTTTGCACTTTTACTTACATGTGCTGCTGCTGACCACCCTTGCTTAGGATATCTGAAAATGGAATCTGAACCATTGTTCAAGGCTTTATTACTTGTCCTGTGAGGGCCTTACATTCCATAGAAGAGGACATACAGTATATCCTCAGGTGGGGATTGTTCCGCCCAGGCACAGAATCTCTGAGCCACCAGGGGGCCTTGCCACCCTGCGAATTGGGTATGTATGCCAGTTTGCCAGCCTCTTCTTCAGGGGGACCCAGGAGCTGGCCACCTCAGGGCCCCCCGAGGCTGGCAGTGGTGTCAGTTGGCAGGCGTGCGAGGGAACAATCCCCCAAGCGCTCTCTGCCCAGCTCCCTCGCACGCACAGCAGTGATGCCAGAACCGGAATATAACATCACTCCAGCTCCAGCATCAGTAAGCGGTGTGCGAGGAAGCTGAACAGGAGGATCAGTGCTTCCTCGCCGCCTGCAAGACCAGCCATCCAGTAGCCCCACTGGACCCCAGGGAAATCTGAAATCCCCTCAGAACTCCCAAAGGCAGGGAGGCTGGGGGATGACATTTTTTTTTTTTAAAGAGTGTGTGTGTTAGTTTTTGTGTGTCAGTGTGTGTGTGTTACTGTGTGTGTGTGTCTATTACTGAGTGTGTTAGTTGTGTGTTATTTTTTGTGTGTCTGTTATTGAGTGTGCGTCTGCTAGTGTCAGTGAGTGTGTTAGTTTTTGTGTGTCAGTGTGTGTGTGTTACTGTGTGTGTGTGTCTGTTACTGAGTGTGTTAGTTGTGTGTTATTTTTTGTGTGTCTGTTATTGAGTGTGCATCTGCTAGTGTCAGTGAATGTGTTAGTTTTTGTGTGTGTGTGTGTGTGTGTTACTGTGTGTGTGTTACTGTGTGTGTTAGTGTGTATGTGTTAGTTTGTGTATCAGTGAGTGTGTGTGTGTCAGTGAGTGTGTTACTGTGTGTCTGTTACTGAGTGTGTTAGTTTGTGTGTGTGTGTCTGTTAGTGAGTGTGTTTGTCAGTGAGAGTGTATGTTTTGTAAGTGAGTGTGTATGTGTGTCTGTCTGTGAGTGTGTATGTATGTCTGTCACTGAGTGTGTCTGTCAGCTAGTGAGTATGCATTTGTTCGTGAGAGTGTGTGTGGCTAAAACCCCTTCAGCACTTACCTTTCTCCAGCACTGGGCTCACTTGGCGCTGGGGATCTCTCCGCCCCGATCCGCCTCTCAGCTCCAAATGTGCATGCGCGGCAAGAGCCGCCCACACATTCAAACCACCCATAGGAAAGCATTACTCAATGTTTTCCTTTGGACATCCAGCATCTTTTCATAGAAAATATATATATATAGGTATCTATAATAATGACCAAATTCCATTAGAATGATATGCTCTGGTATTCTAGAGAGATTATCTAGTTGTGAGGACTGAAATCACTTACTGCCGTATGCATAGTCACTTGGGTTCAGAGTACTCACAATATTGTATTAGGTAAATACACTCACCATGGAAAAAGAAAAGGGGGTTAACATGTAAAATTAAAATCAAGAATAGAAGTAATAATAACAATACCAACTAGCAATACAATTTATGCATCAATATATGGTAAGCCAAAAACAGATAACTTAAAGAGGCATTGTAGTACTGCTCTCAGATCTAGAAAGTTCACTAAGGGTCTTGATCCGAAATGATTTTCTATTAGTGTATAGCTGTATTACACTTGTTTAGTCACTAGAGGTCACCACATCCACCCCGTATAATATACAGTTGTGTGTATACAATTTTAATACCATCATAAAAATGTAGTGCACTCACCAATCCGTATTACAAAAGTAATCATTTTGCAAAAAAAATGTATGTAATAGCTAATAGTGTTTCCTCAGTCCTGCATAGAGATCTTCAAATGGCACACTCCACTTTGATATGACGATTCACCAAATATTTTTGCTGCTGGGACCTCTTTATTGTGGATCTGCAACACATGCTCAATGCCTTTTGCTCCATCATTAGAATTGCTTTAGGAACTACATGGTTTGTTTTGTTCTTCCTAAGTATTAAATTCCATTTTGCCAACTTGTAAAAATTATAAAAAGTTTAAAAAATAAATAAAAAACAATAAATATGAGCTAAAGATATTATATAGATTTATATGGAGTAAAATAGTTTAACTTTGAATATAAAAGGCCTATTGAGCATTTTAATATAGATCATATACCAAAACATTTGAATTGGTTGGCAGTCCCACCAAATATGGGCCAATCCTCCTTTATCTATTTCACATCTATAACATCTATCTGTACAATCATTGTATATCTTTGTTAACCTACTAGGGACCAGATGCCACCTGTTTAATATTTCCTTGTGTATCTCCACCAAATTAAGGCACTGCACTTTTTTATTTACCAATTTTATTGACTCAATCCACTCTTTATAATCAGTTTTTGTTTTTAATTCTTGTTCCCATTTTTTTTATAATGGGAAGGAGAGATGTAACTACATCCTCACTTATCAATGTTATAGCCTCTGCTACTAGTGTTGGTCTTAAGCATAGTCTCTAACTTAACAATTTTATTATATTTAACAGTAACCATTGTAATCCGACGATGATACATTAGTTATCAAGACGTATTACTTTTACTGTATCTCTCTCTACTAAAAAAATAATCTAATCTAGAATACACCAAATATTGGGGTATAATACAGGAGTAGTCCCTTTTTTTGAGGGTGCAGTCCTCACCATGAATCCATTAGGCCATTCATCAGTATCTCATTAAACTGTTTCACGAGATTCCCGTTATAATTTTTTACAACTTTTTCAACTGGTCCACTCCTACCTAAAACTGGATCCAAAACACAGCTAAAATACCCTAAAAAAATAATTCTACCCTGTCTTATCCTCTCAGCCCAAGAAATGATCCTCTGCAAAAATCTTGTTGGAAAATGATTTGGGGCATAGACATTATCGACAGTATATATTTTATTATTAATCTCACATATTAAGATGTGGAATCTACCCTCAGCGTCTATTTCTTTGTGTATCATTTTAAAAGCAAGCCTATTTGAAATAATTGTTGCAACAGCTCTTTATTTTTTCTTATTAAACATGGAAGACTTAAAAATATGGGGTAAATCCTTTGATTTTATCCATTCTTTATCTGAGAACATCCAGTGTGTTTCTTGTAACCCACAGATCTGTATATTTTCAGGGGTAAGATAAATGTAACGAGTAAACCACTATACCTGATACTGTAGGACAGGATACCGGGTTGACCCTTCCTGAAGTCTACTTGATGAAATGCTGAAGAGCCTAAAATCATGACATAGAGCTAAGTACCGTAACAAGGAGAAAAGCTGAGAGATAAAGTGAGTGACCGGTCGTGACTTCAGTCAATAATGTGCGTGACATAAAATGAACCGTGGTGTTTGAATTTGGGAAACAGACATGAGCAGAATGCGTGCTTATACTATAGGCATGCTGTAACTAAAAATAATAAACGTATGTCCTCAAATTGAAAACTATGACAGTGCCAGATCAGTTACCTGCTGGATAATGAACATAGAATTTACAAATAGGCGTGAGTGTCAAACTGTATTAATAAAAAGGTTATTCATGTGTAATCATGCAGCCATATAATGTCAAAGTGAAAATAATGGTTACCTGTGCTACTATTCTAACCGTAAGGAAAAGTGAATGATAAAATGAAGGACCCCTAAAACTGTACGAATGAATACAGGCAGTGAATTGGATGAGAGACTATTAGATACAGTGATCAGTTCATTTGTATGAACAAACGGTATAATAAGTTAACATGGTGCAAGAAAAGGTTTTTTTTAAACAGTGAGACAGGCTGATGTTTGACTAAAAATACACGAATCGTAAGAACTGCAGGCATACATTGTGTCTGTGGTCAGTTTTTTGATCGCACGAATGACTGAACAAACGTAAGTATACCCTGTGGTTGACTGTTTAGCCACACAAACCGCGGAAGTGCACGGATAGGTACTGTATTAGTAAAGGGAGCCTAACCCCATATTTTTAGGCCCGAACGTGGGAAATAGCCGAACGCTATTTCCCACATTATGTTTACATGGACGTGCCGGTCTCATTACCGGAAGCTGGGTACCGTGACCCGGGAGAAGCCAGGTGCAGGACCGGAGGTCGGAGGCAGAGGATAATGCTGGCGACAGGACTCCAGCTGGCATCGGTAACTTTTTTGGACAAGACCGGAAGTGCTGGTTGCTGAGGTGAGTAAAGGTAAATCAGCTTGAACGGCAGAGGTGAGTAGGGGCTGGGAGTTTAAGTAGGGGCCATAACTCCTCCCACAAATTCAGGCCTTATGGCCTCTCAACATTTATACATTCCCTATCTTTCCCTCTTCTCTTCTCTTCCTCCTTCTCTCCTCCCCTTCCTCTCTCTCTTCTCCCCTTCCTGTCACGGTAGTTTACCCCAACACGCAAGATTTAGTCCAACAATTGACAATATAAGGTACACAGGAATCACTTAGCCGGCAAACAAGACAAACAGGGATAAAGAGAAAAACTGAGTCAAATACAAAGCCAAGGTCAAGCACGAAAAGTCACAACTGAACACAACAAGCGCTAAAGGGAACTGAAACAGAAATCACGATAGGGCAGGGAATTAAGGGAGAGGTAAGTATAAATACCCTAGTATTTAATTTGAATGGCCCCTGTCATATCCACGCCACCAAAATGTGAGTGTATGGGGAATATGGGATGACAGGGGCCAATGGGAGACCGTTTTACATTTCGGCTCCCACTGTCCGTTTAAGAGCGTGCCCGAGATGTGCGGCACGCTCTTAGAGCTAGGTGGAACATGTGACCGCATCTCGCGGTCAGTGCCTGGCTTCGTCGGAATGGTGAACGAATTGTGCGCGTGGCTCGTGTAGGACTGTTCGCGGGGGGAATAGAGGACCCCGGCCAGCCCCGCATAAGGTAAGTACCGCTACAGTAGCCCCCTGAAGACACGCCCACCGTGCGTGGAGGACCAGGCCTGGCAGGAAAACGAGAATGGAAGGAGCGTATAAGGCGAGGCGCGTGTACAGCGTCAGCGGAAACCCAACTGCGTTCCTCAGGCCCATAACCCTTCCAATGTACCAGGTACTGGAGGTGACCCCTGAGAAAACGAGAGTCAAGCACAGCAGCCACTTCAAATTCCTCATGACCCTCCACCGAAACAGGAGGAGGAAGAATATGTCGGGTATAACGGTTACACAGGAGAGGTTTCAACAAGGAGATGTGAAGACGTTAGGAATACATAGATTCCTAGGAAAATCTAAGGCATATGAAACAGGATTAATTTTACGCAAGACACGAAAAGGACCGATAAACGGGGGGCCAGCTTCATAGAGGGCACATGAAGGCGGATATTGTGAGAGGAAAGCCACACTCTGTCACCCACAACATAGGATGGAGCCGACCTGCGATGCTTGTCAGCTTGGACCCTTTTGGCGAGCCGCAGAGTCCACCAAAGAACGCTGAACCTGTTCCCAGGTAGAACATAAACCAGCCAGATGTTCATCCAGAAGAGGCATGCCCTGTAAGGAGAATGCAGCCGGAAGAACAACAGGATGCTGGCCATAAACAACGTAGAAAGGGCTATTACCAGAAGATTCATGAGTAGTGATGTCCCGAGCGGTTCGCTGGCGAATAGTTCCTGGCGAACATAGCGTGTTCGCGTTCGCCACGGACGGCGAACATATGCGATGTTCGGTCCGCCCCCTATTAATTTACTAATACTAAGTAAAAATTACTTAGTATTAGTAAATTGTGCCCCTACTCGCAATACCGTGAGTAGGGGCATGTCTATTAAAGAGTGAGCAGCCTGTGGCTGCTCACTGTTAAAAAAAAGGGGGACCCTAAATACTAATGGGGGGGACCTATTGTCCTCCCCCCAGCCCCCACCCCTGAGCGGTGGATGGGGGCCCTAAAAATAACAATGGGGGACCTATTGTACCCCGCCGGCCCCCACCCCTGAGCGGTGGGTGGGGGCCCTAAAATTAACAATAAGGGGGGGACCTACTGTTCCCCCCGGCCCCAACCCTGAGCGGTGGGTGGGGGCCCTAAAATTAACAATAAGGGGGGACCTATTGTCCCCCCCGGCCCCCACCCCTGAGCGGTGGGTGGGGGCCCTAAATACAAAGGGGGGGGACCCTAGTCACCCCTCCCCCCCAAAAAAAAATTATCTCCCTACCTACCCCCCTCACCCTAAAAATAATGAGGGGGGACCTTTAACTAAAAACCTGTGAAAAGAAAAAAATTATATAAAAATAACTTACCATTTGATGTTTTCTTTCTTCTACAATCTTCTTTTTTCAGCCCCCTTTGTATTTAGGGCCCCCACCCACCGCTCAGGGGTGGGGGCCGGGGGGGACAATAGGTCCCCCCTTATTGTTAATTTTAGGGCCCCCACCCACCGCCAAGTAGAGCCGGGGGGACAATAGGTCCCCCTCTTATTGTTAATTTTAGGGCCCCCACCCACCGCACAGGGGTGGGGGCCGGAGAGGGGGAGGACTGTAGGTCCCCCCCTCATTATCTTTATGGCCCCCACCCGCCACCCAGGGGTGGGGGCCGGGGGGGGGAGGACAGTAGGTCCCCCCTCATTATCATTATGGCCCCCACACACCGCCCAGGGGTGGGGGCCGGAGAGGGGGAGGACAGTAGGTCCCCCCTCATTATCTTTATGGCCCCCACCCGTTGCCCAGGGGTGGGGGCCGTGGGGGGAGGAGAGTAGGTCTCCTGCCCCCCCCTTCAACCACTATTGTGGCCAGAAAGAGTCCCTGTGGGTTTTAAAATTCGCCTGCCTATTGAAGTGTATGGCGGTTCGCCGGGTTCGACCGGTTCGCGAACATTCGCGGAAGTTTTTTCACTATAATAGATTGAATAGCAGTTAGTTGTCTGCCAGCTTCTATGTCAGGCTCACAGTGGATACTGTGCCCACTTGCCCAGTGCCACCACTCACTCACTGGTGTCACAATAGCTTGCATTTAATTTTTTTTTTTTTCACTATTATAGATTGAATAGCAGTTAGTTGTCTGCCAGCTTCTGTGTCAGGCACAGAGTGGATACTGTGCCCACTTGCCCAGTGCCACCACTCACGCACTGGTGTCACAATAGCTGGCATTTAAAAACCCAAAAACTTTTTTCACTGTTATAGATTGAATAGCAGTTAGTTGTCCCCCCTTATCCTTATTTACTAAATATTCCCCTGTATAACAATGTTTGGCATTTAGTGAATATTCCCTATTCTGCTCTGTGTCCGTGTGTATCAGGGATCCTGAGGATATGTGTCAATCCATATCTGCCAAGTGACGCTATGTAGGGGGAACAGTCCCTATTCTGCTCTGTGTCAGTGTATATCAGGGATCCTGAGGATAGGTGTCAATCCATATCTGCCAAGTGACCCTATGTAGGGGGAACAGTCCCTATTCTGCTCTGTGTCAGTGTGTATCAGGGATCCTTAGGATAGGTGTCAATCCATACCTGCCAAGTGACCCTATGTAGGGGGAACAGTCCCTATTCTGCTCTGTGTCAGTGTATATCAGGGATCCTGAGGATAGGTGTCAATCCATATCTGCCAAGTGACCCTATGTAGGGGGAACAGTCCCTATTCTGCTCTGTGTCAGTGTGTATCAGGGATCCTGAGGATAGGTGTCAATCCATATCTGCCAAGTGACCCTATGTAGGGGAACAGTCCCTATTCTGCTCTGTGTCAGTGTGTATCAGGGATCCTTAGGATAGGTGTCAATCCACATCTGCCAAGTGACCCTATGTAGGGGGAACAGTCCCTATTCTGCTCTGTGTCAGTGTGTATCAGGAATCCTGAGGATAGGTGTCAATCCATATCTGCCAAATGACCCTATGTATGGGGAACAGTCCCTATTCTGCTCTGTGTCAGTGTGTATCAGGGATCCTTAGGACAGGTGTCAATCCATATCTGCCAAGTGACCCTATGTTGGGGTAACATTCCCTATTCTGATCTGTGTCAGTGTGTATCAGGGGCTCTGAGGACAGGTGTCAATCCATATCTGCCAAGTCACCCTATGTCGGGGGAACAGTCCCTATTCTGCTCTGTGTCAGTGTGTATCAGGGATCCTGAGGACAGGTGTCAATCCATATCTGCCAAGTGACCCTATGTAGGGGAACAGTCTCTATTCTGCTCTGTGTCAGTGTGTATCATGGTCTCTGAGGACAGTTGTCAATCCATATCTGCCAAGTGACCCTATGTAGGAGGAACAGTCTCTATTCTGCTCTGTGTCAGTTTGTATCATGATCTCTGAGGACAGGTGTCAATCCATATCTGCCAAGTGACCCTATGTAGGAGGAACAGTCTCTATTCTGCTCTGTGTCGGTGTGTATCATGGTCTCTGAGGACAGGTGTCAATCCATATCTGCCAAGTGACCCTATGTAGGAGAACAGTCTCTATTCTGCTCTGTGTCGGTGTGTATCAGGGGCTCTGAGGACAGGTGTCAATCCATATCTGCCAAGTGACCCTATGTAGTGGGAACAGTCCCTATTCTGCTCTGTGTCAGTGTTTATCAGGGATCCTTAGGATAGGTGTCAATCCATATCTGCCAAGTCACCCTATGTGGGGGAACAGTCCCTATTCTGCTCTGTGTCATTGTGTATCAGGGATCCTTAGGATAGGTGTCAATCCATATCTGCCAAGTGACCCTATGTAGGGGGAACAGTCCCTATTCTGCTCTGTGTCAGTGTGTATCAGGGATCCTGAGGATAGGTGTCAGTCCATATCTGCCAAGTCACCCTATGTAGGGGGAACAGTCCCTATTCTGCTCTGTGCCATTGTGTATCAGGGATCCTGAGGATAGGTGTCAATCCATATCTGCCAAGTGACCCTATGTAGGGGGAACAGTCCCTATTCTGCTCTGTGTCATTGTTTATCAGGGATCCTGAGGATAGGTGTCAATCCATATCTGCCAAGTGACCCTATGTAGGGGGAACAGTCTCTATTCTGCTCTGTGTCAGTTTGTATCAGGGATCCTGAGGATAGGTGTCAATCCATATCTGCCAAGTGACCCTATGCAGGGGGAACAGTCCCTATTCTGCTCTGTGTCAGTGTGTATCAGGGATCCTGAGGATAGGTGTCAATCCATATCTGCCAAGTGACCCTATGTAGGGTGAACAGTCTCTATTCTGCTCTGTGTGTATCAGGGATCCTGAGGATAGGTGTCAATCCATATCTGCCAAGTGACCCTATGTAGGGGGAACAGTCCCTATTCTGCTCTGTGTCAGTGTGTATCAGGGATCCTGAGGATAGGTGTCAATCCATATCTGCCAAGTGACCCTATGTAGGGGGAACAGTCCCTATTCTGCTCTGTGTCAGTATTTATCAGGGATCCTTAGGATAGGTGTCAATCCATACCTGCCAAGTGACCCTATGTAGGGGGAACAGTCCCTATTCTGCTCTGTGTCAGTGTGTATCAGGGTTTCTGAGGACAGGTGTCAATCCATATGTGAAGGTGTCAATATGTCATATGTCAGGTGTCAATCCATATCCATTGTGATTTAGGAATGTTAGGTGATTTATGCCCTTTATGGATTAAGACCAGACTCTGCATCAACTGTGTAATTTTCCATGGGAGTTTTGCCATGGATCCCCCTCCAGCATGCCACAGTCCAGGTGTTAGTGCCCTTGAAACAACTTTTCCATCACTATTGTGGCCAGAAAGAGTCCCTGTGTTTTAAAATTCACCTGCCCATTGAAGTCTATGGCGGTTCGCCCGGTTCGCCGGTTCGCGAACATTTGCGGAAGTTCGCGTTCGCCGTTCGCAAACCAAAAATTTCGTGTTCGCGACATCACTACCTGTAGCACATAACCTGGACATCCTGGGAGGGAAAGGGGTGAAAACGCTAACGAAACTAGCGGGGAAACCAGACCCACAACTTAGAGACATACTAACAGACTCACCCCCAAATAATAATTCTGCAGAGACATGTAGGACACCATTCACTAACAGAAGTACTAAGATGCTCCCAATTGAAACATACCTTGACCGAAAAAGTACTCCCTCACTGGGCCCCTATGGACCTAACTCCCTTTGAAAAACTATGCAACGCCACAAATACACTTAAACGCACACTTTCACAAATATACAAAATAATCCTGATGTCGCAGGAGGACCAAAACTCACTCACCTATCAGTGGAAATGGATGAAGCTATGTCACCCCAAGAATGGGAATACATTTTCACAAAACCCATGTTAGCGTCTATCAGTCAGTCTAGACAAGAGTCTTTTTACAAATGCATCACCCGCTGGTACAGAACACCTGACTTGCTTCACTTATTCTGGCCAACTATTTCAGACAAGTTTTGGAGGTGTCAGGAAGAAATAGGCACCATGGAACATTTATGGTGGGGGTGCCCACAAATAAAAGGCTACTGGAATGAAGTAATTACAAAAATTTACAATATTCTAGGAATAACACACTCCCTCCCAGGTCTTGTTAGAATGGCCACAATCCTTCCAAGATAAAGGAAAACAAAATTTGTTATGGTTACTGCTGGGTGAAGCAAACAACCTCATCCCAGTATATTGGAAATAAAACACAACCCCCACAGTGACCCAGTGGATAGACTGAGTAGAAAGTACAAGAGAAATGGAAAATCTACACTGGTCCACACTGGGCAAGCGCAATAGATATCTGAGCACATGGGAAGCCTGGATACAATACTCAGAAACAGGACCAGTGGTAACCAACTAGAAGCTGAAAGTAAAACTCGCATTGTACCTACTACCACTGCACCAACCCCCCCTCCCACTTCTCTAAACCCCACCAATCCCCTCCCCTGACCAATCTCCGAATTGTTTAACCCTCAAAGCTTTAAGTTACTTTGGAATATGCATACAAAAAGCTTACACAGCAGACTATATGAGACTTATATAAACCACAGGTATGACACAATTAAATACTGAAAAACTGTGTATGGGAAGACATGGGACACCTTCTTGATATCGAAACTTAAATCTATGCAATCCTCTCTTGTATTACATTGTACCATGCCCGATGAAATATTGAACAATATGTCACTATGTTGTGTATAACCACTGTGAAATTTAAAACTTGTAACATTTGCTTAAAATCCCCTCCCTCTTTTTCCTTCTGTACCCATCCTGACTAATTGATATACCAATAAAACTGGAATAAAAAAATAAAAATAAAAAAATCAACTGAATTAAATAAGGATTACTGCTTTGTATTTTTCGTTTCCTGGTTATTTTGAACTTAGATTTCTAATCCTTGCTGTACTTAACCAGATTGTTTAAACAACTTTGTTCACTATTCTTCTTTTTAAAATAATAACTTTAAAGGAACACTATAGGGTCAGGAACACAAACATGTTTTCCTGACCCTGTACTGTTAAAACCACCATCTATCCCCCTGGTCCCTCTTGCCTCCCTAAGTATAGTAAAATCTTACTTATTCAAGTTTGCAGCTGTTGCCTCTGCCCTTGTCTGCCTCTGACTTGCCTTCTGTCTGCTGACATCATCAGTAGTGGTCGTCTGAGCCAATCACAATGCTTCCCCATAGGATTGGCTGAGACTGTCAAGGAGGCAGATTAGGTGCAGAGCAAGCACTAGTCAAGCACAGCCCTGGCCAATCAGCATCTTCTCATAAAGATCAATTGAATCAGTGCATCTCTATGAGGAAAGTTTAGTGTTTCCATGCAGAGAGTGGAGACACTGAATGGCACTGTGCATCACTGCCCCAGGAAGAAGAACCTCTAGCAGCCATCCAAGGAGTGGACACAGAAGGTGTCAATGTAAGCACTGCATTTTCTCTGAAAAGACTGTGTTTACTGCAAAAAAGTAATAATTGTACTCACCAGAACAAATACAAAAAGCTGTAGTAGTTATGATGCTTATAGTGTCCCTTTAAAAATAATCATCTAATTTCAATAAATCATGTGTATTTGTATAAACCTTATTTTGCAAGCAAGCAACATAATTGCTCGAAACCTTATTTTTGAATTGCACGCAACACAATGTTAAAATTCTTTATTTGTAAAAAAAAAATACATCAAAATAACAATAAAAGTTCATGTTATGATATAACACATTAGGTAAAATCAACACTTCAGGTATAGAATCACTTGATTCATTGTTAACAATATATTTTTCTGAAAATCAAAAAAAACAGATTTGAATAAACTTTGAAAAGGAAACTTAGTTCACTCAGAGGTAATTTTTATGAACTAATAGTATATAAAAGTAAAACAAAGCTATTGATTACAGTGTGCGAAAGGAAAATGAGTCTAACCAAGTAAGTGTTTGCGTGTTTTATACTGTTATAATATATGATACATAAATGGAATGTACATTTACCACAAAATATGTAGAGCCTTTGTTAAAGTACTGGATGAGTAATGCTATCTATTCAAATATGACATATTTTGCTCATTATGACTTATAGAGCAATGCATTATAATAACACAAATGTTGATATGTTTGTTGATTGTCTGGAACATCCAAATATCTATTAAAGAATCTCATGAAATAAGATATCCTCTGTGGCAGACCACCTGGCACCCCAACCGAGTGCCTCCGCCAATCGATGCTCCTAGTGCTCAGAGATGACTCCAAGAACCCCCAGACACCATCAGGACCGTAGCACCCACCCTGGACCCTGAATCCAGCTTCCAGTGGGTGAACCTCTCCTACTCCAGAGAGTATAGCAGGAACAGTTCGTATAAGAGCTAGTGATTATGATCCCAGGGGAGTATAGTGATGTAGCAATCCCCAGGGTCGATACAGCCGTTTCTCCCACACATGAGACAAGGTTCTATGTTGAGGGTAAGCAGGAACTTATTTTAATGGGACCACACTTGGCCTTTTATGACAATCTTCATGCAAGGGGTACTCCCATCTGGACCTGATGGAAGACTGAATTACAAAGCCACAGACCAATGACAACAGTGTTACAATACATGACACTCCCATACATAAACGGATAATCCCTCCTCTGGGCCTGGGAGATAATTGGATCAGGAACTGTACTAATCGAACTTTTTTTCCAACCATCCCAAAAGTACCCCAAAAACACATAAAACCGCACAAAATTAGCCCTGATCTGGGTGACCAACATATCCAAAAATCACCCTGATCGGCCTACCCTGGGGCTGAATCATGTCTCTCTGTTAATATTTGTTCTAAATGTTACCCCTGTCTGCCATTTTGCATAGTTAAATGAAGAGGAGAAACAAACAATGTTTATGTTCACTTAATTTGCATTGTATGCCCTAGTTGTGCCTTGACCAAACTGGATTGTGCAGGCACTTGCATAATCTTTAATACACATTTTAAAAGAAAATGGAGCATAAAAAAAAAAAAAAAGATCAGGGAACGTTATAGGTGATATGCAATTTTCATAGGAATTAGAGTACTCATTTAAAATTGTATTTTACTGGCATTTTAAAAAATATATTTGTGTAATTGATAAACCTGTAGCCTAACCCTAGTATTTATTCATAATTATCAATCAAAGTATAATATTTGTTTTCTGTACACAAAAACATAGAACCAAAAAAGTGATACATTAATAAATTAGCTCTTCAATATCAATAACAATCATAAAGTGTAATATGAACTTGCCTGCCTATCAAACATCACTATGTATTAGCTATTTCTGTAAAGACTGTGACATTAGGAAGGCGTTACTCATGGTGAAATGTACATTCCATGTCAGATGGTGCAGTGCTGAAAATCTCTTGGACACTAAAGAATATACATTAATTGTGAGTTTAGCTACACTACCATCGATGGGCGCAACTTATGCGTTAATTCCTTACATCTAGATAATAAAACTCAATAAAAAGATATGTGGTAGCAGCATTTTATCACTAAATAATGAAACACCATAACTGCTTGCCATTGCACCTGTGTCAACGATATTAAGCATCTTATGTAATTGTAAAAGTTGCATTTTCTATGGATGGCAAAAGTGCACTTTTCTTTTAATTTTCAGCTCTTAGTTGACCCTTTTGAAAAAAGAGGTAAGGGATATTCATCATAGTTTACCACTTTGGAATAATAAGTTAGAAATATATTTCTGACCACTACTTGTTAATTATTAGACACTTCATTCCACTGCAAACAGGGTGAAGGAAGTGGTAGGGACAATTCTCCAGGAGTCTACGTAGTTTCCTCCTTTACTTTCCATGCATGGATTTTGGGTCATGTGCCAGGTCTGCCCTGGTTAATAGTGGAAGACATGTAAAAGCTACCAGCACCCGTCTGTGATAAATTAGTCTGTTTATATTTACAAATCTACAGAAACAGCGAATAGTGATATGAATGATGTGACTCCTCCACTATGAGTATTATGACTATTTGAACCATTCTGCAATACTTACTGTTCTATAACCAGGGGCCAATTTCAGCCCTCGGCACACCTTACAGTACTCTATCATAAAAGATCCTCGGTGAGATACCTCATATTTAGACTTCCATGCAAAATATTGTTGATATTTCTTATCATCTTTGTCCAAGTCAAGGATATATGAAGCCAGTTCTTTTGTAGTGTTGAAATCATCTACATGAATAAATGATTCTGGAGGGGCAAATCGTTCATAATTTTTCCTGGGAGGACCCAGGACTATTGGCACAGCACCCGAAACAAATGCATTATTCCAAAATTTCTCTGTGATGTAATCTTCGTGTATTGAATTTTCAAATGCCAGGTAGAATTTGTAAGTGGATATGTTTTTCATATAGTCAGTTCTTGATAGTTGTGTGTGGTATTTTCCAAAAACATCAATATTTAAATAATTTTTTAGATCTTCATAATATTTTACTCTTGTAGATTTTTTTTTAAAACTACTAACCATCCAAGCCACCAGCTTGCTCTTTTTTGGAATTATGTACTTTTTACTTTCTTTTTTTGTGACAAGCCAACCATAAGGAGTATGAATATCTGAATCAGCCCTGTAAGACATAGTAAGATTGATAAGGTTATCAAAAAATACTAGGTTTGGACTGTTAGATGGTGACTCCATGTTGGACCAAATCCAGAACTGATTTGGTGGTCTTGGAATCTGTGGTAATAGACTTTTATTTGAACATACACCTCTATGAGGAATGATGATAGCGTTAGCAGATGAATACATGTTCCGGTCACTTGTATATAGGCAATCAGAAATATCGATTTCGGATGGACACTTGTTTAGTGGAAAACTGTATTTGCTTGGCCATGTCCATAGAAGAATAATAAACTGAGGTATTTTTGTTACATTCCTAAGTTCTTGTGATTGAATATGTTCTGAGGCATTACTACTCATTTCTTGATATACCAGAAATGATGTCAATGCAATAGTAACTAATAGAGCAATGATAAAGAGGATCTTATTTAGTTTTGTTATATTTTCTATGGATGCCATGATTAAGAGACACCTTTTTCTTGCTGTACCTGGGAACACTTGGCAGTGATGGGCACTTTATTTGCAGCTCTTCTCTTCTTGCTCACTCTGCAGACCCTTTTTTAAGAAACAATAATATATTAATTTCAGTTACATAATTTACTAAAAAGCAAGTACAAATCAGTCAGCAATTTCCATTTTCCTGTACAGGCTCTAGAATAGTTTTGGCTTATATCTGTTTCATCTGATAAGGTATAGCATTAGAGTTTTCTTAAACTATTTCTTTAGTTATCAGAAAATAAAATTAGAAAACAAATTATACACATAGGATTAATGGGACAAGCTAAGGATCAAAACAACTAGCTTAGTGTTTGCCCCTGTAGTTTCAATGCTCAAATTCTCGGTCATTAAAGAATTAAATCACTTTGTTTATACACTATCTGGGGCTCCCCAGAATTATTGGTTCCACACTCATGAGCTTTGTGGAGCACTCAGAATTAACTCTCCACACAGCCCTTTAACCCATTAAGGATTGAGTAAATTGTACACATTCTGATCAAAACAAAACCTGGAATTTGTGTTATATGTATTTTACCTCTTTCATATTAAGTGCACCCACACTTATTATATTTTTTTTTTTCAGGAAAAACAGTGCTTTTATTTGATATCAAATATTTTTATATGAAACATAATTTAATATGAATAAAATAAATAAATAAATAAATAAATAAATAAATACATTTTTAGAAATTAAAGGGCCACTATAGGCACCCAGACCACTTCAGCTCAATGAAGTGGTCTAGGTGCCAGGTCCCCCTAGTTTTAACCCCGCAGCTATAAATATAGCAGTTTCAGAGAAACTCCTATGTTTACATTGAGGGTTAATCCAGCCTCTAGTGGCTGTCTCCCTGACAGCCACTAGAGGCCGCTTCCACGATCCTCAATGCGAAAATCGCATTGAGGACATGCTGACGTCCATAGGAAAGCAATGACTAATGCTTTTCTAGGGGCGATTTGAATGTGTGCGCGGCTCTGACCGCGCATGTGCATTCGGAACTGACGTTGGCAGGGGAGGAGAGGTCACCAGCACCGAGGGAGCCCAGTGCTGGATCATGGTAAGTGGCTGAAGGGATTTTAACACCTTCAATCCAGCGGGAGGGGGGCCCTGAGGGACGGGGGACCTAATAACCCTATAGTGCCAGCAAAACTAGTTTGTTTTCCTGGCACTATAGTGCTCCTTTAACCCCTTAAAGACACATGACATGTGTGACATGTCATGATTCCCTTTTATTCCAGAAGTTTGGTCCTTAAGGGGTTAAGAAATGTTTGTTTTTCAAGTTCAACTGTAAATGTCATAATACTGTTAGCTTTTATTACAATAAAATACACATATGTGTATTCAGCGGTTTCTCATGAGTACAATAGTACCTCCTATGTACAGATTTTATGGGATATTGAAAAATTACAGGGTCAAATATATCACATTCCGTTTTTCAGTTTATACACATTAAAATTTGCCAGATTGGTTATGTTGCCTTTGAGACCGTATAGCAGCCCAGAAATGAAAATTACCACCATCATGGCATACCATTTGCAAAAGTAGACAACCTACGGTATTCAATACCGGGTATGTTCAGTCTTTTTTATTAGCCACTTAGTTACAAACACTGGCCACAATTAACATTCATATTTTTTTTTTTGCATTTTTTTGTTTTTACAAATAAACTGCCGTTTTGCCGATCATTTCATCAGCATTATATGTTTCACTGCTCTAAAACACTCATATTTGTGCCCAGTAATGTCTCATGAAAATAACAATATCCCCATGTTCAGCAGGGGAGAGCACTAAGGAATAGGAGGGTAGGGGAGTTTACTAAGGGACATACAGATACATAGAGGGGCTCAGTAGGGAGATGCACAGAGGGACCTGGGGTGGGAGGGGAAAGACACACAGAGGTGCCACAAACCCTCTCTTTCACACTACATACATACACAATGCATCCTTACACATACACAGAAACACACAATGCATCCCCACACACACACACACATGCACAGAAACATACAATGTATCCTTATTCACACACCGAAACATACAATGAATCCTACACACAAACAGAAACACACCATGCTTCCCTTACACACTCACCCTTACACACATTGCATCCATTACACACACACAATGCATTCCTCACACACACACACCCACAATGCAGCCCTTGCACACACAATGCATCTCTTACATACAAGAACACACAATGCATTCCTTACGCACACACACAAACACACACTGCTTATCTTACACACACAGAAATACAATGCAACTTACATTAACTCACTGCACCCCTTGCAGACACACACTGCATCCCTTACATACAGAGAAACACACCTTGCATCCCTTACACATACAGACACAGATTCACACAATGCATCCCTTACACACAAACACACATTGCGTTCTATCCCTTACACACAAACACATTGCATCCCTTGTACACACACACTACAATCCGTACACAAACTGGTATTCCCATACACTACATTCCATAAGAACACACACACATTACATCCTTTACAATAACACATAACATATCCCCTACATGCATACACGCCACTCCCTGTGAGCGAATTCATGCGTGGACCATCTAGGTGGACTTATGGGCGGACCTTGTAGGCATACTAAAGGGTCAGGCCCTGGGAGCCAAGACCTTGAGCTTTGTAAGGGGCCCCCAAAAATGAAGCTGCTTTCTGTCTATTGATTTTTGAGGGCAGAGTTACAAACAGCCTTCAGAAAGCCTGTTCTACACCTTACCAGTGAAGCTAGACTGCCGCATGAGCCCATCACCAACCTCTTGTCCTCATCTGGTGGTAAGTAGGCAATCCAGTATATTATAGTCTCACTAATCTCTAATTTACATTAAAGGGACACTATAGTCTCCAGAACCACTACAGCTTAATGTAGGGGTTCTGGTGTCAATAGCCTGTCCCTGCAGGCTTTTTAATGTAAACACACTGCCTTTTCAGAGAAAAGACACTGTGTGCCGCACTGGCGTTAGCTCATATGGCAGATCATATGGGTGGGGAATTGTGATGTCACATGATGGGCAGAGCATATGGGGAGCATAATGTTTGCCTAGGGCATAAAAAATCCTTGCACTGACCCTGCTTGAGATGGACTCATTATGTCAAATTAAAAAAAAAATGAACCAAAGAATAAAATAAATGGTGCATGTGACAGATCTCTCTGTCTTGAACTTACAGAGACTTATTCTTAATTCGTTAGTTTAATTTGTGTTTTCCCGTTCATGTGGACTCTATACCGTTACCTTTTTAACTACCGAATAAAACTCCTGAACGGCTGGCCACCCAGTAAAGAAGTGTGCTGCTGGTTAACCTCTTGGCCCCATTAGAACGTTGAGGTTAACCGCAGACACCTCTTAACTGATACTGTAGCTGGGTGGCCGCCATTCGTATACCGAACACGAGGTCGCGGCCATTTTAAATCCACGAAAGCTCAGCGGTGCTCGTCAGCCAACTCATGGAACTCAAAACGTACACTTTTTGGCACGAACACTGCTGAAGCCGCCGACCTCCCTTCTCCTTCGGTAGAAATCCGAGAACGTCCCTCTATTCGGTACTTTGGGAACGAATAAACCATACCCCAGATAGCCATGCCGTGGAACCCATTCGTATGGAGAACAGACTTTGTGAACACTTTGACTCCATGGCGATTGAACAGTGTACATAGGATCTGAGCGCTATTCGGTACTTTTGTGAGCTCAGATCCTAGCTATCTGGGGACCAGTTGAATGTCTATGTTATGTTTTAATATTGAACAGTTATGCATTTTTATGCCTTTTTGTCCTTGTCATCTAAAATGGTGGTTGGTCTTTGTCTTGGGAGATAATTGCATTACTTCACAATTATCTCCCGGGCAGAGCAGAGGGCCCTGGGTAATAAAAGGGGAATAACTATGTATGTAACTCTGTGATTGGTTGTTACAATGTCCTTGTCCCAGTTTCCCATTTGGTCCCCTAGGGGAGTGTCCATCAGATGGGAGACCAGCATAAATACCGGGCATGTAGTCCACAATTCCTGCTGACCCTCAATACGGAGCTTTGTGGGGATTATTCGTATGGATTATGCTTATTCGACTATTTGGGACACTGACTGATTCGTGTGATTGTTGTTCGGTTGTTTTTGGAGACTAACGGGTTCGTGTGATTGCTGTTCGGCAGTTTGGAGCGCTCAGTAGTTACCTCTGCATTCGGTAAGGGAATGTCCTATATGGCAGTAACCCCTCTCCTACCGGGGGAGCCGTAACATTGCAGTAAAAGTATGTCATGAAAATACTTAATTGAGGGTCCATATCTGATAAGAGAAACATTCATATATCCACAGGCAGGGATTGTTCCACACAAATTTTAATTCCAGAGCTGGCCAGAAACTCTGATAAATGTGTGACAGATCCCTCTGTCTTAGAACTATAGTGCTTTCCCAGTGGATTCGTGTAATTGCCTGTCCGTACTTCCCCGTTCGTTTGTTTATTAATCTACCGAACAAATTGCCGAACGGCCGGCCACCCAGAAGAGGAGTGTGCTGCTGGTTAACCTATTGGCCCCAATTCAAACGTTGTGGTTAACCGTAGACACCTCCTAATTAAAACCATATGCTGGGTGGTCATTGTTCATATGCCGACCACGAGGTGGCGGCCATCTTAGATGCACGAATACACAGCGGTGTTCCTCGACAAACGTATGGAACTCAAAACGGACACTGTTTCTCCCGAACACCGCTGAAAACCGCCGACCTCCATTCCTTGTCATCTGGCATACGAACACCAGTCCGTTCGGGACTTTTATTTCACGAATGGACTTAACCCAGATAGCCATCCCATGGAGCCCTTCTTATACCGAAAGAAC